AAGTCTGCTGCAATACAAGAAGTCTAGATTTAAAGTACATGGGCATATTAATATATTTTATGACATTTACGTAGGGAGCTATGTTGAGATTTAATTTTGAAATGAAGAACAATGCTTAATTAATTGGGAATAATTTGGCACAACTTAGAAATTTTATAAATACAAATGTGAAATAGTATAAATGAAAGTGCTTCCAGTATATGATGTTTTTGACATCAGTCAGTTAGAAATTCTTGCTTGTCAGTATCCATTCTTTGACTAAATGAGATCAACTCCCAACAAAAAAAATTCCTCTTGAGTAGGTTTTCATGACCTTGAGCTAGGTTAGATCAATTGATTTATAGCTGAAGCATCAGTTCGTAAAATGTTCACAAAGTCCATAAAACGATGTTTAAATTGTAAATTAGTGGTTTAAGTCGTAAATTTTTACACTTTTCCCAAGCAGGTCACAGCTTGTTCCCATCATAAAATTGGTTTAAAGCTCTTCTTTAACCCTTAAAGCCCTTCTTTAACCCATCCTCAGTATATAGTCAGTTAATTAGGGGTTAGTAGAAATAAACTCTGAAACCTACAATTTTTACCAGAGAACTTGAGTAACAGTAGGGTTTTAAGTTTTATTTGAATTTTGACAATTGGTTTCAAGTAGAATTGGTGGATACATGACTTCTAATCTTGATTATTATCAAGAATGCTATGACTTCTAAGAAAGTAATTATCTCATTCTTCTATATTTTTACTGGTATTTTTGGGACTCCTCATTTTTATAGTTACAAATTTAGAAGCTTGATTTTTGATCCATTCAGGATTTTTCTCATAAAAAAGTTGAAAAGTTTGTTTTATTTATATTAATCTCTCTTATCTGTTAGCAATAAAATTTCAACAATAAAATTTTCGCAGAGCTTTTATTTTTCTGAATTATTATGTTGGTAGTTTTGTTTGTTTGACTCTGCTGGTGGCCCTTGCATCATGATTATGGATACCTTCTTCCCTTTCAGCTTCTTAAATCCCAAGTCAAAAATTTGACTATTTGTCTATATGTTGTAACAGGTGTAATAGGGCCAGGATATGGGGATTTAGTGAGTTCACATAGTTAACACTGTCATACTTTTGTGTATAAAAACATAAATTCTGATAAAACCACCAACACCCAGTATACAAAAAAACACTTTCAGTGAGCTTATTGCTATGAGAATTTAAAAGGAGAAACTTGTAAAACACCAGCGAAACAGATGGATTGATAGTCAGTAGAATTTTATAGATATTCTGTGAAATATAAGCTTGAATATTGACCATTTGTAGTTATAATTAATGTATATGGCCGACTGGATAATAGATGGATTTATGGATATTGAAATACAGTTTGATAGTAAAATTTCCATTCTGCCAATAAGTTGAGACTGCTGTGAAAGATATATTTCATAGTGTGAACATTAAAATCCCTAATGATTCCGCCATGTGGGATTTTTTTTTTTTTTTTTCTTTTCTACTCTGTTACTATTTAGTATATGTTAGTGATGTTCTACCAAATCTGTATGGCAAATAAGGTTTCCTCATCTCAAACTTTACAACTATACCAGTAGCATTTCAGAAGGTGATTGAACGTAAGCTTTGGCTTGACATTTAATTCATGTCAATAATTCCATATCAACAATTGTAAATACATAATTTTGTAATATTTGAAGTTTTGGAAGTTTGAATATTTTGAAATCAGCATATTTTATTATGCATTTTAATTTCTCAAAATCTGTTTATGGCATGCTTTGTTTTTTTTCATTTTCAGAATCAAGTATAGATCAATTATGGTATGGTACCGGTACTCAGTTCGAAATAGAAAGCAATAAAATAGTTGAAAAATATATTAGAGAAATTAAATACATCAAATTAATTAATATCCCATGGCATATTTATTCAATTTAAGCAATAGTCAAAATGGTTGTATAAACACACTAATTAGATCCTCTCAATTAATTCAACAGATTAATTAATAGCCCATGATTTAATTGTTAAATTTTATTGATGTGTATTTAGCCTTGTTATTGGTTGATTAAAGTGCTACAAATCTACCCCACAGAATGTTTCAATTATGTTGTTAAACTTATCTTGAACATCTTTAATTAATTACCATGAAAAGTTGTTATAATAAACTCTTGAGTTATTTATTAAGTAATTGAAAATGTAAATGTTTCAATACACTTGCTACTGAAGTTGTTAAGCAATATGTATATCAATAATAATAAGAAAAGTGTTTCTGTAATCCAAGCAAGAGAAAAATTATGATTTGATTTGTTTTTTTCAATGATAGTACTTCTGTTAGAAATAAGGAACTAGATCCCCACAAAATCTGCTTAATTGTTCCAATATATCCATTCATATGTGTTTCAACAGAAGAAGGGATTATAAGAATTGCAATGACTATAAGCATAGCATATTAAGTAATGTCTGTTAGGTGACAATCTAATCCTTTTGAACAAACTAACTTGAATGGAATGGGTCGGGATAAACTGCGACCTTAAACAAACTCCAAGACAAATTGAAAATGACAAGCAACCATTTCAAAGAGCAAACAAGCATAAAATCTTCGACCATCGATAATTAGCCATTTTGTTTGATCTGTTCAAAATCCCGAGAGGACTGATTTTATCTTCTACACAAAAGATGTCGGATTTCATCAAATTAAGGAAAAATTTATAAGATTCCCTCAACTAATAACATAACTTAGTTTAACAATTGGCTCAGTCTTCCTCGATAATTCACACTAAATCAATTAACAAAATCATCTTTGACAGAAAAATTAATGGCGCAGACATGAAAATAGTATTACTTCTGTCTTTTGTTGCCAATGCAGAGTTTATCATAGTGAAAAATCGTGTCTAGAAATGACTTTCAGAGAATAACATGATTATTTGAAGATGAAAATAGTTATTTGTGTTGAATAGTTTTTCAGATTTCATGGTTTCATATATTGAAAAACGTCTGGAAAAATCAATATAAATTCTCTTTGGGTTTTTTCCTACAAAATCTTGAAGATGGTTGAAATACAAAATTAATGTTAATAAAGGTTTTTGATTTGAATTAGTTTCTGAAGAGTATAATTATATATACATCAAGTATTTTGTAGTTTGTGTAAAAAAAATAGTAAATCAGATTGGGTTCACTGTTGATTACTGAGTCAGACATTTACTTATAAATACTTATTAAACATGTAAATAATTCAGTATCTCATAGCTTAACATGTTCTGTATGTGTCTGGTAAATTTGCATCAGTGACCAAATTGCCTCCAGATATATGGTTATAATATTTAAACATGGTCAGACAAACATGTCAAATATAAGTCATAGATATAGTCTTATCTGTCACAAAATGGATGTAACTTATTTACTGAACCTTACCACTCTGATTGGTTGGTGTTGGATGTCCGGGACACTTTTTAGAAATATCGGATTAAAGTTCTATATTCAGCGACTAAATTAGAATTCAATGAGTTAATCTAAAATAATTCTTCCTTCCCAAATCTTTCCTTTTAGTTAATTTGTTTTACGCCAGACGTTTCTCAGACCTGAACGCATAAACATGGAAAATTAGCGTCAGGAGTAATAATTCACGAAGCCACGTCTTGCCAAGTATCTGAGATCATGACCCCGCGGACTGCTAGATTGTCTTGAATCAATAACAATTTGGTGGGAATAGACGCGATTGATTTATTCATTCTGACTGCCGCCATGTTATTCTATGATCTAACTCACATTGACATATTTCAGAAAATAGCAGCACTCGAATTATCGTAACAAGAAAATGATGACAATATTCACAGCAATCATTGGAACGGAGAGTGTTAATGGCAATTGTTTGTAGCAGACTGAATATTAATGGAGAAATTAACCTCTATGACAAAATGGCCATATTTTAGTCTGTGTCATCATTAGCAATTACTAAGCTGACATGTCATTAGCTATCTCATTTAGTAAATTAACGTTAACTCTACATTAGAGAAGTTAAGCTCACGATATATTCTTAAAATATTACTTGTGTTTGATAAATGACCATTTCATGTATTCTGACTTATCTAGAATAAGGGTTTATCAATGAAGAAATGTTTTATAAAGAATGGTTATTGTTATAAAAATGATTGTTTGCCTCACTCTACACTTTTAATGAATTATTAGGTGTTTGTACCATTTCAAATTTAGACTATCAAATTAAATCTATGAAATTGAAATTTAATTGAGTTTACGAAGCTGCAAATCCTTGGGGCAATATGTGATTGGTAACATCAGGCATCAATAATATATTTATGGTGTAGATAAATGGAATTAGCTATTTTGTATACTGGTATATATATATAGACAAAATAGATAATGGAATTAGTTTTTTGTTGCATAGATAGAAAAATGAACTCGCATATATTGTTTAAATGAAATGTGACATTGTAATGAAATAAGTAACCGTAATTGATGAAAAGAAGTCATAGAAAAATTAATTAAGGACATAATTCACTATTTTATGTCTAAAATATTCAGTTTTGTTCTGACTCTTTTAGCGAAAGTGGTCACTATTGTCTCTTAAAATAAATGGTGAAAATAAATTTGTCAACATTAGGATACCCAAAGCATCCATTTAACCATGTCTTTAAATTGGCATGATGACATTAGTAATCGAGACTGATCACACACTTGTGACCTGTTATGGCTCTGTGACCAATTGTTTAAATTTCTCAGTTTGTTTGCTGCCATTCCAACAAATTATCATAACAATAATGCCAGCAAATAGTTATCAATATATACTTTATTAAATTTGTTTACTTTCAATTTTCAGTTTAAAGATAGAATATGGGATTTTTGGCATGAAAATTGAATTCGTTTTGCAGAGCCATGAAAGTAGTAGGCTTAAATGAGTGGTGTTCAATCAAAAAATTGATGATTGTGTTTAATGCCTTAGTCTCAAAGTAGCTAGAGTAAAGTCATGAGAGAATATTTAACATTAAATTTATTTACTTTTCCAGGATGCTCCACAATCTGTATCTCTGGGTTTACGGATGGAAGAAATGATATTTAATCTTGCCGACACCCATCTATTCTTTAATGATTTAGAGGTAAGTTCATTCACTAATAACGGTATTACACTACCATATATACTACTTCCATTGGGTTAGTGTTAGACAAGATCTTCCTTCAGGCCAGATCAAGCATCTATTTCAGTACTGACTAGATCTGAAACAAAAATATACACCAATTCACAGTACATAAAACTTGTCAGATAGACCATTTAGCTGTACATACATGGAATGCTTGGGTATTGTGCGACATGGGTCTAAAGAAAGAATCTTGATTTGCCTGTCAACTGTTTATCACAGTAAATATGATGGAGATTTTGCTGAACATCATTTTCTTATTGGCCCTGCACCTGCTGACATTTTTGCAATCTCTGTGCTTTCTGTTTTATGCAATACGCTGTGAGCCGGAAGAAAAGGATGTTTATTTCAGAGTGTTGCATGTACCTTCTACCCCCTTTACTCACCTTCACAGTCAATATTCATCTCTTTATTCTTTCAAGACAGACTGTTTTTGAAATTGTTGACATTTTCAAAAAAGAATGTCTCTTTTTAACTTTTCGGCTTGGTTTTGAAATTGTTTCTGACACAAGAAAGAATTGCAAGTTAATTTGTGTGTTATCTAATGAGATGTAAGACCAACGTGTGATTTGGAGCGTGTGTAAATGTTTTAGTAATCTTGTTTAAACAAGGGATTATTTTTCTCGTTACACAAAACAAGGGAAACAAACGAAACAAACGCCAGTCTGTTAGCTGAAAACTAAGTTCAAATATAGCCATCGTGTGCCAAACAGATTAACTAAAACCCAATTGAAAGCACGATTATTCAAGGTAGTTGCTTGGTCTGTTGCGAGACTTTGTCCTGTATTCTGGGACAGTTTTTGTTTGTTTCTCAGCGCCGGCTTGACGACTGCAGACCTGACGATCCATACACAAGTCTTATTAAGCTGCGTGAGTAAATATTGTCCTGTAAAGAATTTACTCCAATCCTTGAAACCTGTATTGTAATGACTTTTTCCGATGTGTTTAATGGCCGTTGGAGGTATTTGGCCCACTGTTTGCTAATAACCTAGAGGTCACATGATTGTGTAGCTTTGATTAAAGTGACGAGACTTGTATAATAACGAATCGTCGATTCTGTACCTTTTTTCTTTAAAAGGATTGACTTGATATTTTTATTTGCTGACCCTCGACTTAGACGCTGAATGGAACATCTGCCTCCCGAGACCTTTTTGATAACAAGAATTGGGTCATATCTAAATCTGCTTTGTGTTTCATATGTATTCGAATGAGAAATCACGATTTCATGAGCGCTCATATCATTCAAAAATCGAAACACGTATTCTCAATCCACTATTCTATTGTTTTCTCTTGTGATTCAATCATTAATACAAAATCTATTAAAAGCTGAAAATAGCCAGGAGATTTTGTCTAAAATCACATATTAGAACAAAACACTTTTTTTTCTCTCCATGGATTCTTTTGATGTTTTTACACTTGACATTTTGTCATGGATTTAATATTTGATTCGTAAAACCTTAATTAAATAGGGGGACTTTAAAACTGTTTGCTAAAGGAATTAATGGCAACATTTTATGGTAAAATTTGTTATTTTTGTTTTAGTCACTCGTGTTATCGAGTTTCTGTGAGAATAAAGCTTTTACTTTGCGCATCCTTGTAAATATTTGGTCACCTAGTTAGCACGTTGTCGCTAATCGAAACATGGAGGGAAATTTGTCTATTGATATTTTTGGTCACGAGTCGAATTGCTGGAGATTTTATTGTGAAATAGATTAGAGATAGCTAGATTTGTTTAATGTACGGGTTTAGATAAAAATATAATTATATAAAATCGTTTTAAGGTAATCACAATGAAACCCTCAAATTAAAAATTCTTATTGTCAACTACCTATTTTTCAATAATCATTTCGGGGTAAACAATTAGTTATTTTCAGTACATCAGGTTAAATAGATTTTTAATCATAAATGATTTACTTGTTATTGGTTTGAAAATGAGTATATAAGACTTATTTGCAAATTATTATGTGCTTATGTACAATGTGACAGTGAAATTGATGTTGGTGGTATGGGGATTCCTAGTTTATAAAAACAAAATAATCAATTATCAAAAACTGAAAGAGGATTTACTATTACGTAAAAATGTACACTAATTTGTGTTGTAAGAATTTTAGATATTGATTGAAATGTATTCAATATGGAAGAATGTGATTTATGTGACATTAAACATATGAGTATCGATTAAATGTACAATTTTCATCACATTTTATAAAGAATTGCAATTCCACTAGAATCTGAAATACGGGGGAAATTGCTGATTATACGACAACCAGAATATAAAGCAGATATAAATTGAGTCCATTTTATGATGAAAATTACCCTTCTACAACGAACGGACCAGTTTTCTGCCCTGATCAATATACAAGTTCACGAAGCTACAATATTTGTTCTGTGGAGTGATTTTGATTGGCTGATAATAATGGGTTCTGGTCTTTATTTAATTGATTAAAAATGAATTTGATTGGTTAGTTGGTAGGCCATATAATTTGAAGAAGACATGAATTGGTATTAGACAAGAGAGTTCCATTGTTTATTGATCCACAGCCAATGGTCACTAAAGAAATTGACAAATTGCGGAAATAACTTGTCCTTTTTCTTCCTGTCTTATAACCAAATATACTTAAGACCGTCTTAATCTGAAAAGTAGCCATGTCTTTGGTTCCAATGTCGTCCAATTTTCATTTCTCAAATGGTCATGGAATGTTTAAAATTGGCAGATGTTATTATAGAAAGCTTTAAGATTTCTGAAAATTTTCTGCTTTGATTTACATCCTAATATCTTTCCTATATTTGTATTGTTAAATGATATGAAATAGGTTATGTCCACCAGGGTGAAGGTGGTAACATCAAGCAGCAGACTTTTGAAAATTAAACATTCAAAATAAAGTGCCTATAAACACACACACTCTTCGCAGTGTTTCGTTTGATTATACCTAATCCCACTTAACACGGCTGTAATGAAAGCAAATTTCTGTTCCAAATTATGACTAGTCAATAGTCCGATTAACAACCAATATCTAATTGCGTAACAACATCATTATGCTTTAAACAGAGCTCTAAATTGGACCAAATATGTTTACATAACGTTAGGCCCAATTAACCAGTGCATAGCAGAATATTGCAGCAAAACTAATTGCATGACAAACGAGGCTATCAAAACGAATACAATGTAAACAATATTGTTTGGAGACGAACAATACTTCCACCGTTTTTAATACCATAAATCACTGTCCAAAGTTATAGGGAAGATTCAAGATTAAACGAAGGGCTGTCATGTTGCTGTACTTGGGATAGATTGGATTGATTGGGAAGAATAGATACACTCCCCAAAAGCTCAAGTATCAGAAGCCAATCCAGCAGGCAATGGCCAGAGAGGGATTTCTCGGGCCATTGCTTCAGGAATATGATAAACACATAAAATATCTTTGTCCAGAGGCATTATTTGAAGTGAGAGGCATGATTGGGGTTTTTTTCAGAAATTTATGCATAGTTCAATATGAGAATTGCTGTTTTCAGTATATTTCCGTAGATACAGTCAAATAATATGTACAAGATAGACTTGATATTGTGAAGACGGAAATAATTGTGCTAAATAATTTTATAGTTTATGGTTATAAATTTGATCTTCCACAGCAAAATTATTTATTTATTTTTAAACATTTTAATGAGCAAGCACTTCTAAATTATCCATTTATATTAGATTTCTGTGTACAATTAATGCAGTTTGCTCTATCATGTTTTGCCATCTGACAAAAATATATATCATATTAAGTTTGATATACAGACATGTGCCACACTTTTCAATAAATTTATCCGATTGCCTGGAGGGAATCTTATTAATTATCTGAATAATTTTATCCAGTCTTTAGTAAATTATTAACAAAGGGTTTTCATTATCTGTGTCTGTTTGCGAAAAATACCTCGGGGTGGGAATCAAAACAATTCACGTCTGGTGTTTGGCTTCTCCAACCACTTCTGTGCCATTAAAATATTCTGGGACACTGCTGTTAAATTCATTTGATATAATTATAAAGAGGCTCTTCAGTTGTTGAGGTCAATTTAATCTCTTTGTCATAGAGTTTTAGTCTGTTTTATTGGTCTATTGTTTTTCAGAATGCCCTGTAAGTTCTTTAGATGTTTAGTTTAAAGTCACTGTAATGATCAGATCATATTTTCCTCCAAAAAGAAATATAGGCCATTAAAATTTAAACAATGCTATTTGAAAAGTCAATAGATATATCTACTTTGAAAACTCTTTAATTTTATTCAAGATGTCTGAAAATGAATTATTGATGATCAAGCTAGGAAAAGGATAAGTCTCAGTGGTGGTTTATGAGGTGTGTTTACTCCATTGTCCCAGTGGTCAACTTAATAAAAGTACCCTGTAGTCAACTCACATAATTTCAGGCCATTGACAAAACTTGTCGGTCATTATTAACTTGAGACATTAAAAGAGTTAAAAGACAAGTGTTGCTGATGTTACAGATTAAACTTGGTGTTTTATTTGAAGATGGTTGAGTCACTTCCTATCTTTATTTGAAATCTGTTCACTATTGTTATTGATGCTTTAAGTGTATTTGAACTCGATTTTATTCCATTGTTCTTTATTTATGGAGCTTGAATTTAGGGTAAGTGTTGATGGGTTGAGACAAAATTAAATATATATTTGGAACAACGGTGGCCAAACTTTAAAATTTTTATTAAAAAAATAAATGTTTTGGATTTTATGAAACATGTGTCAAAATTTCCAGGGAAAGAGTCAAGGCCAGAAAATTACCTGATATTGAGATGTTTTTCTTTTATGTATAGGACATTCAACTTACAATTTCTTAATGATAGAAAATCATTATCTAATTTATATCATATAAAATATAATGGTCTTATTTTTAGTCATTGTTTTCTTGTGTCGTTAAAGTAATTTTCTACAAAGAAACCTTGCTAGATTACTCATTCGACATCAACAAAGTAAATTTTTAAAAATTTGAAAAAGTCATGTTTTCATTGATATAATATTTATTTAAACTGACTTCCTTCCTCAAACTGTATTAAATCACGTATCTGATAATATTGTAATTTTCAATGTGCAGAATTTTAGAGATTTTATCAAATTTACTTAAGATAGGAATTGGCAAGCATCATTAAAGTCTGCATGGTTTTTAGTCCCGGTATTAATTGAATCCTTTTAAAGAAAATAGGAAATGCTTTAGGCCTTTCAATTCATGCATTGTTCCCATTTTATTTGAAGAGTTGCCGTATTTTTGTCTGCCATTGTTTAAGAGTTAAAATGGTTTCCAGTGTGTAGTTTAAACAGAGATGACGGTCTTTTGTTCTCTGTTGTTATCAGTTCTTGTTGATTGCTGCTGCAAGTTAATAAATCTGTTGAATTTTGTCTGTCTTCCTCTTCAAACCCTTAATTCACTCCATTAAAAGTTGTAAAGAGTTATTCACCCTTGATAAATAGCTATTGACAGACGGCCATTTTGTGGTGAAATCTCTAAATGTGCATGCATACATGTCGAATAGGTACTTGATGCCATATAACAAAACAAAACAACAGTTTTAGTTTTTGATTATAGTAATGTTTGGATTACATAAAATGTAAATTGGAAAGATTAATTTTAGGTCTCTTGTTTTTTTTCGATGCATGATTCACACATTTCTCAAAGTGGACTAATATAAGACAAATTGTCACTGAAATTGTTTACATTTTCTTCCAGGAATGCGATCAAGTTCATATAGATGATGTATCTTCAGATGACAATGGACAAGATTTAAGGTAAACTACTATAATAATTATATCCAAAATATTGTGATTAAAAATTGTAATTTAACACCTAAAACACATAATTTTACCAAAATTAAAAGAAACAAAAAATATTCAAAATAATAATTGGTCCCAAAGAAAATCATATAAGTTAATAAAAATTAGATGATTAGGTAAAAAAAAAATATATGACTTTTACATGAGATTTGATTTCCACAAAGGTGTCAATTTAATATGATATGAATTGTAAACATTCCCAATGATACTGAAAAAAGCCTTTAAGAAATAGAAAATATAACAGGTTTTTTTTTTTGTTATATTCAAACAAATCGGATGAGTTAACTTTTAATAAGATTGTCAGAGTTATTTTTTATGGTATTGACAGCGAACACCTGTTTATTTTCCCACATACTGAAAAATGTTTAAAAGTCTGAAGAAACATGGCCACATCTGGCAAGACCCTAGTTTATTATTATAATAATTAATTTATTTTCAAAACAAGTCCAATTAAAGATAAAAAATACCAGTGCAAAGAAATAAACAATTTTTTTATATGTCTGCAAAAGGTTTTGAAGATTAAGTGTGAAGTTGTTAACTGTAAAAAACATGATAAATCAAATATTCTAATAAATGTTGTGTAGTCAACTACTGATATTCAGATTAATTACTAGTATTTAATGATTATTTATTTACAATATGACAACAGAATAGTTAAGAAATTCCCCCCCCCCCCAAAAAAAAAAAACTAAAAAAAACAACTATTTATTAATGATGACATAAATGTAGTTACAAATTTGAATTTGAAAAATTTAAGTTTGGTGCTACCATGAAAGAGATTGCTTTATTTTATTATCTGATTTGAACAACCCAAGTTACACAAATTGAACAACTGTAATAAGAATAATAAGAAGAGTTTAAGCCTGACCTTTAACCCCTAGAGATTTACGTTATTCTAGTTCCATGAATTACAATTAACTTAACACATTGGAACAGGTGTTGTACTGCCCTCTAGTGGCTGGTTAATGCCACACAAACATTGCTTCTTTGCGCTGTATGTGTTAATGAACATGTTCACTTTTAATCAAACTAACTGCATCTGTCAAAACTACTATTTTAACTTAGAAAAGCTTACCTGCACTTCTTCAGGAATTCTAATTCCAAGATCAAAAGAAACTTTTTAGATCCTTTTAGAAAGACATTTCAAATATTTTTATACATTTTAAAAATATAGCTGATCAAAGTGAAAATTCCCACAATTTCCAGCTATCTGTTAAAAAAAACTGAAGAATGTGAAAAAATTTAATTGGTAAATAAATTAGATTTTGCGAGGTTTGATTTTTATTTTGGACTGAATTTAATTGGTACATATCTATTTTACATATTGTTTAATACATTATGTAAGATTTAGATAAAGAGCTGACCATTCTTGCTATAATAGCTCAAAAATAGATAATGTAAAATGAATAATTTGAAAATTTCATTCAAATTACTCTATTGCGAACGAAGATATTAGCCTTTGAAGTTTGACAAGAGGTATGCAATAATTTCAACCACCGTACTGGTTGTTCGAAGCTAAGTCTCGCTCCTCTATTTTTAGCTTAAATCAAAAAATGGCTGAACTGTTCTAATCTATTTAATATCGGACAAATCTGATGCCATCAAGAGTTGATTATGGCCTGGATAAGTTAATTAATGTCTTATTAATAATTTAGAAAACATTTCAGGCCTAAAGAAAGACCTGCAATAGGCAGATTTAGCTCTTGCATAATGTATGTTTAAGGGATAGTTGGTTAATTTTAAGATTTATATATATAATCAAGTGTTCACTGAATATTCATAATAAAAAATATTTATAAGAGATTTTCCCCCGAGGAATTTAATAAAGATAATTGAAAGTTTTATTTAGTGATATTTGTTTTTGCTGGGGTTTTTTTATCAATTCTGATTTTTGAATGATTATTTTTCAGCAATTATAATTTTGCAACGGATGGTTTTCATGCCGCAGCAAACAACGCTACATTGTGTTTAGCTACTGGTGTACGAGGAGGTGTAGATTGGATGAGAAAATTAGCATTTAGATATCGAAGAATGAAGGAAATATTTAATACTTATAGAAATAATGTGGGAGGTAAGTTCTTTTAATAATAGCAAAGTGTAAGGAAGAAGAGTGGATCTGATCAGGAGAATTGTCAGTGATAATTGTTGTTAAAAATAAGTTGAGTCATGTGTTACCATGTTTCTCTTCACTGCAGTTTTTGCTGCACAAAAATGAAAATGCTCAGTTGGTGTGTGCTTGATTTATGATTTTAAAGATGCAAAGAACCTTAAAGGACATTAAGCTTTTTCCTTTAAATTTAAAAAGAAAGTTTTCTTTAGATAGTGAACCTTAAATATCATCATGGAAAGAAATGAGTCATCCTTCAGTTGTTGAGGATAATTGTTGGACCAATATCCTTTTTTGTAAAACAGCTTTTTTGTGTATATTGCTGAAATTATCTATTTGTCTTCTAGGTTGGAATATTTCTGTCTCATGTGGCCTGTTATAGCCTTAAGTCAAGGAAAAATATCTTTCTTTCGAAATGGAATTGTGTCTTAACAAATAAAATTCATAGTGATTTCTGGATTCAGGTGGAATATTAGCTCATCACATTTTATCAGCATACATCACCCTGTTCCAGAAAAAAATAATTATCTATTAGGTTTTAGAATGAGGCATGAGAAGTATAATTAGTATTTATTTATTTTTTACCGATTTTTACAGTAAATTATTCTTCCTCATATTAAAACTTTTTTCTATGACTTCAGGATTACTGGGTCCTCAGAAACGAGAACAGTGGCTGCAGCTTCGACAAGAAATTGAACAGTTGACAGATAATTGGTTGACGATGGCTCTTAAATCATTATCAATAATTAATTCAAGGTAGGCCTCTAGTTCTATTTTCGATAAAAGCACTTGCATCATATTGAAAATCATAATCTTCCAGATTCCAGATTGTAACTTGATTAGTTACATACATGTTGATGTGACCCAGAAACATTTGTATCTCGCACTGCCCATCCCAGAACTAAAAAAGGACACTTACTGAAATGGTGGACTGTTCTAGACTGATTATGTACATTTTCTCTAAAATGAATTGCTCATACAAAGCCTATTTCTTCTCTTTTTTTTGTGGATGAAAAGTCTACGTCTTTGAAATGAAAAACCTGGAGTGTTTAATAGTGTAAGAAATTCCATGTTACACCCAGAAAGGTTAAACAAACTCATTTTCATGTTTGGTCTCAAAACAAAGTTTATTTTCTTTCAATTTTAAAAACTAACGAGGGTAAAATACTTCACAGCTTAAGGCTTGATCTTTAACATTCTGCTGCAAGTTTCAAATCCTTCTCTATAATTAGTCCATGATTGCTTTGGTACTTGCAAAATTGGCTGATTTTTACAATATGTTCAAGCCACAATATTGTTTTTCGAAAATATGAATATTTATGTAATTGTTAAAGTATAAAATAGTGTTATATTTTGTACGATTTTGAAAAATATACCACACATCAAAACAAATTTTTTTTATCATAATATTAATATCATGAAATGGGGTATATCAGATATGATGCTGAATACTTAGATTAGTATTTATTGATAACAATAATGCTATTGAGCTAAGCACTAACATCAGGCCACAATTCTGGTTTGACACACTGTTTTTTGGGTTTTTTTTAAATTTGATGTCTGGTGGTATTAATTCATGATATGTATTAGCTAAAACCTTAACCAACAAAAAGAAACATTGTAGTTTTTGCTAAATTGTAGTTTCAAATTAATGTCTTTACAGATTATGATATTATTTATTGAACTTAATGATATATATATATACATATATTTTTTGTTACAGATCAAACTGTGTAAATGTATTAGTAACAACAACCCAGTTAGTACCTGCTTTAGCCAAGGTTTTGCTGTATGGTCTAGGAGGTGTCTTTGATATAGATAACATCTATAGTGCTACAAAAATAGGTAATGGATCTATTTGTTAAATTTTAAAATTTTAGGTCATTTTTGGTGTTTTTAAGCAAATGCTTGTTGTGCATGTGCTTCTGTTTTCTGGCACTGACAAAGTGGCCAAAATTATGTGATGAAACACTCGAATTGCTGTTTTGAAAACAGTGCATGATAAAACTCAACTCCCTCCCTTTGCTACTAATTTATATATTTGTACAAAAAATTTATTTAGGAAAAAAAAACATGAAATAAAAAGAAATCCTTAAAAACTTGTTAAAATACAAAATGAAAGTAAGCTTATTGTTGGAAAATTTGATATAGCAGTTTCAATGACTTGTTAGTTTTGTGTGCCAGGACCCCACCTTGTCAAATCTATACCAGACCGACCAAGATAAAATTCCCCAACTATTTTCATCATCCATCAGTCAGCAGGAAATCTAGCTTGAAACCTCCATCACAAACGCGTCTAAAACCTGCTTCAACAAAAATCAAAAAGCCAGCAACAAAATAAACAAAGATTTAGATGGTGGAGGGCGTATTATTTTCATTCTTGTCGTTCATTATCTGTAAGATAACTTCTAGACCAGCATGCCCCATTCAAGATGGAGGGATATTTGTTATGATTTCAGGCCGATTTTCTACAAAAGAATGTAATTCTATCAAATTCACCAGATGGGACGCGAGATTCCCAGCATGACAAGGTCTTCGATAAATCTTAGTTATTTCCTACCAAGATTGTTGTTCATTTGTCGCGTAAATCGAGACCGTTGATGCAGCAATGGTATTAATACGCACAAATTGTTGGCCTTTTTCTAACATGATCTGGTAGCATCTAATCTGAGAATATTTCCCTCAAGGTCACCAGGTCATTTACACAAAAATAAAATACATGATCCATTTTCATCTACTTTCTTTTCATCTCAATATGTAACTCCTGCAATAAATACAGGATGAAAATATTTTAAAATAATCTGAGCTATAGTTTATCATAATAATAATAATAATAATTCTTTTATCTCCCCTAGCAAACCATATGAATAAATATGTTCCCATATTAAAATAATTCTCGGATAGTACAAATAACACTTTTCATCATTGGGATTTTACAAACACCAAACTAATGTAAACATAAAGATACATGATTTTCGTACCATGTAGTGAAGCCTATTTTATTTTTAATATTTTTGACATGTAATTGATAGAACTTGAAAAGAAGATTTTGAATATTATTATCAGATTGTAAACACATTAGTTAATTTATTTTCTGTACAATTCTCTTGATATATTCATGAGTGTATTTTTATTTCAATTACATACTACTGTCTTCTCTCAATGTTTATTTCACAAGATAAGATAATCAGTTGTACATAGCTGGTTCTTTAAGTTGAAAATATAAGAGATGAGGTTTGTTTACAAAGGAATAACAGTTTAGATCAGTTTATCCAATATAAATTCATCATCTGTTGATCTCAGTGTTTTTTCTTTTTGTTAATTTGAAGGTAAAGAGAGTAGTTTTGAGAGGATTGTATCCAGATATGGGAGAAAATGTACCTATGTTGTCGTTGGTGATGGAAGGGATGAAGAGACGGCTGCTAAACAGGTAAATGATTAAAGCAAATGGTCTCTTGATAGTGGAAAATTATAGTTCTAAAAATATCATAAAATTAGACATCCTTTTCATGCATTTAGGATTTTGCAAAATGGTATATGTCCAACATGCTCTTTCTTATTATGTGTTTTGAACTTTTTGTCCAAGGAAAGACTCCAAAGTCTGAGGAAAGTGAGATTCCTTAACAGTTCAATTTATTTATGTTATTTATTTGTTTGTTTCAGATGACGTGGCCATTTTGGAGAATATCAAATCATTCCGACCTTGCAGCTCTACACCATGCCCTGGATTTAAACTACCTCTAGAAAATCCAGCCAATTATAGGCTTTGTTACATATACAACCAATCAGAATAGAGATAACAATTTATCATATTTTTTAAAAGTATTCAGTTTCAACCAAAGAACATATTAAACATATATAGATATCAATCATCTGATGAGATTTCTCAAAGCAAGTGTTACTTTCATCCAATGGATGGCCTTGTTACATAATAACCCAATGACTTAACCATTGATTATGTTAATCAAGAGTGAAATGGACGCTAACTTGAAAACCTCCGTTAAAATAGTGCTTAGGGTTATTTCTACATTCAGATTGAAAAGTGCATCCATATTATGCGGTATTATTCAAGTATGGAGAACATATCTAATGCAAGCCAGAATTTTATCCAAACAGAAGAGATTACAATGCTGTGGATTGTTGAACTCATTGCAGTGTGTGGCGTCTTAGAATTATACGACAATCAACATCATGGCCATTTGTAACAGACTTTATTATTGGATGTTGTGAAATAATATGGAAAATTGCTACACAAGACTTAAAATTCCATGGAGAAAATAAAACTGGAACCACTAGCCAGCGATTTTGAATTTCTTTTTTAAAGTTTGATTGGATGACTCTTGAAAATAAAACGGAATGGTTACCATGGAAACCATTAGAAGAAAGGATTCTGTGATTGGTTAAAAGAATATCTGAATTGGTTACCCGAACCAGAGAACTGGTTAAAGAAAACCGTGTTTTGATTGGTTACAGAGATTGGTTCTGGCCATAAAAACAAAGTAAACTGGGAACAAAGATTAAAAATATGTTAAAATATTGGATGGTGAATATTTGAATATATATTAAAGATCAGTTTGTGTGTGCAATGATATTTACCATTAAAATTTAATTTTTTTTTCTTAGTTCCAGAATTGTAGTTTTTAAATGTCAAGGTCATATATATGACCATGTCAAGGTCCTGAGAATGACCTTGAACTATCATTCCCCTTTATGGATGTGTTATAATCTGACTGCTATATCAAGAATGTCTGCATCACCCTAGACTTAACAAGTGATTAATTTTAAACATCAGCATTACTGAAATATATTGATAGCAGAAACGATGGCAGTAATAGAGAGAATATAGAACCCTTATTAAAATATATATATATTTATGATGTATATTTTATCTTATATAAACCGTAAATAACACACATTATACTAACAATGTACTCTTATTTTATTTCTCAAATATAGTTTAAATTTAAATCGGAAATTAGGTGTGAATATTCTGTTGGTCCTATCTACTTAGCGTCTGCGACGTCGAAGTTTAAAAATTGAATTAGTCACATAAATAATTACAGATTTGGGGATAGACTTCATAGATATGTATTTAGTAGAGCATGATGTGTCAAATCTCTGTTATCAATTACTGTAAGACCAATTCTGTAAAACCCCTGTGATCTCTTTCCCTCAGATCAATGCCACTCTTTAGGCTCACATGAAAGTTTGTTAGTTTCATATTTCTTTGAGTGTAAACTTGACATAGCATTCCACTTTTACTAATTAATATTAATTAATGAATTATTTTAACTAATCTTCTTTTATATCTCATAGATAATTATTTTAGCTCAACATTTTTTTAAACAATTAGTTTGTGTGTGCTTCTCCTGTGTGAAGATATTTGTAATTTTGATAATAAAAAAAAATCTCACATTTAAAATAATTGTTATTCGTTTACATATTGTAACTGATCTTGTTAAAACCGATTTCCAACTTCAACATGTGGTCATTATCAATAGTTATAAGTCAACATGAATTTCAGTGTACAATTTGATTAATACAGTGCACAATTATTGCCGTTTGTACAACAAATGCAGCATTCATTTTGTTATTCATGACAGTTTATGTGATGCATTATTTGTCATTTGGCTTCTAGTTTGATAAATATTTAAAATTAAAAGAAATTCATTGATTCTCATTGTATGTGTAAAAAGCATTTTAAGCTTTCATGTGATGTATTTGTTTTGTCATTGGCTTCATTGTACAGCTTTTTAAGAATTTGAAATTTAATGAGTTTATTACATTTTAATTTTAAATTGCTATATTAATAGTGTATCACACCTCAAGTAATTCAAAAGATATTTTTATTATTGAATGTTGCAAGTCAGAAATGTTCAAACAAACCGTCTGAGATGGCTGGAACTCTTCAACATAGTCTGTGAAATCATTCAAATTATGTACTGCTAGATCTATATTTTTAAAATGTATGTGATGATTTTCCCCCATGTTTTAGAAATAAAAAGCAAATGAAAGAAATTGTGATGACTGGTATTACAAAGGATAAAACAGTTGTTATAATATTTAAAATGTCTTTCGGCTACTCCATTTGTTATAAATGAAGTTTCATAGTAGCAAAGGAGATTCTGTTAAATTGTGCATGCTGTATGCTTATATACATGTACTTTGCTCTGTCCGTAGAAGATTTCTTAAGTTTTCTTCAGTTTTATTTAAGGAAGGCAATGGTAGATTATAAACAGTTTCCTCAATAATCACAGCTCTTTGTGTTATGAACAGACAATCCACAAAGTAGCTGATTGTCTGCATATATGTTGCACAGTGTATAACCAATAAAAGGGCTTGCAAACAGGAAGCAAAGCAAAGATGACTGCAAATATTAACTTATTAATCTCTCAGGGATGTTGGTAGAAATTTGACAGTGCTATTGAATGAAAATTATGAGATTTCCGCTAAAGAAACCCCTGGTTTTTTTTTTAACCCCTCTGTCACTTTCTAATCACATCCCTGTACATTACAGTGTGTTGTCACTTTCTAATCATATCCCTGTACATTACAGTGTGTTATCTATTTATTTAATATATTTTTGAATCACAAAGATATTTCATGTTGGTTTTTTCCACCCCAGGAAATAAATCTTGCTTTAGGTTGAGCTGGTTTCATAAAATGATTAAAATACCTGACCCTGTATTCATTTTAATTATCAAAGTATCGTCATCAATCGTTTCGTACTTTTCATCTTGTTAGTTAATGTGTGTTCATGGTTTTAATGAATTTTGTTTTGTATAAAATAAAAGTATTCGGTCAAATCCCTTAAGTTTATCTGACCTCGAACTTGAGTTATGACATCAAGTTCACCTTGACCTGAGTAATCAGTTAACTTTAATAAGAAAGGGTTAATGTGAACTTTGTGTTTTCGTTGACTTGATATATATATAATATATGTATGTATTCTGTGTGAACTGTTTTAACAAATTATTATTGAGTACCATTATCCATCCTACTACTGTATTTTTTTGTTTGTCCATATTTGGGTGCCATTTTGACCATTGATAGAGCAAGTCTTGTACAAAATAAAGATTACCAGGTAAACAACATATTGTCTTATTATTTTTACTCAGACATAAATTTGATGTCTCATCGATGGCAAAAATCAGGAAGGATTAAAAGGGCGCTTGGCGTTTAACATCTGTAAGAAATACAAAATAAAGAGGATTGGGGGGCATGTGCAACCACTGCAATTTTGCCAAGATATAGAAGTACACATTTTATTGGAAATATTAGTATTGAAGTGTGATAATGCTCAGAAATCAACTCTAAACCTGTGCTTATATTACATGCCAGCACACATAAGTGCCTTTATATATGTTGGCAAAAGAGAGAGAAATGGGGTTTAATGTTCACTCAACACATACTAGGTCATAATTCAATAATTCGCTTGTGCGTAGTGGTCTTTAGAAGTGGAAGGAAACCAGAGAAACCCACAAGGTTGGACAAGGCGACTCTACTCCTTGTCACGTACAACCGGCGAATCGAAACATGGACTCAATGACAGACCTTATGATACAGCGCACATGTGCTAACCATTCAGCCATCTCCCCCCCCCCCTCCTGTTGGCAAACAATTAACTGGACTATAAAGAAAGGGAAAAAAGTATTAAAAACCAGCGGCTGCCAGGCAGGATACACCCACATTTTCGTGAGATGGATAGAAAACAAGCTAAAACGAAAGTGATTTTTCCTACAATCAATGGCCATAATTCAGGAAATTAAAGGAACCAAGATCTTTGAGTTATAAACTTACATTTCAAGTTTCAACAAAATCGGATAAAAATTGTGACCTCTATAGGGTCCACAACCTTGATATACCATATTTTTACGCAATTTGAGAACGAGGGGCGGCCATTTTGTCTGTCAGTTTTGGGTCGATTTTCACGAAATTAGAACTCAGTCGTCCTTAGGGTGAATAATACTTTTTTTTAAATCGGATAAAAATTATGACCTCTATAGGGTCCACAAGCTAAAAACGCAATTTTCGTAAAATCAGGGGCCATAATTCAGTAAGTTACGGTCCGATGTGCGTGAATATCGAAAGGAACCAAGATCTTTGGGTTATAAACGTACATTTCAAGTTTCAACAAAATCGGATAAAAATTGTAACCTCTATAGGGTCCACAACCTTGATCTACCATATTTTTACGCTATTTGAGAACGAAGGGCGGCCATTTTATGTCAGTTTTTGGCCGATTTTCACGAAATTCGAACTCAGTCGTCCTTGGGGTGTAACAGTGATATAATAATATGATTTTTTAAATCGGATAAAAATTATGACCTCTATAGGGTCCACTAGCTAAAAACGTGATTTTTCATACAATCAGGGGCCATAATTCAGGAAGTTACAGTCCGATATGCGCGAATATTGAAAGGAACCAAGATCTTAGGGTGTAACGGTTATATATTAACACAGTTTTTTAAATCGGATAAAAATTATGACCTCTATAGGGTCCACAAGCCAAAAAACGCGTTTTTGCGTATAATCAGGGGCCATAATTCATGAAGTTACGGTCCGATATGCGCGAATATCGAAAGGAACCGAGATCTTTGTGTTATAAACTTACATTTCAAGCTTCAACAAAATCGGATAAAAATTGTGACCTCTATAGGGTCCACAACCTTGATATACCATATTTTTACGCTATTTGAGAACGAACGGTGGCCATTTTGTCTGTCAGTTTTGGGCCGATTTTCACGAAATTCGAACTCAACCGTCCTTAGGGTTTAACGGTGATATAATAATACGTTTTTTTAAATCGGATAAAAATTATGACCTCTATAGGGTCCACAAGCCAAAAAACGCGTTTTTGCGTACAATCAGGGGCCATAATTCAGGAAGTTACGGTCCGATATGTGCGAATATCGAAAGGAACCGAGATCTTTGGGTTATAAACTTACATTTCAAGTTTCAACAAAATCGGATAAAAATTGTGACCTCTATAGGGTCCACAACCTTGATATACCATATTTTTACGCTATTTGAGAACGAACGGCGGCCATTTTGTCTGTCAGTTTTGGGCCGATTTTCACGAAATTCGAACTCAACCGTCCTTAGGGTTTAACGGTGATATGATAATACGTTTTTTTAAATCGGATAAAAATTATGACCTCTATAGGGTCCACAAGCTAAAAAACGCGTTTTTGCGTACAATCAGGGGCCATAATTCAGGAAGTTACGGTCCGATATGTGCGAATATCGAAAGGAACCGAGATCTTTGGGTTATAAACTTACATTTCAAGTTTCAACAAAATCGGATAAAAATTGTGACCTCTACAGTGTTCACAAGCCAAAAACATGATTTTTCGTACAATCAAGGGCCATAATCCATGAAGTCATGGTCCGATAGATGCCAATATTGAAAGGAACCGAGATCTTAGGGTGATAAACCTATATTTCAAGTTTCATTGAAATCGGATAAAAATTGTGACCTGTAGACTGTTCACAACAATTGTGGACGGACGGACAGGGGCGACGACAATATACGTCCACATGAAAATGTGGGCGTATAAAAAGATGTTATATATACATATTTTATTATGCAGAAAGAGAAACTTTAACAATAAATTATTGGCACCAACAAAAAAAAAACAACAATAACATTGCAATAATAATCATAAAATCTGTACAATAAATGATGTGCTAAAACACAGTGAGCAATAAAGGTGTACAATCTTGGATGTTAGATCCACATCCAATAATATCGATCTAATTTAAATACAGATCTGTCTTAATGTCATTCAACCCGAATGGTACACTGATAATCTGTCTCGTGCTGCCATTCTGAATTTGGTTGCACTAGACCATCACAGTCACAATATCAACTGCTAGATGCATTATTGTCAGAAATGTACCATCTTTTATTTAAGTTAGATAGATACCTGTAACAATATCAACAAAAACAATTATATAACACTGGAATAGAATATATATACATTCTTTGTTCATTCACACATATATTTTTTTGTAATAGTCTATATATTACACTTGGAAATAACTTTGCTTTTCCTTAAAACGGACCTGTTCTTTATTAAATGACATTAAACATTTTCTTAAGACTAAAACTCATTGTTTTAATGTCGATAGACCATGGCCCAAACTTTAAAGTATTACTTAACATAAGATGTAAATTTAGTTCTGGAAATATTTCAAGTTTAACTGTTAGTAGGCTTACATTAATGTATAGGGATGATTTAAAAGCTACAATAAATATCAAGAAAGAAAGAACTAAAAACTACCAACGTATATACCAAAATTCAAGAATCCTTCCAATTTGCAGGCCAAAAAGAACACCTGTCTACAGTAAGCCAGGTTAATCTGATAAAATCTGACAAGAAACAGAATCATAGATACCAATCTCAGATCACACTTTAAATAACATCAACATATTTCACACCTTACCAACTATTAATCACCACTCATTCTCTCAATACAAACAATTCTATTACACAATTTACTTACAAAAGGCCAGAAATTATAGCATTTTAGTTTCCCAAGGGTTGAGACCAAATAGTTAAACATTTTAATTCTGATATCCAAGCAAATTGCCTTAATCTTTGGATCTAATACTCAAAATTTCTGACAGATGAATGTTCTAACAAATACTTTACTTTTGGACCTTAATACTTAAATCTATAATGTTAAAAAAAAAACAATTTCCACTATTCTGTAAAAACTTACAAAATAAGTTCTAATTAATTCATAATTTTAAACTGATCTTCACTATTTTTAATTTCATCAATATATGTAAATATGACAAATTTTAAAAAATGTAAATTTACTGTAATCTTATTAAAATCTTTATTCAATGAAAGCGCATAGAGAGAAATATGACTGCTGCTATCATATATTATTTTTCTAAAGGTCAGTAGAAACCAAAATCTTTGATCGAAAGAGAAAGGCTTTCTTCTATCTCATCACAGGAATCATTTAGCTTTTGAAATAGAAAATAAAGTTGTATCTAGAACTAACTAGGTTTGAACACAAGATATATCTCATCTTGGCATCTTCAAAGCAGGGACTCTAAAGATATTTATCACCTCAAAGATGATTTAGACAAATATTGTTTCATCTAATCTTCCTATAAAATCTCTATGAATTATTCCTGTGTATTTTCACAGAGGCAACTAGATAAATAATTTGTCTTTGTTATTTATTTGTGTTTTTCTTCCCTTTGTTTATTTTTGTTTTGTTGCCAAAGTTTGATATTCAATGAAAGACCAATTTGACGGATAATTTATTTATCTGTTTTAGTTGGACAGGAAGTATAGCATTCAACTAAAGATTTTGTAAAACGATTAGAGAGTTAAATGAAGCAGATTTATTTCCTTTAGACGGCTAGTGATCATATTTTAATAGGCTAGGAGTCATTTTTCTACATTTGTAACCTAAATAGCTTTTCTTTATATATAAACGTGTTCTTAAAAATATTCACTGTTCTGCAATGGATATCAAAGTGTGTACATGTATTAATCACACTGGTTTATATCCAATCAGAATATTTTTAATATATTAAACAATTATTATTACATAAAACAATCTTCAGATTTACTGCCATAAGACTATAGATTTTATTTTGAACTTTGTTATTATCCATCTGTTTTAACCAAAATTGATTCAGAAAATGTTATTAATAAACACATTAATACATGCAAGAATTTACATGAATAATGTTAAATGTGTTACATAGATTCTAGCAAGTTATTTTTTTATGAAGTAAATTGTAAGAAAAAATACTAATGTACTAGAGAGACAGAAATAGCTTGAATCCAGTCAATACAAACATACGTTCATTTCGACCAAGTCATTTCAGGAGAATATCTTTATTTTATTTCTATTTTTGTGTCAGCTTTAACACTTTCAGCCATGGAAGAAACTTTTTGTCAAAAATAAAGTTCTATAAACATGTTTAAAGTTTTTTTCTTTTTAAATTATCAATATTATTGCATGGTTTTGAAATTACATCTATTTGTCTTTCTGCAGTTGCCAGATAAAAATCCGTAGGTGGAAATATGTGGGTGGAAATATATAGATATCACATTTTTAATAAATATAATCTCAGGTTTCTGTGTGCACAGATGGAATACTATGGAAAATATTTGCCACAGGTCTCATGGCATTTTCCGTTTCTTTACCTTTGTGATTTTTATAAATCTTTTTTGTTTTATAAATAAACTACTCTATTATTGGCTTTTTTACTTTGTATCAAGTTACTGTCCTTTAACAAAAAAATTCAAACCTTTCAAATTATTCTTCCTAACATTTAGTACAATATGCTTGACTTCCAAGTTAAAATTTTTGATATATTCAATTTGACGCACAAAATCTTCTAATTTTTTCAAATCTTCTGGTTGGCAATATCAAAAATCTTAATATTCAATAGACATTCTTGTCAACATTGTCTTTCAGGGTACCATTACAATATGTACACACACATTTCATAAGTTACCAGTACTAGCACTATCATAAGCCAATATGCTGTCTAGTCTACTGCCCAGTATGTTCAATCAATTTAGAATGTATAAGCTTAGTTGGTCCAATTTTCATTTTATTGATGTAAAATTTGGTTTCAATCATTAATACATCATTGTAGACCTATAAATACCTATTACTAGTATAATGTGTAAAGTGTTTTGTAACTTATATGACAAAAACATCATATTGTGTGAAATAATAGAAAATGTGACCAATGACAAACACCAAACAATTACATTTAGTTTGAATGCATTTTTGTGGAATTTGAAAATATATCAAACGCTTCTATCACAGATACACTTTGCGAAAAAAAAGTTTTTTCTAAATCTAAAAATTCTACTGTGGTTTCTACAAAATCTATCTATTATACAATCATCTAAAAACTAAAAAAAAAAAATATTTAAAAGTTAAGTTCATGAAATATTATTCAATGTCAGACTGTTTTAAATAAACTAAGAGCTTCATTATCAAATGTTGACTTATGAGAACACAGAATCTGTGTGCCAGCTTTCAGAATATATCACTTCTCACAATAAGTCAGCAATCAAGAATAAAAGCGTTACCATAAGGATCTGAATCAGCTATGTTTTTATGCCTATTCATATGATTAGATTTACATCAGAAATAATCAGCCTATTTACATTGAAAGTATAATGTTAAGTACTTTGGAAATGATTCTACAAAAAGAATTGATTGAGCTCTGTACAAAACAAATTAAGATTATTCATTTAGATATATTGCTAATTTAATGTAATGCTAAATTTTTTATATATATAAACATAATTTGCACCAGCCCCAACTTAAACATTAAATTCTATAAAATCCATGTACTAATACAACCTTAATAAATAAATAAGTAAACATTCAATTGTTTTGAGCAAATGACTGGTTTAAGATAATTTTGAATATTGAAAATGAACATGCTAAAGATTAAATCATTAAAAATATTTATGTTAAAAATTATCTAATAATGGAATGTAGAAATTTATGACCAGAGCCATACATTAATTGTGTTGGTAAAAGAGATCCCAACAAAGGATCTTGTTGAAAATTGACTATTGTACTTTTGGACAAAAAATAACTGACAAAAATCTCTAGCTGAAAGATTTGTAGTCAGAACATCTTCAATCATAGTCAAAAGACTAATTGTCAAACCAACCTGATCTTTTGTCAAAAGACTAATTGTCAAACCAACTTGAACTTAACTGAAAAAAAATATATGGCACTGTATTTTTAAATTGAGTATGCTTGTCTAGTGAGTACATTAAGCTTGTTTACATATCCTATTTATTCTAATAGTCCATAGAATCTAGGCTCCAAACAGTTTTTTCACTGTATAGCCTGGCATTGAGTAAAAGAACAGTAGAATCACTGCTGTTAACAACAGAACTATCAATAATTTCAAAATCACCCATTTATAATTATGCCAGAGAATATATCGAATAGACTTCCATGGGTTCATGAACCACATAAACGATGAATCTGGTCGACTGAAATGCAAATAAGAAAAATATGAAAATATATAATGAAATTTATAATGGATTAACATAGACATACAGGACAAAATTGCATTTTCAAAAAAATAATTGAAAATCATATTAATAAATGTTGGCCTGATCTTTCCCAGATCTGAAAGGTCTATCAACCAATATTGATACTACCGGTAGACGAAAACTAACTTCATAAAAACTAAAATCTTACTTTGGTTTGTCCAGAGGATCTGGTTCATTGCGACCTTGACCAGCAGGGTGTTTCTCCGCTTCTTCAGCTGAAATTAATTGTAACTCTGCTTCCACTTTTCCCTAAAATTACATATAAATAATGATGAAGAATTTGGTGGAATTCACCTCTACGACATCATGGTTTAATGCAGCATTTTATTTGTTGCATTAAAAGAAAAACATATTTTATTTATTGCATTAAAAGGAAAACATATAATCCACAGGGCACCAGGTGGAAAGAATTTAAAAATATTAGTTCAGAATCACAGGATTTCAACCAATCAACAGGAATACCTATTTGCTGATTATTGTTTCACAAGCTCAATCATGTATCCTTATTATTTTCAAAATTTTAAGAGAGATTCTGCTAACTTTTGTTATTTGGTATTAAATCTAGAATATGAACTATTTTCATCTACCTATCATCCACAATTATATTTTTGTACTTTTCTCCTCTTCCATTTTCTCAAATTTCTGCCAAATTTCAAGATGCCGAGGATAAAAGTAAGAAAGACGTTTTATATCTCTGACAAGATGTTGGATTATTGTTTGTTTAAGAGGCACTGTTATTATCTAAGATTAACTCCCCGTCCAGAAACAATTCTACACTATTTATTTTCTTAACCAAAAACCAGCACCAAAGTTTATTTAGAAAAGCCCAGTTTGAACAAAGCTTGAATTATAGGATGGATCCCGCATGTTGTATGCTATCACGATTTTGACAAGTGCTAATTCAAAACACAGGCGTTGTCAAAAATACACACGTTAATAGTTGACCTTATAGATCATTTATAAATTGATTTAAATACACAAAAAGAATTATTTTCTACTAAAGTCACAAGTTGATTTCGACAACAGTATTGCATAACGGAAGAAAGGGGATTTTATCTATGTTTTCAATATACTAGACGTAGCATATCATTATTCAGAATACATGTATATTAGATATATATTCGTGACATTAGTATCAAAATTTAAAAAAAAAAGCTTGAATGTTAAACCCATTTCATTTCATTTAGTATCAAAGTACTTTCACTTTTTGTTACATTTTATCTAATCTGACAAATTTTACCTTACATAAAGTTTTGATTTATCTTTTGACTTCTTGTTGGGTAAACAAAAATATCTATATTAATGTTTTCAGAGTATCAAATCTTATCCTTTGTAAGAGATCTATTACTTACCTAATTAGTAAATTTGTTTCCAATGTAAAACAAACAAAAACTATCAACATTAATATATTGTGATATTTCAAAATAGTGTAAATTACACTTTATAAAAAGTAAAATCAAATAAACAAAACAAATCAAAGCAAAACAAATGAACATAACATTTTATTTAGGAAAGAAAAAATTACATTATATTCCATTTAATTTTTTAGATCTAAGAGAAAGAATTAACTGCAAATCCGAAAAAGTTGAAAATCAAAGCTTGTTAATAATCTTCTGATCTCTGTAAGACATTTCCTAGATAAAGGTTTGTTTTTCTTTCTCTATTTAATTTGTCTAGTTATTTCAGTGAGACTATCTTACATTCCAATCAGGTTTCGCTGCTTTCCACAGACTACATGAAAGTGAAATCTGTCAAACCTGACTAACATTTTCATAAAACAAACTCTTAAAGGACTAAATTAATTTTTTTTTCGTGGCTAATAACCACTCCCGATACCATCTTGATAATTAAAACTTGAAGTAATTGGTGCTTTGATTTATACTTTTGTTTATTTGTAGAGAACTTTAAGTTGTTTTTTTCTTCTTGATCAGTTAACATGGAATGGAATAGGTGAGGAATTACATGTCATCATTTGAGATCATATCTTAAACAATATCTACTAGGAATCAATCATAATTGTCATAAGTGATCAGTATCAATAAAAGAAGATGTGAAATAATCCAAATTTTCTCCATGATTTATCAGTTCACATTTCATGCATGTCAAAGCCTAGATAATCACAATATTTTCTAATCTGAACCAAATAGATTCTAATCAAAATTTGTATTCACACCGTCAAATGACAGGAAAAAATTTCTGGGAAATGGATTAGTCTCCATCACCAGGATCATGACTGTATGTCCACTGCCGTCTCCAGGTGTGGCCTGGATACTTTCAATACAAAAAGCATCTATGACCAGGCAGATTATTTCTACAACTTGTGAATAAGAAATAATGGGAACATCATGAAATCCAGAATCAGTTATATTCCTTTAAATCAGATAAATAGGTCATTGCAATAAGATGGACAATGTCCGAGAAATGGAGGGTGAGTTTTCAAGGCACAAAAATTTGTATAGTTGGGTTAGCCCTACTGAAATAGCATCCTGTGTGGAAATTTCGCAGAAAACAGAAAAATCTCAGTTTATGCAATGTATATTGTTAGAATGGATAACAGATGCTGTTGATGGTGCTGTTCAACAACCTGTAACGTGAATGGAGTAAAAATGAGTTCACAATGAGATTTTACCTAGAACATTCATAAGAAATCGTGGACAGACACCAGTTTGACATGCAAGGCATTCACATTAAATTTGATCATATAAACCCTCTGGGGGTTTTATGCAAGGAGAACTGCACCACATTTAACCACCAAGCAGAACCCAGAAGACAAAATCAGAGAAAAGATATATCAAATAAACCACACTATTGCTTGAAAAAGACTTAAGAAGGCTAGCCGAAATTTCGGCCTGTAATAAACATCAATAGTTTTTCATAGAATTGTGTCCTGTGTATATTAGATGTCCTTTAGGGGAGCCACAGTGGCTAAGTGGGTAAGACACTGGCTCGCTAGCCTGGAGATTGTGGGTTCGCTTCCGGTGTTGGCCGAGAAAGTTCATCAGGATTTTCCGGCAACGTTTCCCCTTGTCAGGATGGAGTGGTGCGGGATGGAGGGCTTCTGACAAGGACAGCTGTCTAGTTGTTCGAATGGGATTGGCGTGCATGTAAAAGATCCCTTCGCAGTTGGAAATTGATATGAGTAGGCCTTAGCGCCGCTGTCTGGGCAAAATTTCCCTCTAGCACAATGTATGGCGTATGCCCGTCTTCATTATCCCAGTCGGAGCAGAACAGTAGGACGTTAAACCCCATTTCATTTCAATTCATTTCATTTCAGATGTCCTTCAGCACTCATTTTTTTTGCACTTTCAAATGTGGATTCTAATCAAGATTGAAACAAAATACTGGATTTAATTAGTTTCTACCGTATTCTTGCTTTTTAATATGTAACTAAATATCTTTAATATGAATATTTTTATTAGGATAATATTAAAACTTTAATTGCCAATATTAATACGAAAAGTCAATAGAATTTGTAAAGCTTTTATAGGCTATCAATATAAACATAGAACATATTGTAAGTTTTACCATTTGCTGTGCCAGTTTTATTTCATTCTGATGATTATATACAATATGTAACCATGGTGACATAACACAGAAAAATAATTCACAAATAATTATCAATAACCAGTTTCAATCCTTGATGAGTATTATTATAACTAGGGGTAACATCATTTCCTTTTCATCAAGACTAGCTAACTTGTAAATTGAAATATGACATCGAGGAACGAATTAGTTCAGCTCTCCATAATTTTCTCCGCAATTCAGACTTCCTCAATTGAAAGAAGTTACAATTATCGTGGACATGAGTTCATATTTCAATATTAACTAGCGTACGCATTCATTTCCTGCTAGCAAGAAATTCTATGTTTAGTTGGCCCTATAGATGTTGTTGTGGTCATATTACAGTACATTAGCCTGAGAGGTCTTAACCAAGTCTATATATTAAATAGATCAGGTTATAGGAGTCTTACAGATACAATTCATAAAGACCGAGAAAATGGAGACTGAAACTACCAGGTACATTATCATTTACTAAAAACAAATGTCTGAAGTCCGAGACAGGACACTGGAGTATCTTGATATCACCATTCCTGTTCAGGGCGAGATTGGTCAATCAACCTTTTTTTTATTGAGAATTATAAATTCTAAAAGTCCAACCTAATAATTATATAAGTGAACTTAACATAAATTCAAATATAAAAACCTAGTGTATCGGCATCCGTAGTTAGTCATCATTGAGAAAGTCATCATTGAGAATTGTAATTATGTCAGTCAATTTAAAAAAAAATGTAAGAATAAAACCAAAGGATATGTTCATAATAGACCAAACTTGGATCCTATGTAGAATTTTTTTGCGTAAATTCATCAATGGTGATTTAAGATTGACAGGCAATTGTACTTTTAATGATTTTTTCCTATCAAGGGTTTGATTTGTCGTGACCCCCAACTTAATATGCCTAGAGTAGTAATAAACAACCATCTAACAATTTGTCAAAGCCCAGAATTTTCAGGGAAATAACATTAATAGTACAGAAGATACCAGCATAGAAAATATGAAATCAAAATTCCAATCTCAGTGTATGATTTTGAAAATGAGCTTTCTGTCAAACTGATTATTTTTACTAATTAAAATCAAAAATCCATAGGACATTGAGCTAGAAATATTTGAAATGATTAATATATCCACGTTGACAGAAACCAGATCATCGGCCATTAGTCTAATGAACTTATCAAATAACAGTCTGTAAGATATCCATTTAAACAAAGGCACATAATACAAGCTTAACATCCATTGCTGTATTAAAAGTCAATTTTAATGAATAGTTGACACTGATTGTTAAAAATGTGAACTAAATATTCAGTCACTTCATAATGAATATAAACAAAGAAGATAAAATATAATAGTTATAAATGAACCTTTATTGGACTAACATCACATAATTTTAAGTACCATTCATAGTTATTCTCATACACAATTGCATTTGTGTAATAAAATATATAACATATATCATGAATCACCTTTCAGTACATAGGTTCTATAAATGCAATATTAATTGATGAAGATTTGGAGAAAATTGGAAAAAATTCCTCTTCAGCGCATAGCAGCCTTCTTTAAACCACATAACTACATTCACCCAAGAGACATAACTATCAAATTTGATTAAAATCATTAACAATTCAGGTATAAATGTCATGATTTTGATGCAGAGGAAACAGAAAGTAAATATACATGTAACAGTAAAATATCCTACAAAAATAATATCTCTACATATAGGTTCCTTTGATTTTGAAAAGACCCCCCCCCCCCCCACACACACACACATTTTTATAACTTTTAGCAGATACAGATAATTGTGAAATGTTGGGGTCTTTGGGGTTATAAAGACAAACATCATCAGACTATAAACAAAAATTTTTATAGGCCAAGAAATGGGATGGAGTCCACATTGAAGTCAATGATAAGGGAATTACCAGTCTGAATCCTTATAAGAATTCAAAGAGTTACTTCCCTTAGAAAAGTTCTAAAATTGACGTCTGCTGGCCTACTTGACATCTGTATGTACAGTTTGTTCATGTGACATTTGCCTATTTAACTTTGTCTTGATATGCTGTTTTTTTTTGTGTTTTTTTTTTTTTTTTGGGGGGGGGAGTTTAACCATAAAAAAAGAGAAGAAACTTAATAATAGTAGAAGGTTATGTGACCAGCAAGTAGGCTAGGTGCCAAAGGTAGGTGCTGTTTTCTGTTTGTGTTCTGAATATTGGTTTAATACATTGGTGGTTGTCTTGCCTAAATTATCAATTTACAAGGAGGCCTGTGTCTACAGGTTTGCCTCCAATATATAACTCTCACCTACAGCAGGATTAAGGTCACATTGGGCCCTTGGCTGAAATTGAAACAGGGGTCATGACTACTAGTGTAAGTAACAACAAATTCTATTGAACTGAATTGTAATGTTACTTCATGAACTTTTCTCATCAGTCAAGTCAGTGAAGATCAGAACAAAAACAACACTAAATTGGTATTTGCTATGTAAAACAGTATACAAAAATTATTTAAATACCAGAAATTTCATTGACTAAAAGTAAAACAAAAGTCACAATTCAGAAGTAGAATTTATTGGTCTCTTATATATGACTATATAAAGAAGTGACTATCTTTCAATCAAATAACTCAAAGTATAAGAATCACTATTGTCATTAATACATCAAAACCAACCACATCGAGTCTTTTGCTTGAGAGTAAAAACATACCAGTTATATTATGGTCATCTACAAACTTATATAGATCTCAACATTTCTCAATTACAACTTGAAAATTCTGATTCTTAAATTGGTAGGCTACCCAAATGATGTTTGTTTACAAATTACAGTCAGTGCCATTATAGAGAGACGGACAATATGTATTATTTAAGAATATTGCAAATACTGTATTTCTATCATTGTACTAAATTTTCCCAATGGAGAGAGAAACCCTATAGAGCCAACCAGTTTTACCGATAGGGGACTAACAAATACCAGTACTAAAAGCCCAACACCATTTGATATAAAAAAAAATATCCCTCAACCATTGTTTAATTATTCACCTTAAGTTGCATTTTCTGTAAAATTGTATGGAATCTTAATTATTATATTATCAGTTAATTACAATAATATAATACATAGAACTGTATACAGTGTTTCATTCTATGAAGATGACTTACACCCAAAGTACAAATACATCACTATACATTTCAATGTTGCATCATACATGTTATTCTTTTCCAAATGTATGCTATTCAACAAATATACCGCTCCCAGGAAAAAATTAAAATTAATAAATATGGTTGTATATATATATATATACCAGGGAGACCCAACGCCTCGTCTCGGCCAGTAAGGGGCTGGCTTGCTAACCTGGAGATCCTGGGTTTCATTCAAGTATTGGCCAAGAAAGTTCCTTGGGAATTTCCGATCATCGTTTTCCCCCTTTTCAATTGTACAGGAAGGACAAGTCCATGTCTAGTCGATCAAATTGGACGAATAACCAATGTCCCATGCTCATGTTGGTGTGCACATAACGTAAAGAACCGTTGATGGTTGGAATTTGAAGTAAGAGTTGGCCATGGCACCGCTCCTGGGTGCAGAAGAGTAGGATGTTGAACCCCATTTCATTTCGCTTATACCTCTGCTAAATGTATGTATATTAAAGAGGCATAATAACATTTAAGAAGGAATAAATGTAATTAGTTTTATATAATATCTTAGACTCATCTTATTATCTGAAATAAAGTACTTTGCACTGGCTTACAAAGAATTATTGAAAAGCAAATAGTGACTATTAACGGTACACATATACTTAATCTTTAAAACATATCTAGCGATGGATTGGCAGATTTGTCTCAATTTTGCATACTATCTATGTGCTAGAATGCTTCTTCAATTTTTGAAACCAGTACTGATCATCAGTTTAAAATTATATTCCCATTTTTGAATCTGTAAAACACGATTTCTTTTAAACCATCCAAATGTGTCTCAGGAAGAGGTAAATTAATTTTTTTTAAAATTAAAAACTTACAGTTAATTCTAGTTCATCATTGGTCTCCTGATTTTTGACTGCAAATGGCCACCACCCCTTCACTCGCTTATGTTTAAAAAGTGACATCTGAGGTACTGAGCCATCTGTTTTTAACATATCTAATGTACAAAGTTTGGATGATTTGGCTCCTCTAGGGAAACGATTCAAATCTAATGTTAATGAACCTGAAGAAAAAGGAAACATTATTGCACATTGTATTAAATTTTCTTGCCAGCTCTCATGTTCTACCTACGCGAATTGTTTGACCCTGTCTTTATTTTCGCTGGGGAAAAGCGTCAAAGGGTAAAACTTAATGGAGACGCATGCACAGAAAATTGTTCTCAGTATTGTTTTCAGAACAGTTATCAGAAGAGTGTTGTTCCAAGACTGCCTCACATTGGTGGACCAGCTTGGAACAATTCTCAGAACAGCATGCTCATGTTTAACTCATTTACACTACAAAAAAATTTAAATGTTCCGTGCCTGGCACGTTTGAAATTGGTAATGTAAACAGGTTAAATGAGTGTGCATTTAATAGATCACTATGTTCCCAATCATTAAAATGTATCAATATTCATATATCTATAAATGATTTTTCATTTGTAACTATGCTAAACAAGTTATTGTAAACCCAAGGTAGGATTAACTTGAAGAGTTGATAAAAAAGAACACTTGATTGAACCTTTCCTTGGGGATTATTTAATAAAGGCTGTAATAATAGCTTTAACTATATCGCAGACCTCTACTCATACAATCATTATACTTACCAAGAAAGTCATCTGCTGAGAAGTGATCAGCATCCCAGACCTGCAGATTAAGACGGGCTGGTATTTTTGACTCTGTTTCATCCCATGAAAATAATGTTTCTTTCCTTGAAATTACAATTTTCTCTTCTGCTACCAAGTAATCAAATGGGAAAATAAATCTCCAGTTGAAATTACCCTCTCCTGTCAATGATCTGCAATATACATAAAACAAATCTAGATATTGGTACATGTATTCAATTCAAAACCTGCCAATATCTCATACAAATGAAAATAGGAGATGGACTGTGGTCTGCTGATTTGTTTCTTATAAAGGAATGTTGCGAAAATTGAGCTTCATTTCGTTACAAGAAAGAATATACCAGTCTACTCAATTTGAACAGGCTTGATCCACCTCTATCTAACAAGATTTTTTAACTAATCTGTTTCAAATTAAACATCAGAGAGGAATTTAAATGTCTTTAAAAACCCAAACATAACGATTGTCATTTGCTCAAGAATATATTCCCACATTTTGGTGTTCAGAGAAACAGAAAATATACCTACCCCCCACAGTGAAATAATTATATTCACGGTTAAACAACAATTTGATTATTAGTATCCCACAATACAACAGCCTTAAAACAGCGTGAAATATTCACGGCACATTTAACCAAACAGCTGATTAGCACACATCCCACAAATCATTGCAAAACGATGCAAAAATTCTTCGAAGAAAAAAAATGATGAGTGCCCCCTGTTAATAGTTATTGTAAAAAGACAACTGTTTCTTTAATCACCAATATAAAGTTAAGTTAGAGTTATCACTCATTTACTCTATTGTAAAAACATATTCTCTTTAAATAATTACTGTCTTATATTCTCACATAAAACATAGACATTAGTAGCAGAATGTCTGTCCTAAAGAAAAAGAAAAACTCAAGTAGAACTACGTTTCCTGGGAATATAACATAGGTCTTTTACATTAATTATTTGAAAAGGTTTTAAGCATGTTTGACTGTCACTTTTGTTGAAAACATATACACAGACAATATTTAAACAAAGACACAATATTTCCAGGCAAATAAATAAACATAGGTTGCAAGGCTATGGTGCCAGGGTACAAATAAGTTCTTGTTACCAAACTATTATAAATTGCTTAAAATCAAAAGATTTAGTTAGTCTCCAAAATGCCTTAAATGCAAGGGTAACACAAATGACGAATTCTGTGCTGTTAACAAAGAGTAGCTCTGGGGAAAATGATTCAAAATCAATAGGTGCTTGTCTTCCTTGTAGTAAAATGAAATGCGCAAATATCAAAAGGAACTCGGATTTTTGGAATATAAAGATATGTTTTAAGTTTCATCAAAATCGGATAAAAATTGTGACCTTTAGAGGGTCCATAACCTTGTATTACATACTTATACACAATTTGCGCGTACAAAGAGCGGCCATTTTGTCTGTCACTTTCATTTCGATTTTCCCGAAATTCCAATTCAACCTTCATAATGGTGGACTAGTGATATATCTAAACAATTTTTAAAATTGAAAAAAAAAAATGTGACCTTTAGAGAATCCACAAGCTAAAAATGCGATTTTTTGACCAATCTGGGGCCATAATCCAGGAAGTTACCTTTGGATATGTGTGATAATCAACAGGAAACAAGATCTTTATGATAAAAACATATATTTAAAGTTTCATCCAAATTGGATAAAAACTGTGGTCTCTAGAGGGTCCACAACCTTGATATACCATATTTTTACACTATTTACGTACAAGGGGCTGCCATTATGTCCGTCAGTTTTTGTCCGATTTTCATAAAATTTGAACTCAACCATCATTAGTGTTTTAAAATTGTGACATTTACGCGATTTTTCGTACAATCAAGGGCCATAATTCAGGAAGTTACAATCCGATATGCGCAAATATCGAAAGGAACCAAGATCGTTAGGTTATAAACATGCATTTCAAGATTCATCAAAATTGGATCAAAATTGTGACCTCTAGGTCCACAACCTTGATGTACCAGATGTTTACACTATTTGTGTACGAGGGGCGGCCATTTTGTCCTTTAGTTTTGGTCCGATTCACAAAATTCAAACTCAACCATTTTTTTTTTAAATCGGATAAAAATTGTGACATTTTTTAAATTGGATAAAAATTGTAACCTCTAGAGGGACCACAAGCTAAAAACGCGATTTTTCGTACAATCAGAGTCGTAATTCAGGAAGTTACGAACCGATATGCGTGAATATCACAAGGATACAAGATATTTGGGTTATAAACATGTATTTCAAGTTTCATCAAAATCGGATCAAAATTGTGACCTCTATCTAGAGTGTCCACAAGCTAAAAATGTGATATTTCGTACAATCAGATTCAGGGGCCATAATCCATGAAGTTATGGTCCGATACATGCCAATATCGAAAGGAGCAGAGATCTTTGGGAGATAGACCTATATTTCAGTTTCGTCAAAATCAGATAAAAATTGTGACCTGTAGAGTGTCCAATAACAAATTGTGGATAGACGTCCGGACAGATGGATGGACAGGGGCGACGACAATATACGTCCATATAAAAATGTGCTCTTATCAAAAACCTAACAAAATTTTACAGAGCTCCATTGATAACCAAGACCTCTAGAGTGTTTCGTAAATCAAGGCATAGCACAATTGTAAGGTGTCTTCCTTATAATAAACTGAACAAACCACTAAAATTTCAAAAAGATACTTTTTAGCACCATTAATTTTATCTCTGTTTCCTGTCAAAAGTCTATCAAAAAAACACATCAACCCATCTAATTAAAGAGGTATAGCTCCTTTAAGCTTTCAAAAATAATAAACACACCTAAATTGTAGCATTCCACATTGGTCATATTATTCTAATTAACAACAAGCTTTACCTAAGTTACGTTTTTGATGAGTTGTTGACGTGTGACTGTGACATGAGATTAATAGAATTAGGAGAAGTAACTAACAATCTTAAAGAATCAATAGATAGCAAGATGTGATCTCTAAATCTCTTGGAATGTTTATATATTTATAAATATTGCTCTTATAAGTCTTCAATTGTTTGATAGCCAGTGGTAAACAGGCTACATATGTTTATAATTAATATACATCTGGTTAAACACTTAATACATTTCTAACTCCAGTATTCTAACTCCACACTGTCTGTGCCACTTTACTCAACAAGTAAACAATGTCAATTACCCTTAGGCCTGTTTTGTACAATTGTGAGAATTCAAATGGTATACTTCATGTAAATTGTCTTTTTTGTTAAAGGGGTCGGGTAAGGTGGAGGTGTGTAATAGTTTGAATTTCTAATAAACTGTATAAAAATGTTTTTTCATCAATATGTATGAATGCTACCCACAACTGATTTATTCCATTGGGAGAGTATCTGGTGGCACACATCTTTGTCATTAATGCAAATTTTTAACGTACAAATGAATACAATAATATAATAATATAATATACTACTGTGATCACCTAAACCAAATTTCTAAATAATGCATGTTTTCTGCTAAGTACTTCAGTCATAAGTATACCGGTAATCTCTTGAGTGGGAATTCCCCTCTAGCTGTATATATATAATATTTGGGAAAAATTCAAGACAGTTCAGGGTTTTTACACTGTGCAGATGTGCAGGAATGTAATCCTCGGGTGAGATATTTCAGTGGAAAGACAAATCTTGCAAGGAAAAGCTGTGTAAAAACCAGGTTTACCAAGATTTTTACAATACAAAAACGAAGTGGTGCAAGGTCTACTTTCTCAACCACTGATATTCAGGATAACCAGGTCTTTCAAACAGCCTATTTTATCTCTTATAAGCAAAATTTATAGTTTGTATTCTTTCAAAAATTCACAGAGCTTGGATAAATACTACACAGAGTCTGTCACATAGAATAAACCAGTTTTATATGCATAAAAAAACCCAAAATGGCTCCTCTAAAATATGAATTGGATTAAAAGACCATGAGTCGAGAAATTGTAAAATCATATTTAGCTGCGATCTGTAATGTTAAGTCGAATTCCTAACCCTTTCACTATGTGGTGCTTGGTCATCACATACTATACAAAGTTTATGTGTGACTCTGATTTTCTTTATTTGTTTTTATATAAATCCAGAAGTATGAAATTACTTGTTTCTGCATTAATAAACTTCCCACCAGATTATCATGACAGTTTATCGAAACTGGAGGCCATATTTTATTTGACTACATTATGCCTAGTTAGTTTGGTTGCCATGCAAGCGTAATTTTCAATGCAGGTTCACAAATTGTAGCAGACCTGTGACCACTGCTAATTAGTTTCTATTTATTGTTAGAGATCGGTAAACCAAATATACTATCAAATACAAGGTAGACATTTTTTAACAACAATGCATCAGGTTTCCTGTATGAAGTTGATGTAGTTTTATCATCTATTTTTCTACTGTTACTGAGAATATTTTCTCGTTCTCATTTAATTACTCAATGTTTATTTTCATTAGAATCCTGCCGAATAAAAAAATCAGACATTTTGTTTTTCAAGACAGATGAAAGTTTTTCTTCTATGTTTTGGTTGACGGGACAGCATGCACATGGTGTAGTCAGTTCATGTAGGTGCATGTTTTTAAACAAGCTAAAGCACATGCATGTGTTCACCCCTACATAAATAAACAACAAGCTTAACATTGTCAAAACTTGGTCATGAAAGTAATTAGTATTAAGTAAAACCATGATCGACTGTATATACAACAAATATTACTGTACTAACTTGATATATATTTGTACAAGAATACAGTATTACGCAAAGAGACATTTTGTATAAGATTCTGTAAAACAAGATGACAATCTTAAAAGAAATTGTTTCTAATGACCTAGTAATATTAAAATATTATATAAATGTGAACTGATAGGGGTCAAAGTTAAAAAATCTGTTTCAATACTGTAAGTTAAATATATGCCAAAAATTATGCAGATTATCAAATTTTCAACACAAGCTCAAAAAGAAAATGAAAAGGATTTTAACTTAAAGGAGCTAAATCGCTAACATTTGGGACCTAGAAATTGACAAAAGTGGGTCACAACGCATATAATACTGTAATATGAATGTATATAAACTGATTTACATTCAATGGTTTCCGTTTTTACTCCAATTTCAAATCAGTTATGTTCGGCGAAAAAGCCATCAGTCTCAAGCGAGTGCAAATTTCTAGCGTCTGGTTATTCCAATCTACATACGCCATTTGATTTGGTGCAATGTGTCTAGCCTCGTCCCTCAAGTCTCTTGATACAACTGGGGCTGAAGCGCATTATGGTACACAATTCGTGTACCAATGGTAAAATGTTTATTTTGTCTTAAATATTGGATATCAAAAGCCCATCTTTTTCCGGTAAGATCACAACATGAATGTTGATTTAATTTGACAAATAAATCGTGTTTTCAATGTTGAAGATTTTGGATGATATTGAGTTAGAGACTTAGCTACTTTAAATACTATTCCTGAAACTATTATTGAAGATACATTAGTTAAGAGTTTAATAAAGAGTTGGTTATTCTTGCTATAATAATTCAAAAGTAGATGATAAAAAAAGAAATATTGAAAATTTCATTCAAATTACTTCATTCTCAGCCAAGTTATCATTGTTTGTAGTTTTGACAAGATGTGTGCACAGTGGTAACCAGGGCACTGGTATAATTGGGGCTTAGCCTTGCTTTCCCATTTTTAAATTAAATTTTTAAATGGCGAACCATTTTAATCTAGTTAAAATCTTGAGTATCCGATGCAATCGAGAGTCGATTATAGTCTTGTTTTGTTAATAAATGTCTAATTAATAGTTTATATAACATTTCAGGCCTAAAGAAAGACCTGCAATAGGCAGATTTAGCTCTTGAATAGTGTATGTTTAAGTGGAAAGAATAAATTGGTATTGTACTTTTATAGCTAAAGAACACTGCTGGTGGCCACTGCATGAAGGTTACCTTCTTGTTCACTGGCATAAGTTTCCTTTAGAAAACCCAATTTCAATCCATTGTTTCTTTTAGTAAAACCATCTTCATTAAAGTATTACATTAAACCGATTCAATTCATTCTTTTAACACAAGGTAGGCACGCTTATTGTGTATTAGAGATAAGTTTATATGCTGCCATTTTTATCAAACAGATGAAACCTTCAAAAATTATCAGCATCTGTCTAATACTCTAATAGATTTAAAATACTATGGGCATTTTTTTCTTTTTTCACCTTTTTTGACAAAATAAACAAGCGCAGATCCTCTTTCATTGCATACATTTTTTATATTATGGAAAAACTTGAGATGACCCAAATTATTAAAATAATTTGTAAAAAACAATGTATTTGTGTATTAGACAGTAATTGAGTTTTATTAAAATAAGATGTGATTTTATTGGAAGTAAAATAAATATTTTGTTCGGGTTAAGGTTTGACGGACTATAAGACATCATGACAGTAACCGATACCATGTGCTGGTTTATAAACTCAGAGGAACTAAGTACAATGTATTAAAGGTATTAACACACATTTATATATACATAGAAAACATCAGGTGTGGACTGGTTCAGCAGTGGTAAACGATATAATGCAGAATCACAAGAGATTAACTCTGCAGCCTACTAAAATCTAACAATGTTCATTTGGCCAGGGATGGGTAACTTCAAGATAGGTATAAGAGGCCAAAAGACCATAATCACTGATCAGTTTAGAGTATGTGTACATTGAAGATCTTGTTATGTGAGAATAAGAATGCCAACAACATAAGACCTTTTTATCATTGATATTTCCTTGATTAAATCAAAAAGACAAACACTTTCAAAAACACCATAAAGAGGCATCGTTTGAATCATTTAAATTATAGGTATAAAAAATTGTAAATTATATCCTGCCCCATTGTTTGAACAAATCTGAATAAGCACAAACCAGGCAAAATATCTACCAATTTTGGTTGAAATCCATTAAATATGTCAGGAAAGGAAATACAGAATGGACAAAGGTGCCACTGTTACAAATTTGAACTGAACATTATTTGAATTTTTTTAAAATACAATTTGGAGAAGTAATGAACCAATGATCAAAATCTGCTAGTTTAATACTCCAAATGAATACTGATGTTGACAATGTGCCATGATGTCACTTGAAAGAATAATGGCATTGATAATCAAAAGACATTGCTCTCCTAATGTTGTTTTGCCAAATTTAGAGACTAAATATTAACAAAAAAAGTGGGTGTGACACTGCACCAAAATAAATAGTTGCTGTCTTTATAAGGAATGAATATGCCAAGTTCCAAGATGATCAATTCAGTATTCCAGCCTGTAGACAAAAAATTGGGTGTGGCTCTGCCCCTGGGGGTTGGACATGAACCAATATAAATATGTACATCCCTTTGATGGATCATTCCGAATTGGATCCAAATCTGTTAACAATTACAGCCTATCATTTACAGACAAAATATTAACAAAAAGTGGGCGTGGCACCACCCAAAATGTTGTGTGTGGGGGGGGGGCATGCCCCAAAATCAATAGTTGCCATCCTTAGGGTATAAGGAATAAGTATACCAAGTTCCAAGATAATCCATTCAGAATTGTGGCCTTCAGGCGCTAAACACATAAATTGGACGTGGCTCTGTCCCTGAGGGCCGAGACATGCATCAAAATCAATAGTTGCAGCCCTCAGGCTGTAAGGAATACATATGCCAAGTTCCAATCTGATCGATTAAGAATTGCGGCCTGTATACGATAAACACAAAAATTGGGCGTGGAGTGGCTCTGCACCTGGGAGTCGGGACATGCACCAAAATCAATAGTTGCCATCCTTAGGCTATAAGGAATGTATAAGCCAAGTTCCAAGACGACACGATCCATTAAGAATTGTGGCCTGTAGGCAACACACAGACACACAAAGAAAAAATGGATGTGGCTCTGTCCATCGCTTGGCTATAAGGAATGTATAAGCCAAGTTCCAAGACGACACGATCCATTAAGAATTGTGGCCTGTAGGCAACACACAGACACACAAAGAAAAAATGGATGTGACTCTGTCCCTGGGGGTCGGGCATTTACCAAAAAACAATAGGGATCATCCTTAGGGTATAATGAATAGGTATGCAAAGTTTCAAAAGGAACTTGTAGGCGAAACACAGACACACAAAAATTGGGCATGGCTCTGTTCCAAGTAGTTGGGCATGCACTAAAAATAACAGAGGTCATCCTTAGGGCATAAGGAATAAATAGGAAAAGTTTTCAAGACAATCGATTAAGAATTGTGGCCTATAGGCGATGCACAGACACACAAAATGAAAATGTGTGTGGCTCTTCTCCTGGGGGTTGGGCATGCACCACAAACAATAGGGATGTTCCTTAGGGTATAAGGAATAAGTATGCAAAGTTTCAAGATGATACGTTAAGAAATGCGGCCTGAGGACGACAAACCCAAAAATATAAGAAATGGGCGTGGCTCTGCCCCTGGGGGCCACACATGCACCAAAAACAATAGAGATCATCCTTAGGGTATAAGGAATAAGTATGTAAAGTTTCAAGACGATCAGTTAAGAATTGTGGCCTGTAGGCGACACACAGACCAGATGACAGCAATATACGTCCACATTACGAATGCGGACGTATAAAAATCATAGCTAATTTAAGACACTGGTATAGACTTAATCTTAAATAATCTCCAATAATAATCTACTAAAACATAAAATGTCCTCATACAATTATTTATTTTTTATCAAAAGAAGAATCAAATTACACAAGATAATGACTTCATCAAATTGACTTAATCATCATTCCTATATATTTGCAAGGTTTTACAGCCTTTCTTCTACTTTTTATCCTTAACATATGTTTCATTTCCATCTAGCCAATATAGAATATAAATCTAAAGCAAAAGAACAGTGACAAATACACATAATATCAAACTTTGCATTCACACAAACAGGATTACACTTCATGCGTAGCAGATCAACTGGATTTGGGATTAATGTAAGTGTGTAACCATTAGAATCAGAATCCCAGTATTTACTCAAAATAAATTATCAGAATTATCAGTTCACATACCCCAATGTGACTTGATATTCAAAAAAAAAGAAAAAAGATGACTGGATTTGAATTCAACTAAAAATTTTGATACATGTATTTGATTATAATCATAGTAGCTACAACAGCAGATTGATGACAGAGCATGTTCTGAACTTTGGTACTCGATATGTGTCTCTAGTCTATACCTACATTACATACCATTAGGTTACCATGAAGAAGATGATACATTGTTTCCAACTATTGTTTACCACATTAATATAAGCATGTTTTTATCGTCAAGGTGATCTATCAATGTCAATAATCAACCAAAAAAAATCCCTGACACTTTAACAAAAGATTTTTAAAAAATCCTTGAACTGCTTTAGAATCATTTATTGCCGAAAAGTATGTTTATCTCCAAATGATTTATTTCAAGTTTAAGTGATTTTTTTTTCATTATCCGACAAACATACCCCTTTACAAGAATGCAAGAGATTTCAACATCCAAGAATAAAATGGTTGAAACGTTAATGCACATAATTTTCATGTTTCCTTTTTCTTGCTTGAGTGAAAAATAACCATCAATTCTAAATAGCAGGATTTTATGTATTTTAAACACAGATGGGGTTATTTTGGCTCGTTGGCATATTTAATAATGAATAAATAAAGTGCTTAACATTTAACAAAGAACTAATGGTTGAATAATACAATGATTATACACAAATATGCAAAACATCTTTCATAATATACAACACAACCCAATGATACATCCTAGATAATATCAAACACAATGTATGCTTTAGTTAATATTCCCGACATCTCAACTCTGAATTACAATGAAATAATCATTAATTTCTCATACTGGTTTTGCAAGAAGTATTCACTAGTCCCTATGTGCAAGCGAATTATTGAAATAAAATTGTAGCACATGTTGGTCCCAAAATGACACAGTTTGTGTTAAGTGAACACCAAATCCCATTTCTCTCTTTCACTTTATCTTAGCATAAAATAGTACAAGTCCTACCTATAATGTATATCAGTGCTCTGCATATCTTCAGGACCCTTGATCCACCCTTTAACATAAATATCACTCATCTTCTCTCCTGAGAAAAACGCATCATCTTCTAAAACTACATCATCAGTATTCCATATAATACATCGCAACTCATAACTGTAAAACAAATTATAAAATGACATCATCAGTATTCCATATAATACATCGCAACTCATAACTGTAAAACAAATTATAAAATGACATCATCAGTATTCCATATAATGCATCATAACTGTAACAATCCAACAGTGAGGCTGATGTCCCCCCGCTGAAATCCCAAAATAAATATATGACATATCAATTAATCACACATTTATTTCTTTTTTTTTTCAAAAGTATCGAGCAATTGAACTGATTATTAACTATACACTAAGTTTCATTACTCTCTATCAGATAGAATCAAAGTTATCTTGTCCCAAAGCATCAACCAATGAAATTTCAAAGCTCTGCTTAACTTTAGCTCGAAATGTTAATCATTGAACTCAGTCAAGACATTCACCTAATGAACATCAACATCAAGTTTAAACATTCTACCTCAATTAAATGAAATGAAATGAAATAGGGTTTAACGTCCTACTGTTCTGCTCCTATACTGGGCTAATGAAGACGGGCATATACGCCATATAGTGTGCTATGAGGGAAATTTTGCCCGGGCAGCGGCACTATCACCTACTCTTATATCGAATTCCAACTGCCAAGGGATCTTTTACGTGCATTCCTACCTGAATTAAAAGCAGAGTTGTTATGTTCCAAAGTCTTGACCAGTCAAATTACTTATCGCTCCTTAGCCTAAGCAGAGAATTCTCATCATCGAACTTAGTCAAGATAATATGATGAATCTATACTCAGATTTTCATCACTCTCACTTTATTAAAACCAAAGTTATCATTCCCCAAAGCATCAACCAATCTGATTGCTTATCTCTGCTTACCGTAAGCAGACAATGTTTATCATCGAACTCCATCACGACATTCACCTAATGAACGCCTACACCAAGTTTGAACATTCTACCTCAATTAGAAGGAGAGTTATTGTGTTCCAAAGTATCGACCAATCAAATTGCTTATCGCTCTGCTTACCCTGAGCAGAAAATGCTCACTATCGAAGTTAGTCAAGGTATTGATGTGATTAAACTATACACCAAGTGTTCTCTGCACTCTCACTTAATTAGAACTAATGTTATCGTGTCCCAAAGCATCAAGCAATCAAATTGCTTATCCGTGCTTACCCTAAGCAGAAAATTCTCATCTTTGAACTCCATTATGGCATTCACCTAATAAACACCTACGCCAAGTGTGAACATTCTAGCTCAATTAGAATTAGAGTTATCGCGTTCCAAAGTCTCGACCAATTAAATTGATTTTTGATCCGCTTACCCTGACCAGAAAATGCTCATTATCGAACTTAGTCAATGTATTGATGTAATAAAACTATACATCAAATTTCATCACTTTCACTTAATTAGAACTAAAGTTATCGTATCCCAAAATATCAACCAATCAAATTGCTTATCTCTGCTTACTCGGTGCAGATAATGCTCACCTTCGAACTCCATCAAGGCATTGACCTAATAAACACCTAAACCAAGTTTGAACTTTCTAGCTCAATTAGAAGGAGAGTTATTGTGTCCCAAAAAAAGTGACGGACAGACAGACAGAAAGATAAACCCATTTTAACAGTCCCCTGCTTTCTACAAAAGGCCGGGGACAAAATAATGAAACTACATCATCAGTATTCCATATTATACATTGTACTTCATAACTGTAAAACAAACTATAAAACTACATCATCAGTATTCCATGACACATTTTTTACTGGCAAAACAATTTAAATTGAAGTGCCAAAACTTTACCTCTTTGGTTTTCGTGGTGATATATCTACAGGTGGAACTGGAGCGGGCATATCCATTGGGAACATATCTACCCATAATTCAACTTTACCCTGAAGACAAAATATTTGATAATGTAATTTGACCAAAATCTGGGATCTTATGGTCATAACACCTTAGATTTCCTTCTGTTTATCAAAACTTTACCCGGCATGTTTTTTTTTCACTCATTCTGTGATCTAAATTTTGTAAGCTGAGTGAATTACTGCTCATGGACTTGGAGTCTTAAAGGGTTAAATCATATCAGAATAAAGTCATAATAACATTGTCCGCAACAGAAGATATTTACCTGTTCAATACCAACTTTTTCCGGGTGATAAAGTGGTCGCGTCTCGACATGTTCGGGAACAAGTTTACATCCTACTTTCGGGATTTCTTCCCAATGGTTCAATGCTGCTAGGGACAAATGTTCATCTGTAGATTTTTTAATACCTAAAAGAGAAAATATATAAATATTGATAAGCTTCTGAACTTTCCAATTATATGAGAAGGGGTTCCAGCTAACAGATTATTGCAGAAAATATACTTATTTAATGTTTATTTCATGACTGAAATACTTACGTGTATTGTGAAGAGGTATACACAAAATATTATGTACATTCTGTTAATGTATATTGTGTATTGAATCAGATAACCAATATGTGTATAATTTGTTTATTGTCTGTCTTGTTTATTGATTACATGTAATTTGTGTATTGAATAATGTATAATGTACACTGTATTCTGGTTTACTTTCTGTCCTAATACATATATTAGACTTATAATACCTAATGATATATATACTATTCAAAAAAAGTAGGGGATATTTGATTTTTAAGTGTTATTAAAGTCACCTAATGAAACTGACGAAGAAACAAATGACAAAATGAAATGAAGTTCACATTCATCGATTTATTCCAAATGATCGTTAGACTAAGTAAGGCACAGACTGACCATTATAAGGGTAAAATGATACCCGGGGTCAAACAGCAAAGTTACCACAGCATCACAACCAAGTCAGTAACGGGTAAATCCTCCTCTGTTTGCCAAACAAGCATTGATCCGACGTGGCATACTCCTAATGAGACGTCTAAGGTCATTTTGGTCCAGATTGTCCCATTCCTGTTGCAACGCAGCAGCAAGTTCTTGGACATTGGCAGGACGTTGTTGACGTTGACGTAACCTCTGTCCAAGCATGTCCCAGACATGCTCGATGGGGAGAGGTCGGGACTCAGTGCTGGCCAAGGTAATGTGGTGATGTTCTGTTGTTGGAGGTAACCTGTAACGATCCTGGCCCTGTGACATCTTGCGTTGTCATCCTGGAAGATGAAACGGCGGCCATGACGTCGTGCGAACGGCACAACATGGACTGCCAAGATGTTGTCCCGGGAGTACTGGCTTGTAACACGCCCTGCAACAACATGTAAAGCCGTTTTTCCAGCAACAGTGATGCCTCCCCACACCATAACAGAACCACCCCCAAATCGATCATGTCTGATGATGTTAACGTCTTGGAAGCGCTCGTTTCGACGACGCCACACCCTCCTACGTCTGTCCAAAAAATCAACAGTGAACCTTGACTCATCTGAAAACATCACATTGCTCCAGCGTCGATTATCCCAGTGTTGACGATCCCTACACCAACGACGTCTTGCCTGAATGTGATGATCTCTCAAACAAGGGATCACGCGAGGACGTCGGGCGCGAAGGTGACCCCTATGCAGTCGATTCCGAATCGTCTGGCCACTCACTCTCACACCAGTGTCTGTTTGAAGACGAGCGCTGATCTGATTTGCTGTGATGACACGATTTCTCAAGGCCAAGGTACGGATAAATCGATCCTGGGCTTGAGTTGTCGCCCTTGGTCGACCTGAGCGTGGTCTGTCCTGTACAGATTGTGTATCACGGTATCTGGACCATAGCCTGCTTATGACAGACTGAGAAACATTCATCGTCCGCGCCACAACCGCCTGTGTTGTGCCGATCTGTAGCATGCCAAGGGCACGTAACCTTTCATTTTGGGTAAGCCGACGCATATCAAAATTTGTTTTCTGGTCACTAAAACAATTAAACTGATGTTTCCACCCTCGAATTCAATGCCACAATGACTGTAACATTCAAAGTCAGAGTCGTGCAAATCTTGGGTTGGACCCCCATGATGATCCCAAGCATCACCTGCATTCCATGCGGTAGGTATTGGTGCGTTTGGGCGTCACATGTTACTGGAAATGTTTCTTCTGTTAGGTTCTATAGTGACTTTTTTCGTAGTCATTTGCATATTTTAGTATTATGCCCCCAAAATCAAATATCCCCTACTTTTTTTGAATAGTATATTATTGAGTACCAGTCAATGTGCATCATTACTAGATCAGCATTATGTGTAATGAAATGTATCATAGAACAAATAAATTATACAATAGTAACAAACAAATACAAAGACAGTGCTAAAGTCTAAAAGTGATGTCAAGATAGAATAAAGGCTTTTTAAAACCAAAATTTCCCCGTATTGGTTATAAATCCAAATAAAGAATACTTTACTCTCCAAGTTTTCCTCTTCTTCATGAGTCAAAGGTACTACAGGAACATTTCCCTGCCCAGTGCGTTTCCGTGAAAATAAACTCTTTTTCTTAATCTTGTCTAAACATAAACATAAAATAACATAACTCAAATAAACATCAACTATCTACAACTAATAAAACAACAAAAATGTGTCAACAAATAAATAAATAAGGAATAAGACATTAAGTATTTTGACATAAAAAATACTAATACGGTACATGTACATATCCACAATTAACATAAACCAAATTCATAGGAAAACTCTCATGGTAGAATGGAATACCTGTCAATTATTAGAGATATTATTAATAAGTATTGTCTTCAATATTTAATTTCTTAAAAACAGAGTCAATTGACTCAAATTATAATTCCCAGAAAAGAAAACACAACACTGCATTTCTTTATAACGAGTATGTGCAACCACACTTTTAAATTCCTCGAATTCTTATTAATTTACCATCTAATTTTTTGGGAACAAGTGCTTTTATTTCACTGATAAAAATCTAAATTTGTTTATTTATTGCTTCTTAATAACATGTTTTTGATCATTACAAAACAATAAATAAATAAATCTAATGGCCGTTTAAAACTATCATGGCACCAAAAAAAAACCCCCTGATTTCTTTTCTTTTAAAAATTGAAAATTGTACAGAAACCTGATAGTCAGATCTCAAAAGTATGTCAGGGATTGGAAAAGACTTTAATATTGTTAAGAAGAAAAACAGGACCATGTTGAATTGTAAACAAAAAAAGGTCGGAGGTCATGGGTCAGGTCGTATTCAAACAGAAGCAGCCCATGGTGTTGAGCAATAAACCAATTTAGCGGCATTCTTAAACAAACAACTTAGTCATGTGGGGGCCGAATGGGACTGCCTACTTTAGATTTTAGAATCTGGGACTAATTTACGGATATTTATTCTAGGGATAATCTGTTTGGAAAAGAAAATATTGTAATTTCCGTGCTAATAACACGATTGGTTGATTTGCAGACATGTTGTTCATCGAGACATTTTGTAAACAACAGAAATTACCCAGTTCTCAGGAACATGTAGGAATTTCCCCTCCTCACACCTTTGTATTATTGTTGTAAAATCTCTTGTTTACTTATGTAGTGATGTCTTGAAACTGTTAAAAATTGAACCTTTCTGACAGTTTGGTAAAAATATATTTTAAAATGCACCATAAGTTTGCACTAACCATTAAGAGGGGGAAAGTGACTATTTTTTCCAGATTTCGTTTAGAATTTTAAGTAGAAAATGTGTACATATGTATTTGACGATTTAAATTCTGTTCCAGTTTGAATATGAACACATGGTAAAAATATACCTTAAAATTAAACAATTGCAACAATTTATAGAGAAAGTAGGCCTACTACAAATTATATTAATTAAAAATATTCCAACATGTCATCTGTTTTAAGCTACCACAACATGTTTTTAGTCACAAACTTAATTTTTATATCTAAATCTCAAAAAGGTCCTACATGAACACAAATGAGAAAATTCATTAAATTTATGTTCTCCTGTTTCCAAGTAAAATAGTTCAATAATTAGTGAAGTTATCGCACACAACTTAGCATCCAATCGATTTTAGTTAATATATGTATATATGCATGAATTAAATTGGCTTTCAAACTGAGTATTCCAACAAGGCGTATTGTATACAAAATTTGGTTGAGAATTAAAGATGATTAGAAGTTACTGCACAGAAACTATAAGCTTAGACAATCAGATTTTAAAAGTCTCATTGAATATGTGTAAATATAACATGAATGGTCTAACATGCAAAGTTTGGTTGGAAATGATGATATTGAGGGACCAAAACTAATAGCTTATATTCATATTAAGATAATTTAAATACTCTATCCAGAGTTCATGATTAGCAACCAAAAGATTTTAGTCTTTCTATAGACAATGATCCATTTGCTGACAAAAATATTCAAGTTGAATTGTGAATAACTTGAAACAGTATGTGGATAGCTTCTTAACCCTTCACAATAAAGGGTCAGGCTTATGATGCTTCAAAATTTGGAATATTTGTAAACAATTTAGTTCCATTAATAATATTTTCTGTTCATAATAAGAACTTATAATAAATTCAGGTTTATTCTGTAAAAGATGACATCTATTCTATTTGATAGATTGTTGTAAATGAAGTGTTAATGATGTTCAATTGACTGGTCAATAACAAATAGCCTTCTATCTTTATTTATCATATTTAACAAAAATAACAGATTTCTGTCAATACCAGTGAATCTATCAGACAATTTTAGGTGTGACTATTTGTATGCCGACACAGACTTTCAACTCTGATCATTTTGGCCAGCTATTTACAGCATGAAAACAGAGATATATGATGACAGATTTATGTATTTTTAACCTTTTTATAACTTTGATAATTTTTGAAAATATTTTTATTTACATGTGGAGAGATTTTGATAAATATAAGGCCAGGAAAAAATAATTAACAAAGTGAGGGCTATGACCCTTAAACAAACTGGTCTAACTTTAAAAATACAATGTATGGTAAAGTGTGTTTTTTGAATAGTTCTATTTAAGAGACGACCACCGTCAAGACTTGTGCATTATTTCTATTATGTCTATCTTATAATCATTCAGTGTTTTCTTTTTCACTTTGAGTAAATTCTGTATCATTACAGGACCGCGACTGTGCAGTGCAGTGGACACTTACGGCTTGCCCCCCCGATCCATTCATTTGAGTTGATATTTGTAGTTTATTTCTTGCAATGTCTCTGTAGTTTGTCTTATTGGTTTTGTTTGCATGTAGTGATGTCGTCTGGCATTTATAATTAGATCATGCTTTGAGGGCTATTATAACCAAACCATTAAGATTTATGCAGTATAAAATGCTTTCTGTACCTGTCAATTAGCAGTCAGGTTAGTACTATTAAAAATACCATTGTCATAAAAAAATCATTCTGTCGGAGAAGCTTAAATGTTCTAAATTTCTGCAATGTCTTGTTATCAAGGGCAATAACCCATCATTGGCCAACACTTATACCATAGTTAATTAAGAATGCACATATCCTACATGGAGCAACCATATTCACTGCAATTTGACAATATCCTATTTAATTGACCCAGTTCAGAGGAAAAAGCTTTTTGAATAAAGATAGTGAGCACTGAGCAGGCACACTTAAACTGGTTTGTTTTCTCTACCTGTGTTCAAATGAAAAGATGAGATTGTCAATTTTAAATCAGGTTAACTTTCAAATAATCTAAATGGCAAATAAGATAAAAGTAGTTATATATGTTCATTTAATCTGCCTGTGAAATAGCACACCAATTCTATAATGGAATATTAAAATCTTTAAATTGTGTGAACAACTGAAGAAATTTATCCGACATGTCTGAAAGAATTTCAGGATTTATTTATTTTATTTATTTGCCGATAAAATATTAGATTTATGTTTTCAAGTCATTTTTTCCGCTTCACACATGTCGGGGTTGAAGGTTAAATGTTCCACACCTAAACTTAATACTATCACTCAGTTGAAATATGTCTGAAAATATTTCCATCTTTATCGGCTGTTGTTAGAGAACTATTTTGGCATTTGACAGACGAATAAGCTTCCATTGTTTTCAAATTTTTGAAATTTATCTATCATAACAATTATAGTCAGGCTTTCAGTTCTTGAACATGGTAAGCATTTTTGAAATGATTTATCAATTAGAATAGACCTATCTGAAAATGAACAGGTAGGATATTTGAAAAAATTATGAGCAAAACATTTTGTAGGTCATTTATCAATACACAATATTAAATTAGTTTATTGTTTTGCAGGGATGGACTCAAAAGGAGCCTGTGAGTATGGTAGACTCTGGGGCTCCGAAAAAAGTTAATGTTCTCACATGGTATGGGGGGCCTTTTTAGTTTTGAATTTGTGCATAAACTTAAAAAAAAACAGGATATACTCTTGAAAGCACTATTTACAGTCTGTTTTTCAACATACAGCATTAAATGTTTCCATAGAAGATGCCAAATGTATTAATACATTTTCATATCATAACGGTTAAAGTCACTGACCAAGATTGTCCATTTTTGGGGAAAATATCTAATATGACGATCAGCTGCTTTAACAATTGATGAAAAACATTGTTAACTATCATTTAAAAGAGAGAAAAGATTGAAATGATATTTTCTCCATTTATTTTTTTTTAGACAATTAAAACACTTAATTTACACCTGTGCACATCTCAAATAAAAACACTGACAGAAATAGATTTGAATATTCCAGCAGTGTAAAAATTGTAACAGCTATTTAAAGCACAATAGTACTTGTTACATCATAGTATGTATATATATATATACAGGTCATAGAAAAAAATAACACTAATAAAATTAAAGCCACACATGAACACCTATACATTCACATTACCCATATCAATTACAAAATATTACCCACCATTTTCATCTTCTAGTTCTGTTGATGCAGTAAATATTCTGTTCCCAACTCGGACTTTTCCAGGTTGATAGTATGGTCCATCAACTTTACTGTCTTTACAAAGTTTGGCTAAAATATGACCTGGCTTTAATGGATCCCTCCAAGCATTATATCCATGTCTATATTAAGAATACAATTAAATTTAAAATGGCAATATTTTTTTATTAATTTATGTCTAGTCTTTGCATACAGTTAAAGCATGCTATATTATGTCCATGTACAAATTTACTGAACCTTACAAGCCACAACCTTATTGTGAGATAAACAATAGGCATTACTATAGCTCAAGTCAAACTATTAGAATTTCTAAATTAATATGGTTATTAAATAATATTAGTATGATTAAAGGCTGATCAATGTCAACATTTTTCTGGCTTGCATAGACCTGTTGCCACTTTAAGTTAAGAATATCTATTCTTATAGTAATCATAGTACAGTAGCCCAAAATCATTTTCTGTTAATTTTTTCACAATAGCTGATATTGGCTACAATTTATGTATATACACTCAAAGCCATTAAAAACGCAATGCCTAATTCGTGAAATATTTCTGGTAAATGTTTTCTTGGGCTTTCCTATCTTATGGCACATAGCTGAAACTTCTGATGGGTTTGAACCCAATATCAGTTTTCGGTAATGAACTTTGTTCGTGCAAATGCAACACTTGTCTTTTTTCACGATTTTAAGCAGTCGCATGTCACACGTTTTGCATGTGCATTCCCTGCACTCTGGCTCTTTAAATACAGATCAAAATTTCAACATTCATCACTTCGGAAAAATGCCACACCTTACACAAGAAAACAGGAACAGAGCTATTGGCATGCTGGATCAGAGGGCTTCACAGGTAGCCGTCGCCAGACACTTTAATATCCACCTATCAACCATTGCTCGCCTCAGACAACACGTCCATGACCTGAAGCGCCACCTGTAACAACCGCTGGTCAAGATCACCACATCCGACTACAGCATCTGTGCAACAGGTTCCAGTCAGCTACTGCTACTGCCAGGGGAACTGTTGGAACACGGCAACATCAGATCAGCCGTTAAACAGTCCGAAGGTTCCTGGCTGCCCTTGGGTTACCCTGCCGTCGATCTTACCAAGGTCAAATCCCTTTGCATCGTCATTGTCTTCCCAGACAGCAATGGGTCGCAAACCAGGGGAATCTATACAACACACCATGGCGAAATGTCATCTTCTCGGATGAATCTCGATTCCTGATGGACGTCACCATATCTACCGACGTCGACATGAACCTGATCAAACACCTCTGGGATGAACTTGGACGACGGGTTCGAACTCAAGCCGTGCCACCACAGACTGTTGCAGAGTTGGCTCGGGCACTCCAAAAGCATTGGCAAACAATCCCACAGCATGTAGTGAGACATCTGTGCCAGTCCATGCCAAGGCGACTTCAGGTATGTGTAAGAGCTCAGGGTGGACATATCCGATATTGACATCAGCTGACCCCTGCTTTGCTTCATGGTTCTCTGACGTTTCGGTTTTGTGCATTTGTAGTGAATTCTTTCATGAAATTATCCACAGATGCTTTTATCTCGATTTTGTCAATTATTATGTACATTTGTTAAAAGATGTTGCAGTAAATAAACTTTGGATTTGGCATTGCGTTTTTAATGGCTTTGAGTGTATTAACAGTGAGAAACCATTATTCTGTATGTGTTATTTTCTGAATTCAGTATATGTCACCTTCTAAATTCAGTATATGTCACCTTCTGAATTCAGTACATTTTACAATATGGATTCAGTATAAATTAGAATATCAGATTCCAAGTACAGAATTGGGAAAACATAATAAGCATTGCAATAAAACTTAATTGAAACAAAAACTAAGTTAGCATAAAATTGATTATTAATAAAGTTCAGCATGAAATCAATTGGAAGTCATAATAAAATTGGAATTAAATATTCTGTGCTTAGTATAAAATTATTTAGAATGTCATATACATAGTTGGGAATGAAAATGTTATACTATCAAGTTCAAGAAAAAATATTGAATACATTTTAATTGGAAAAGAACAATTGTATTGGAATCAATTATGTTGTGCAATGGCAAAAAAGGTTATGGATTCAATATGAATATTTCAGGAAGTGCAAATGTGAGAAGATAATCCAGGCCAATGCATTCAAAAAGTAAAGTTAAGCTTACTTAACTTTTTTTTAAAGCTACCTTGGGGAGCACGTCAAATTCAGATTGCCAAGTTAGGCTATATTATTTACAAATTGTATAAACATATACAATAGTGAAAGGACATTTACATAAAATCTGACTAATTTTCAACTGTGAACAGTTTCTGGAAAGATGTTTGGAAATTCAAAGCTATATTTAAACATACATTATGCAAGAGCTAAATCTGTCTATTGCAGGTCTTCTTTAGGTCTGAAATGTTTTCTAAATTATTAATTAGACATTAATCAACTTATTCAGGCCATAATCAACTCTCGATGGCATCAGATTTCTCTAATTAAATAGATTAGAACAGTTCAGCCATATTTTGATTTAAGCTAAAAATGGAGGAGCGAGACTTAGCTTCGAACAACCAGTATGGTGGTTGAAATTATTGCACATGTCTTGTCAAACCTTCCAAGGCTAAAATCTTCGCTCATAATAGAGTAATTTGAATGAAATTTTCAAATTATTCATTTTACATTATCTATTTTCGAACTATTATAGCAAGAATGGCTAGATTTTTATCTAAATCTTACATAATGTATTTTTAAGTTACTGCTTGTTAATATAGGTGGAAATAATTTCCAGCTCAAACTGCTGTCTTTAATTAGCTAGCTTAACTATGTCCATCCAAACACGATAGAAAATATATCAATAACACCAGAAATTTTCTCCCAACAGAAAAGAATCAAGAGAAAAATATAGCATGACAGGGTTTCTTTTTAAAGATAATGAAATTAGCAAAAAAAATGCTAAGAAACGGAGCGAGGAAGTGTAACATAATAATCGACTGGCTATCAATCATTTTCACCCCAAACTTCAAAATTTACTCCAAACACCACTTTTACAAATTTCTTGTCATCTGTCAGTTTGCGACCCAACCCTGCCGATACCTGTTATAATAATCATGCACTGTAAAATAACTTAACTCCGTCAAAAAAGATTTATTATCTGGCAAAACTCTTAAATCTCATCTGAAAAAATTTAATTTTAACCTCTTTATTCTTATTTTCTAGCCGACCGTGAAACTTAGGTACAAAATACTTTAATAGTCTTATAGAATGTATGTAAAGATATATAGCTCAATACCACATCTCTCTAAGTACAATATAATTATAAAACATTCATTATTCTTCGACTTCTTAAATGTCTTATCTTTGATGTTTAGGTAAAAATAAATTTTGATCCAAACTCTTTATTTAAAAAAAAGAAACAACCTAGACAAAACTTTTCTTCTGTAGAGTTCTTATTACAATCTGCCAACATAAAACACAAAATAAAAGTACAATGCAACTTTTTAAGTGGTCAGATTATCAGATTATGCTACTTTATATATGTAATAATCTCAGAGTTGAAATGTATCAAAGATTATTTACATTAGTTATATTGAAATGGTACTATAGATGGTTTATGACTCAATAAACAGTTTTCTCAGACAATTCAATACTCCCATTGGTCAATGAACATGACCAGGTCAGTCTAGTCTACCCACAATTCCCTTTGGTTTCTCTCTGGACGATGTTTCTCGCAGAATTGCTAACAAAAACTGACAACCAATAATGTCAAGGAAATTGAATGGAAATTGAAAAGAATTACGAATTAAAAAGCCTAAATGTGAACCTCCCAATTGGTTTTGGTGGCTAGAAATTTGTCAGTAAGTTCACTTTGAATAAATAAATTGCCTTGAGGTGTCAATTTTCTCCAACACTGGTGTGAGTTGATTATTCTAAAACATATCCAATAATGTGACGAATCATGAGAATAATATTATCCATCGATAAAAACTGGTAATACTTGATGAAAACCTTTTAGAAACTGTCAAAATCTATTTACGGTAGTAAAAAATTACTTTAGATTGACAAAATGTAAAAAGACACGCAAAATAATCGGTTTCAATTTATTCTTCATCCAAAAACAAATTTCAATTATTTTGTTTTTCCAAGGAAGTTTTTATTATTACAAATTATTGATAGTTTTCTGTATAACAATATGTGTGCTGCTAACTATAATGTTTAAGCTGGTTTAAACATTCTGGTGTTTTGAAACCAGAGTTCAACATTCACATGGACTAAATAGTGAAACCCTCTTTACAATTCTGACAGGAATTCCAAACTAATCTTGACTTTCCAAATCTTAATTCTGACCTGACCTCCCAAAATGAGTTTCTCAAAGAACTTTCAATATCAATACTACACCAAATTCTCCAATACTGGTCTTCCTCAGTAAACCCTCCAATCCATCGATTCGTTAAATATTCACATATTTTAATAATTAGTATCCACCCAAACCTCCCCCATTTCATTCTCACCCCTACTTCCATCCAAACCTTCTCAATTTAATTCCTATTCCTTTGTCCATCCAAACCTCCTTAATTCATTCCTACACCTCAAAATTTCCCACAATTTATCACCAAACATAATGTAAGACTAAACCTCTTTTATCTTCTAATGACATTCCTCCGTCCAATTTCCAGATATTGTTTTTTTTAAACATTCCAACGTCTTTTCATTCAAATTTCCTTGAGGTTATATTGTAAAAGATCATCACAAAATTAAACTGAAATCTGTGTTTTTGTAATCTCATGTCATAAAATGTTTTATTTTCTGAACATGAAATGTTTTTATCTACGAATTTATGCAACTTCTGTTAAGTTAATTTTGACGAAGGTAAGGGACCTGTTTTCATCATCAAAAATCTTTGTTTATTTTCTTACAATTCACCAATTTACACAACATTGTTTTATTTCTCCAAACTGTATCATCAAATTACCGTTTTCTTATCCAAACAATCCCTTCATTTTCTCCAGTTAAACATTTATTTTGTCTAGGTTACATTTTTCTATAAATTATTTGTGAATTAATTCTTATAGGATTCAAATCATTGGCTGAAATTAGCTTTAAAAATAATAAACACTAGGATGCATGGCATAATATTTTAATTATTTTAATTCTTTGAAAAATCTGTTATTATTATTCTTATTTAAGCCATTTCTGTTCATTTTGTGATATATTTCTTTTACAAAGTTGATGTGTGTTGGGTCTGTTTTTCTTATCTTCCAAGACTAGAAAGCTCAGATGAAATAGGATGAACAATAATAGCTTCTTACACAAACGTACGCTTCACAGTCCATTAAATACAGCATTTTAACATTCAAAAATGAATTTACAACAGTCAGTATGTATATACTCTAGTTTTACAAAGTATGAAATAATCACAGTATTCGGGTAGAATTCTCTACGCTAAATTAATCCTTGTTTTACCATTAACTTTCAACTGTTACTGACAATTCATTGACAACCATTCATAGTGAAACTAAGTTCCGATTACAATGTATAATTATGCAGAACGAAAGAAACAGGGACAATCAGAATTTTAACTATTACTGATACTTTAATGAAACATAAATGAATCAGAACATTTCCATGTAAAATATAAATGAATCAGAACATCCAAATGTAGTGTATGGCAACCTTTGAGTTTCTGCTGTTTTTTTCTTAAATTTTTGGACAAATAAAAACTTTAGTGGAGAAGCAAGAAATAGACTAAAGTCGAAAGTTAAAGGAAAAAAAATGTATTCCATTTTCACCTAATCATCAGTTGCTAACCTAACATGGCAAGAAACTCATTAAATCAGTTTTTCACAGCTTGCGGCTAAACTGATGACAAATTCTTGGCTAGTTGTTGAAGTGATGGTTTAGAGTTACTGCCCCTGAACTACTCCAGATGTAACGCTATAATTATTTTTGGCAGTTGAATCTTATACCCCTAGGCTAAGTAATTATCAGTCATTAGTTAAGCTAGTTCCATTTAATAAACACAGAGCAACCTTACGGCCATTTTTATTGATCAACAATTAATTCAAATATTAAATTTCTTTTGTTTAATTTACAGTTATGAATCTTTTACTCAATTTTGCATTGAAAAATATCGGAACACACATAATATTACATTTGCATAGTTAAGTTAACTAAAAAATCTTTGTAACTGAGAACAAAAATTAGAAAAAAAAAACCCTTCAACAAATTAAATAAAAACGAAAGAAAATATATAAAAGATCCACTTACATTTCATACTTTTGTGACAACCCACAAGTAGCCCGATGTCGACTGTAATATCGATTCTCCAGATCGAGTTTTGTTTCTCCGATTAAATCATCCATCCCCACCAAATCCCAGTCATATATCTGTATAGTTAATAAAGACTCCATTGGAAATGTTGCTTCTATTTCGAAACATCTAAAATAAATACATGTATATTGGGGGATTATACAAATGTTTGTTTCAATGTATAATTAATTAATCATTGAGAAGCCATAGGTACAATTAATGAAATCTATGTTAATTTAGTGTTCCATATTCTCAGACACGAACCTAGGTCACTCTGAACCAAACAGTCATTTAAATTCATCAGAAATTACTAAGGTATGCATTAATTTCTTGCTGTACAGAAGGTAAAATATCAACAGATCAAATGAGACTAACAGTATAGATCATTTCATTTGATAAGAAAAGGCCAAATCTAAATATTAGTTGAAAATAAATAAGCACTGAAAGGTATAATTTATATTGTAAATAAATAGATTAGAATAAGAAAATTATGCTAGATAATCTATGAATGTCAATAAAAGCAGGGCGACTTATTGTGCCAAGAAAGTTTAAATAAAAAAACTTAAAAACTCAATTACAAAACTTGATAGAATGTGCAATAACTTTGAGAATATTATACTGTATTGCTGAAATTTTGATAGTGTGCATGCCTACAGTAGTTGAATAAGCCTATTAAGTTTGGAAAAATATATCTAAAAAATCCACAGAGTGATTACAATGAGCTGAATGGTCCAACAGACACAGGTGACAACAATATATGAGCACATTAAGTGTAGGCCTATTAAGCTTATAAAAATATTATATTTGTTTAAATGTCCTTCAAAAGAACTTCTATTCATAATTTTGAGAATTTAATATTGTGCACATTTTTTTAAAGTTTCTGTGCAGCTAGTTGCAATCATACAAAATTAAACTTTTATTCATTGGCTGTTGGATTGACTGAAATTTGAAATGTCATTTAAATTGATTAATCATTTCAAATTTGGAGAGTTTTAAATTGGTTGTGGACAATCCCTGTATATAATTTTGATAAATCATCAGCAAATTATTGAAAAATAATCCCAGGTATTCATGGTGCTTTAAATATAAAAAATTAAATATAAGGAGACGAAGATAAGCGCTGACATTTATGACACCTTGACAATGGCAGTGTCGAGCCACGTAATGATTAATGAGTTATTCCCCCTTTATTTATTTAGGGTGACATTTATATCACTTTATAATTAGACGCTTGCATAGCTTGGACCTCCCCTGGCTCACAAAGTTTATTGTTGAGTCAAACAAAACACTTTAGTTCTGCAGAAATCAAGCGTGAAGAATAATAAAAAGCCGAAACTCAGGATAGTGATACACAAAGTAATTCATCTTCTCATCGGGAAATCTACACCATGAAAACCTTTTTTAAGGCGAAAAAATAAATGTTTGTCGTGAAGTAAAATTCCTCAGCAGGAAATTTCTTTAGGGTTTTAGAAAAATATGTCATGACTACCAGTAATGCAATTTTTAAAAAATTCAACACTATCTTCAAAAATATTTTTATAGAGATATGTTTAGTAAATATTAAGATATATACTAATTCCATAACATTGTTTATTGCTGTAATTAGAAAAAAATGTAATTTTGCATAGCTAAAAAGGTTAAAAAATTGTCCATTTATTTTCCTACGTTTACTGATGCAAGGGAGATAACCATCAATATACTTGTCCTTACTTTACACAATATTAGGACTAATGCTTATTTTTTACCTCTGAGTAAATCAACATGTCTACCAGACTTTAGAAATGCATTACCTTAGGGTGTGTATTACTCTCGTGGATTGCTTACTGAAAATAGCCTTATTACTTGACAATTATCCGGCCCCAACTATTAATGAGAAACAAGCAAACTTGACAATTCCTGCATATGCAAAAGGCTGATACTGCCAATACATATTTCATTATAATAATTATAAACCTACTTTCCAAAGACTGGATTAAGTTGTTTAGAGATGTAATTTTCTTTATCGTTAACAGTTGTATTACCAAGACGGATCACTAGATATGGATCAGCTTTTCCATTTATATCTGCTGGGTGAAGGTCGTTAGCCTAAAAAATACAACATGCTACACTTTATGATGACAAATTAATCATGAATAAAGAATATTCAGTTGAATAGTGAACTGCAAAATCAAATTAATAATTTCAAGTATAAATTTACTTATTATTCATTATTTAATTTGTAATCTTTTTTTTTAAATTCTGTATGTCTGATATTAAAATATGGTTAAATTTCCTTTAATGTAAATTGTATTGGAACCACACTTTATTAAAATATAGATTTCTGAGTGAATAAAAAAAACCCAAAGGAGTTATAGAAAACTCTTAGTAAACAAGCCTTATGCAAGAGCTAAATTTGCCTATTGCAGGTCTTTCTTTAGGCCTTATTATTAATTAGACATTAATTAACTTACCAAGACCATAATCAACTTTCGATGCCATCGCATGCCTTTGATATTAAGTAGATTTAAATACAATTTGCGTTTGATGAAATGAGCGTAAAGAGGGATAATTGAAACTTTGTTTATTATTGTAACAATGGTAGCAATGAGAATTGCCAATGTCTAAGCCCAGAGTGAAGTAATTTGACTGAAATTTTCAACATATTTCCTTTTCATTATCTATTTTTTAACTATTATAGTGAGAACTGTCAGGTCTTCATCTAATCTTACCTAATGCCCATTTAAGATTCATATCATATATATAAACAAATCAATACCGGTAAGCGGTTCACAAGAATCTTTTATTATATTTAGAATGAATAGTGACACCAGTATACTGTGTTACCTTTACGACATAGACTCTGACTAGAACTTTTATAGGATCGTTACTTGGTAATCCTTGAAATAAACCATATTGTGGATCCCCACCTGTCACTGTAGTATCCTCTAGGTCTGGGGGTAGAGGGATCTTATAAATCTTTAATGAACCCTTAAAGTAACAAAATACAGTACCATATACTATATTAACAAATTACAGAGGACTTACATCTACATATCTTACATTAATAAAATCAAATAAATTGACATTAATAAAATATTTATATTGCTCTTTTCAAAATTAGTCTTAGCGACATTTTAAAAGTATTAACTTTATCTTGATATAATTTGTGAAATATAGAACTAAAACAGAAATGCAGAAGTTAAAGGGAGCTAACTACTTTTTATTTCTGTATAAAAGAAAGTGTGAAATGGGTTTAACATCCACTCGACACAAACTAGGTAATTTCGGGACTAACATATGGTTAAATTTTATTTAAATAATTTGCTTGTGCGTAGGGGTCTTTAGCAGTCGGAGGTAACTGGAGAAACCCACAAGGTTTAACAGGCGACCCTACTCTTTGTCACATACAACTGGGGAATCGAAACCATGCCAGTTGACTCAATGACAGACCCTATGATACAACGTGCACATGCTAACCATTGGCCATGCAACCCTCCATTTCTGTATAAAGAAAGGGTAAAAATCTCATAAATTAATGTAGATTGTCGAAGCCAGTAAGAGGCAGTCTTTTGTATATGCTTAAGTATTCAAAATATACTATTCAAAAAAAGTAGGGGATATTTGATTTTTAAGTGTTATTAAAGTCACCTAATGAAACTGACGAAGAAACAAATGACAAAATGAAATGAAGTTCACATTCATCGATTTATTCCAAATGATCGTTAGACTAAGTAAGGCACAGACTGACCATTATAAGGTTAAAATGATACCCGGGGTCAAACAGCAAAGTTACCACAGCATCACAACCAAGTCAGTAACGGGTAAATCATCCTCTGTTTGCCAAACAAGCATTGATCCGAAGTGGCATACTCCTAATGAGACGTCTAAGGTCATTTTGGTCCAGATTGTCCCATTCCTGTTGCAACACATGCTCGATGGGGGAGAGGTCGGGACTCAGTGCTGGCCAAGGTAATGTGGTGATGTTCTGTTGTTGGAGGTAACCTGTAACGATCCTGGCCCTGTGACATCTTGCGTTGTCATCCTGGAAGATGAAACGGCGGCCATGACGTCGTGCGAACGGCACAACATGGACTGCCAAGATGTTGTCCCGGTAGTACTGGCCTGTAACACGCCCTGCAACAACATGTAAAGCCGTTCTTCCAGCAACAGTGATGCCTCCACACACCATAACAGAACCACCCCCAAATCGATCATGTCTGATGACGTTAACGTCTTGGAAGCGCTCGTTTCGACGACGCCACACCCTCCTACGTCTGTCCAAAAAATCAACAGTGAACCTTGACTCATCTGAAAACATCACATTGCTTCAGCGTCGATTATCCCAGTGTTGACGATCCCTACACCAACGACGTCTTGCCTGAATGTGATGATCTCTCAAACAAGGGATCACGCGAGGACGTCGGGCACGAAGGTGACCCCTATGCAGTCGATTCCGAATAGTCTGGACACTCACTCTCACACCAGTGACTGTTTGAAGACGAGCGCTGATCTGATTTGCTGTGATGACACGATTTCTCAAGGCCAAGGTACGGATAAATCGATCCTGGGCTTGAGTTGTCGCCCTTGGTCGACCTGAGCGTGGTCTGTCCTGTACAGATTGTGTATCACGGTATCTGGACCATAGCCTGCTTATGACAGACTGAGAAACATTCATCGTCCGCGCCACAACCGCCTGTGTTGTGCCGATCTGTAGCATGCCAAGGGCACGTAACCTTTCATTTTGGGTAAGCCGACGCATATCAAAATTTGTTTTCTGGTCACTAAAACAATTAAACTGATGTTTCCACCCTGGAATTCAATGCCACAATGACTGTAACATTCAAAGTCAGAGTCGTGCAAATCTTGGGTTGGACCCCCATGATGATCCCAAGCATCACCTGCATTCCATGCGGTAGCTATTGGTGCGTTTGGGCGTCACATGTAACTGGAAATGTTTCTTCTGTTAGGTTCTATAGTGACTTTTTTCGTAGTCATTTGCATATTTTAGCATTATGCCCCCAAAATCAAATATCCCCTACTTTTTTTGAATAGTATATATAAGTTATAAAAGTGATAAGTAAAACAACACTTGATAATCCATATGAACACATCTCTCAAGATGAAATGGGGATACATCTCATTGGAGAAGACAAATATAACAATAACCAGCGGCTGCCAGGCAAGATACAGACACATTTTGCAAGAGATGGACAGAGAACAAGCTAAAAAAAGCGATTTTTTGTACAATCAGGGGCCATAATCTAGGAAGTTATCGCCCGATAACCACGGATATTGAAAGGAACCGAGATCTTTTGGATATAAACTTATAATTTTAAGTTTCATCAAGATCGGATAAAAACTGTGACTTCTAGAGTGTCTAATCCTAGATGGTCCACATCCTTAGTATTACATACTTTTACATTATTTGCGCACAAGTAGCAGCCATTTTCAGAAGATTCGAACTCAACCATCATTAGTGTGTAACGTGATATAGTTAAACCATTTTTTTTTTAATCAGATACATGGTCTGATACATGCCAATTTCGAAAGGAACCAAGACAGGCCCCCCCCAATAATTTTGCCGCAAGTACTCTTTTCTCCAGGTTATTGCGGCCCCTGGACCCACGCCTATAAGGACCTAGGATGGAAGCCCCCCCAATCAAGAATTGCTTCCACCAGCCCTGCAAGATCTTTGGGTGATAGACTCATATTTCAAGTTTCGTCAAAATCGGATAAAAATTGTGAACTGTGGAATGTCCAAAAACAAATTGTGGAGGGATGGACGGACAAACGGACCAACAGGAGCAACGACACTATACGTCCACATGAAATTGTTGGCGTATAAAAATTGTTTATTATTACAAAGAACCCCAATCGTTGCTGGTAAGCAGTTGTTTCTGCTTTGTTAATTTACAATGAGTTACAGTTCCCCTAAAATGTCACAGCTGTCTTGTTTATTTGTTAATAAAGGGCAGAACATTTTACTGTTGGGATGTGGATGTTTTAATACTCGTTAAGGAATACATTTCAGCTGAAATTCTCACCTTAAACTTTCCTACTATTCGGCTATCATCTGATTCATCCATACTTGACTTTTTACCACGATACAATTCAAACGTATGCAACCAATCTTTAAAACCTTCAAATTCTGGTTGATTTTCCAATTCATTTGGATAAACCTGAGAAAAACATTGATAATTTAACTATGAGGCAGGTAGAGAATTTCATACAATATTCAAATGAGTCTGACAATATTGTTAGATTTTTATCTTTAGTTATATAATTGTTCAAATATATATCTTACATATCTTCAATGATAAAAATAGGATCTTTATTGATAAATCTTTTTCATAAGTATGTTACGTTTACTAAACAGGAAAAAAAGACCACCTTTTTCCTCCATGAAAAATCAAAATTTGTGATATTGAAAATGGAATGAAATGGTGTTTAACTTCCTATTTTTCTGCACCCACTGGGCTATGGAAGACTACTTATGCCAATGAAATAGGTCTAAAACTTTAAGAATGTTGTACTGCTTTCAAATCTTCCAATTAGTCTTAAATACTGCTGTTCATCAGATATTACTGATCATGAACCTAATAACGACAAGACGTGTGACACTCCTGATCCCATTAAAAAAAAAAAACACTCAAGGAGTAGACAATAAATTCAGAACCAAGGTTGAATAAAGAATCCATTCAACAAAATGTTATTAAAGCTATGTTCCCAGAAAAGTATTTATCGGGTGGTTATTTCCGATAAAAGTATGGCGATTTTGGTATATATGGAAAGTAGAAATATCCAGTCTTACTAGAAAAATACTGGATTCCCTGAAAAACACTCATGGAGCGCATACAGGACAAAAATGTAACGGTTTCCCTAATTGACAGCCCGGCGATTAGAGTGTCTGCACGCGTGACGTCGGAGGTTGCACGCGGAGATTGAGCACTTGATGTGCATTTTGATAAACTTTATGAAGAATTAGATGTACAATAATGTCAGAGATAAAAATTACGGAAAAAGAGGTGGGCAGTGGATAATCCGAAAATTTAATTAGGCTTCGATATTTGTAATAAATAGTCAGCGATTAAAGACATCATCTTGTGTATGCAATGAATTCTCCTCCGACTTCGCTTGCGATGCTAGGTACCGAGAGAGGTAAGTCACGTGACGCAAACATGAACTATTTTGATCAATTTTTTATAGCCAGGGTATTCCCCGACAATTGCAATATTGAGAAGGATTTGAAGCAAAATTATGATAAATTAATTAGTTTGAATATGTTTTTAGTCCAAATATATCATCAAATCACCCAGTTTGTACCCGGGAATGTATCTTTAAATGAAAAGCAATTTTGCTGTTTAGAATACTCTCCCCCCCCCCACCCCCTCCCCCTCCTATAAAATATGAATGTAAATATAAATTATTAAGGAAAGATTTCATAAGTTGTGCTTTTAAAATAAAATCATAGAATATTGAATATCATAAAAACTTTAAGTTATCTTCACACAGAAATATTTTATGGTTTAATGTAAAATTCCATAAGAAATAATCAATGATGAAAACTGAAATGAAAAAGGGTGAACAATTCTGATATCTAGGAATTCTTGCATTGATTCTGACATCTAGAAACTCTTGCATTGATTCAGATATCTAGAAACTCTAGCTTGCATTGATACTGATATACAGAAACTCTTGCATTGATTCAGATACTTAGAAAAATAAATAAGTTCATGCATATTAAAGATAATATTCTAAATCTGTAGGTGCATCTTTGATAATGTCACCTGAACGGTAGCAATCGGTTCTGACACATCCTCATATTTACTGGCTTTTTTCATCATATCATGAAACTGCAGATTATAATATTAGTATGTTTATTAACCAAACTACTAAAATTTGTTAACTTAAGTTATCAAAATAAAATGTTTCATTTGGTATAAATTATATTATCAAATGGTAATTAATTACTTTGACAGGATTGTAGTGGCAATTAGACACTATCCCAGGATCATGATCGAAACACATGTCTGGGATGTTCAGTTTTTTTAATCTTGGCTTGGGTGGCGATTGACTTTCATAGGGCTTTATGGTTTTAAAAAAAAAATGCTATACTCATTTTGATTTTTTTTAATGTACATGTAAATTATTCTTTGGCAGCAGCAATTTAAAGCCAAATTGGAAATGGCCTGCTGAGCACAGGAAATGTCAAAAGACATTTAAAAAAAAGTCTGAGATCCTGATTGAAAATTTGAATCATATATAGGGTGCCCCATCATAAATAAATATCTCCAAATATCTCCAAATTACACCACAATATTTATATATACACCAAGCCTTAAATCAGTTTCAAACATTTATAGTCAATAAATAAACGGTCATGTTGTACTTAATAAGCTATGACCATTTAATCATCCATAAATAATACACTGAAAGATGGTTACGAGTGTCGGCCATAACATCCGAGCACATGTGAGTAAAAAATAGGTTACGTCCCTTTGTTTTTGAAAGTCGTCTCGCTTAACCAGTCTACCGACCATTATACGTTTGATTGACAGGCCGGGATAATCAAGACTACTTTTTTACGAAACATAACAGAAAGCTGGACCAAGAAATTGAATTTAGAAACACGCACATTGGGCAACTCATTAATTGTTTTAAGAACCTTGTAAAAGTATAATGAAGCTACTGCTAGTATCATGTTCTTGCCCAATGCAAGTATTTCAGAGATATTATTTGTACTAAACCAGTTATTGATAAAGCAATTTAAAAAATAAAACAAACGTAATTTCTAAAGCTGCTGTAATAACCAATAAGCTAAATATTACTGCTCTTCAGAATCGTCAACAATAGAATTTTACTGTTGTAATAGTTGATAGATGTTTAGAGAATTGCACGTACGATGGATATCTATAGTATCATAGACTCTACCGCTTGAGTATTATCATACTGCGTAGTAAGCGAGAAATCACTTCCAGACAAGCCACTGAAGCGTGTACATTCGCCGTGTCGAGACCAACTTTCTGTACGGAAAATTTTGGGTGCACGGGTCACCCTATCATATAGAATTTGAGATTTACCTTCAACTGTGCTGTATTAGTGAGTACTTTCTCCTTCTTTCGTTGTGATTTTGGGGAGAGTTGTTTGGCTAAACTTACAGCCTTAGCTGTCCCTTTCATTGTCTTCTTCTCATCCTGCTCTTTCTTTTCCAATTTTTTCAATTCTTTTTCCATTTTCTTGGCTTCTTTCGTGTTTAATTCATCTTTGTAAAAAACAGAAAAAATATGTTGTATGTTGTATAAAATTCTAATAGGCCTACATGTAGCCAACCATTCCAAGCAAGTATGAAACATAAATTTCAAAATCTCTGACCAATAAAGAATTTGCAAGAGTCTGGTTACTCTGCAAAAATTATTGCACAACTCTGAATTTCAATAGGGGTTCTCTTTAGAACTAGCTGAAAAATTCAAGCAAGTTTTAAAAAATAACATCTAAAAAAAACTGTGGCCTGTGAAAAGTTTATGAAAAATGTTTTGTGGGTATAATGTCTTGTTACATCTAAAGATAGGTTGCCAGGCAACAAACATATGTCCACAACAGCCAAGTCGTCCGGGCTGTCAACAAGAGTTGCCGCATATTTTTTCTTTTGTGAGTAAGGAAAACGTTTACAACACACAAAAATCTTATTATGAGTAATAATCCATTAAGTAATTATCAGAAATCATTAGAATTTGTTTCGATTGTTTGTCTCATGACCTTAATCAATTTATATAAACTTTAGCCTCTAGAGCATCTACAAGATATTTCAAAGTGATCAAGGGCCACAATTATTGGAAATTGTTGAAGATCAATAGGCTTCTTCGTCTCATGACCTAAAACACTGTGTATAAATTTAAAGTCAATCAGATATTAACTGTAGCCTCTAGCGGGTACACAAGATTTTTTCAAAGTAATCAAGGGCCATAACTCTGTCAGTAATTATTGGAAATCACTGAAAATCAATAGGCTTTTTCGTCTCATGACCTTAAAGACTGTGTATAAATTTAAAATCAATCGGATATTAAGTTTAGCCTGCTTGACTAGCGGACAGACGGAGGCGACGACAATATACAGCCACATTTTAATGTGGGCGTATAAAAATTGAAAAGGCTACAATCTAAATCTTTCTATTTGCTTATTGTTGACTTCATATTATCAATTCAATAACAGAGATTTTTACCATCATCATTAGTAGTGTTATTTCCATTAGGAATAGCCCCATAAACTGAACTTGACTGTTTAGTCTGAACTTTAGTCTGGGACTTGTCAATATCATAATCGTCTTGGAAACCTTCATTATCCTTCTCATGTTCCTGAAGTAAATAATTTATAAGTCTAAGATTCCACTTTAAGTTTGGTCATTTAGATATCATCTAAGCCAAGTTGTGGAACTTCACCAACAAAAACATAAAATTTGTCATGTTTACAATTTCATCCTCTATACCTCATAGAGAGAGGAACCAACTTTACAATTGAATTTATTCAATATAAAACAGCCAATCCTCAGAAAATAAGAATTCTGGTTCTTATATCCATTCATAGAAAGCTTGAAGATATGGTAAGATTTTTAAAGCTTGATCAAATGATATTTATTAAGTAACCTTTTTATTTTACAAACTATTTCATAGCAGAAATAATACAAATAACAACAATATCCACCAACTCTTAACTCTCAAAAAAATAATACAGATAGTGAAAATAAGTAAAAAGTACTTGATCAATTAGTATTTATTTTTTATGTATAAAGGAAAGTAAAAAGCGACTTTATTTTAGAGATATAAAACATGCATGAGGCAATGTAATGTGTGCTCTTACGGTACATATTATTGTATAAAAATCTGTCATTCAAAATTCATTACATCAAATTAAAAATAAGGAAGAAGAAATAAGAGAAATCAATCAATGTTCTTCAGGCTATATTTCAAAATGATTATGATGTGTTTTAACACATATAATAGGCTAAAACAATTTCCATGCAACAGGCTTTAAAACCTGAATAGAAATAATATTATTTATTCATAGTGTTTGATAACAATGCCAATTCATAGTTATTGAACTTTTGGTTTATATTGACAGTCTTGCTTGAGATGCAGAATATCCATTCCAGGAATACCTTTCACTAGCTCTCCTAAATTACATTTCTAATAGTCATTGAAGATCAAATTCCAAAAAGCAACCTATGACTGCTGATTAAAATCATTTCATGCTCTTGCCAATAACAAGCATGAATATATGCAATAAGACCAGTTAAGCACCAAATACAATGTCTTTATCAAAAAAACACAGGGCTAACTGTCTACTTGAAGAACTACCATACAGCTTAACTAAATTAACCTTTATTTTCATTAAGTATGGATATTGCATAATATTTTATATGTGAGCTGCTCTCACAAAACCAGGCTTTTGGTCATTTTTATAAAATAGAGCTGGCAAGATATTTGAAAAGTCCACAACCTACGCTTTCCAAAAATGCAATTCTTTTTAAATTTGTCCTATCACCTGGAGTTGAGTTTGGCTCATTCACAGCAACAGTTTATGCTTTTGTGCCCGTAGTACAAAATGAAGTTGTGCAACAAGCGCCTGGTTTAGCGGGAGCGGGCATAGGCGTACGAGCTGGGGGGGCAGCATTTTGGGCACCAAATGCTGGGAAAATTTGGGCACACAATTGTATTTTGTAAAAGTTGTATAAAAAAAGATATTGTGTTCTTGAATGTGTCCAATTGAACAGCGAATTTATTATTATTATGTAACATACTAAGAACCTAACTACATTTTTTGGGCACCAACCACCACCGCCCCCCCCCAGTCAAAAATTTCCCCGTACGCCTATGGGAGCGGGTCACATATGTTCAGCTTGAAAGTAGGGTATGGTTGGGGTTGGGGTTAGTATGACACTTTGGGTGGTAAGTGTGGCCAATGCTAAATAACATCAACCCATAAATACTCCAAAATTAAAGCCACTACAATTCCAAATTGACAGAAAAGCACATTATCCACAATTATCATAATTCATATGTAACATTTTTATGGGGTGTCACTTCATACTTGTGTTATATACATAAAGAGCTTACTTCAGCTTTCAGAAGTAGAAGTCCCAACTAAAACCTCCATTCATGCTCTAATAATAATAATAATAATAATAATCTATTTATAAAGCGCTGAATATCCAACAAACTGGTTGCTCAAGAGCTCTAGGGTCCTTAATGTCAAGAATTTCTCTTAATAATTGAAATATTTAGATCACTGCAAAATGTATCTTTTGAAGTTGTTGAACTGAGTTACAATCTCTCCCCAGTTCACCCCCTCCACGCCCTTGCGACATGTTGCTGTATATGTATATATCTCCGCCACCAGTAAAGCTATAAATATTATATATTCTGTAAAAATTACATACTCGAAGATAGATTTCTTCTGGAGAAAGAGTCATCTGATCTATAAGTTTTTCTCTGGCAACTGGGGTAGCTACACTGGGCTTTAATCATAATCAAACTCATTTGGGAAACAATCATTTATAACAAAAATTTAATTCATTTCAATCATTATTTTATTTAAAAATGTATAAAAAATTGATTTTTTTTTTTTCAAAGTTTATATTTATTTTCATATGAAATTCAAATTTCTTCATAATATAAATTACTTTTTCCAATAAAATTTCAGTAACAAAGAAGAATACATGTGCAAATAAAATAAAATTATCAATAATATTAACAAAATATAAATCCCAAAGCTCAATTAGAATACCATAAATTAATTTCTGCTTTCTTCTGACAAAATGTTACAAAACTAAACTAAAAATTGTTACTGGAAGTAGAAATCTCAACTAAATATTAATAAAATTAATGAACTTATAAAATGTTCTCAAAGATTAAAAATATGCAGGTACAGGTACATGTATGCCCATTTGAATATTTCAAATAAGTCAAGCAAGAACATGTGTGGAGTGTTAATTCTGTTACTGTAAAAGCAACTATTTCATAACTCTGCAAATTAGTGGTGAATTCTATCAAAAACTAGATCTAGTGGAAATAGGGCCAAACAACAAATTTCAGTAAAAAACAGAGGTCTCATGGATTTATGTTTAAGACAACACACCAAGTTTCATTAAAATTGGGGTAGAAAAAATAGACTCTATAGCGTTCACACTCAAGTGTGCACAAAAGGCTAATGGATCGATGGACGGGGGATGACAACATTAATGTGGGTGGATAAAAAATAAATCATAAGAGTATTCTCTCCATAGCCATAAAAATTTTCATAACCCTTTAAGAAGATACTTTACTTTGGATTTGTCTTTGGTTTTTCCATATTTCCTATCTTTACCTTTAGTTCTTTTCTTTTTTATTTTACTTGAAAACTACAAGATTGATAGAAATTTTTCCAACAATTTACTCAAAGAAAATAGTAACTGATTAAAATATTGTACTTCAATTTGGATACAATTTCACTTTTGAATCTGTTAAAATGTATAATGATTAGGTATCATGATAGTTAATTTCATCTTATGAATATTGTTAATATTAGTGCTACACTTTTTGTGTTGTAAATAATGTGCACATAGTAGAGGCTGCCAGGCAATAAAACATACACTGTCAACATGTTGTCTGAGTTGTCCATTAAGTTATATAAATTTCAGTGAAATTGATCTAGGGCATTAACCCTTCAAGTAATTACCGGAAATTGTCAAAAATCAATAGGCTTACTCGTATCATGGACATAAACAATGCATATACATTTTAATGATAACAAGCTAACAGTGAGGCTGATGTCCCCAACCCCAGTACCAAAATAATTAGATGACCCTTAATATTTGCACATTGATCCTTTTGTAAAGCACTGAGCAATCAGAAAATGCTCATGACTGAACTAATCATGAGCATTTTCTGATTGCTCAGTTACTGATATAGTAAAATTATATTCTCCGCTTAGCATTATGTATTGATGTAATGAAACTGTCCTGTGTATACCTTTGCTTGTGTGTAGAAGACCCCAGTTGGAATTCAATTCAATGGCAAATTATCCCTCATATCATTATACATCCTCGGTATTCCCAGTGGTTTCATACTCCACTATACCCTAGGTTCATCCAAGGGGTATTCACATGTTCAAATTATCTGCCCTTGATCATAGCTTGAGTCTGTGAAGCAATCAAAAAACGGGGGGTTGGATGGCTGAATGGTTAGCGTGCGCGCGCTGTATCATAAAGTCTGTCATTGAGTCGACTGGCGTGGTTTCGAATCCCCGGTTGTACGTGGCAAGGAGTAGGGTCGCCTGTCCAACCTTGTGGGTTTTCTCCGGGTCCTTCGGTTTCCTCCCACTGCTAAAGACCCCTACGCGCAAGCGAATTATGTAAATAAAATTAAAAACCATATGTTAGTCCCGAAATGACCTAGTTTGTGTCGAGTGGACGTTAAACCCCATTTCTCTCTCTCTCTCTCGCAATCAAAAAACAGTTTACAAACCAGACTTAGCTTCATTGTTTATGTTCACAACAATATGCTGATTGGTATGGCTGATAAATTTAAAGAATAGTTGATATGTTTCTTTCGACAAAACAACAAGGATTTTTTTCTTCTAAAGTATGTAATCATGAAAGTGCTTGATTTCTGCTTATCTTGTGGTGAATATCCTTAGAGTGTGCTGGCTTACAGTGGTACAGATTGATCTTGGTCAACAATATGGCGTCTTGATTGCTCGATTATGAGAAAGTTAATATGAAGGAAGTGACATGCACACAAAAAGATGTCCTAAACATCTTTTTATGTCAGTTTTTATGTATTTAACCATTTTTTTGATTGGTCAATAAAAATAGTCTAAACATCAAGGGCATAATCTAAATACTTGTCTTCCCCATGAATGAACCAAGGGGTTAGTGGAGTGGAATGGAATGAGACCACTGGGGATACCGAGGATGATCATTATACTGCATTGAGTATAAAAACAGACAACATTCCTTCTTAGATTTAATTTCCAGTAGTGACTATATAGTCTCAACTCATTTATCACAGGTTTCACATTAGCAGGTATTGCTATGGGTTTGGTGAATAGAATTGAAACTTCAATAGGGACATTCCATATTAAGTGGGTCAATTTTCAGAAATTTGAGAAAGTTATTTAAGACTACCAAATTTAAGCTGTATATCTTTACTAGTAAGGTAAAAATAAGATATCTGAAACTCAAGTAAATTATTGATACATATTTTGTTTCGAAAACTTATGGGTAACTCATGAAACTCAAATGCCCATATCTCAGTCAATCTTCAAGCTACAGATCACAAATTTTGCACAGTTTCTAGTTTTTACATGTACCATAACATATAGTTTTTCCAGATTTTTTGAGGAGGTCAATTTCCCACCCCTGGCCCACTTGATGTGGAATGACACAATAGGCTTCCTATATTTTTTGGTTTATTCCTGTGTTTATCCTAGTCTCAAGAAAAATTTCAGCTTCTTGAAAATGTATATAAATCCAAATATATTTTGTGCAAAATATAAACATTCCCTTGGAGAACTTGAATTGTTTAAAAATAATGGTCAACTCCATTTGTTTTAATCAAGGGCATTAATTATTTAGGAAGTGAACAAAGGCATGTTACTTTATCTGTCCCTTACTACAAGTATTGCTTTCAATTTTTAGATCAATGGAATTGGTAGTCATTAAAAAGCTTGAATACTTGTCAAAAGACACAAAGTGAAATTGTTAGTATGATAGTAAATATTATTGTTATGAACCCAACACCAAATACATATAAATAGTACATACAGAATTCTGAGCATTCACACCTTCCTTATTTTCTAAGGAAAAATTCTATTTAAAAAAAAGACGTTATTAGGCACTGATCGTACTCGCAACCAAGATCAGCGGCTGCCAGGCAGGATATGCCCACCTTTTGCAAGAGATGGATAGAGAACAAGCTAAAAACAAACAGGATTTTTTGTACAATCAGGGGCAATAATCCAGAAAGTTATGGTCTGAAATGCGCAAATATCAAAAGGGACTGAGATCTTTGGGATATAAAAATGTATTTTAAGTTTCATCAGAATCGGATAAAAATTGTGACCTCTAGATGGTCGACAACCTACGTATTGCATAGTTTTACACAATTTGCATACAAAGAGCGGCCATTTTGTTGGGCAGTTTCATTTCGATTTTCCCGAAATTCGAATTCAACATTCATTATGGTGGAATGGTGAAATATTTAAATGGTTTTTAAAATCGGAAAAAAATTGTGACCTCTAGAGAATCCGCAAGCTAAAAATGTCATTTTTCGAACAATCAGGGGCCATAATTCAGGAAGTTAAGTTCGGATATCCGCGATTATCAAAAGGATCCAAGATCTTAGGGTTTAACGGTGATATACTAAAACGTTTTTTATAGTGCTCCTACGGTTAGGACTTTTTGTTATTCGAATAGCCGTAGCTATTAACCTGTTAGTAACCGTTAACCGTATGGTAACAATTTTAAACATAAAACAGAGCTTGTCAGGAGGTGCGAGTCATTACTTGTGCGCACGCAAAACTCGCCTAAAAGGCATTACACGCGCAAAAATTTCAGGAATTCTTTAATGAAAATTTAAACTATCTATGGCCATAGTTATTTATTTACCAGGTTAACTTGGTTCATTTGAAACATTTTTTAATTCAATATATATCTACGATAATATACAAAACAATACTCTGTTTCCCTTGTACATGACAGATGGCGATAATATTACAACTACACAATGTTACTAAGAATAGAATAAAGTAAATTGGAAGACATCTATTGATTGGACAATAAAGAATTAATTCCTCGCTTGCAAGTAGAATTTTTCTGATTGGTTAATTTAACTAAAAACCAAAGTAGAATTCTTGCCAGAAATTACGAGATATGAAACGTGTTGAATGTCGTAACGAATCTAGTATAATGTCATTTTCTATCCTTTATGATTATATTTTGAATGGTGGTTACGTTTTTAAGTAAATAATAAACAAGGTAGAATATAGTTAGAAATGCCGAGAAGTATTTAGATTGGATTAACATTAGCTAAAGTCAGAACAAGGTTCGTTGACATTGCCGTATGACTACGACGAGTGCTATTAATAGTATCATTGTTTAGCAGTCGACATCGTAGGACGACTGTTACATTCTAAGATTTTCAAACATCAAATACAAAATGACAACGGGCAAGTTTTGTTATAAAGAGGAATATAATCAGACACAACTCTATGTAATGGGGAACATCTCCGAATAACCGTACCGTTGAATTCGAACCGTTTAACCGTCCAGTTCTAACCATTTACAGCTATCCGACTAGTCATAGGAGAACTAGTTTTTTAAATCGGATAAAAATTATGACCTCTATTGGGTCCACAAGCTAAAAACGTTATTTTCGCACAATCAAGGGCCATAATTCAGGAAGTTACGGTCCGATATGCTTGAATATTGAAAGGAACTGAGATCTTTGGGTTATAAACTTACATTTCAAGTTTCAACAAAATCGGATAAAAATACCATATTTCTTATGCTATTTGAGAACGAGTGGGGGCCATTTTGTCTGTCAGTTTTGGGCCGATTTTCACGAAAATCGAACTCAACCATCCTTAGGGTATAATAGTGATATATTAAAACGTTCTTTTAAATCGGATAAAAATTATGACCTCTATAGGGTCCACAAGCTAAAAACGTGATTTTTCGTAGAATCAGGGGTCATAATTCAGGAAGTTATGGTCCGAAATGCTCGAATATCAACAGGAACCGAGATCTGTGGGTTATAAACACATATTTCAAGTTTAAAACAAATCAGATAAAAAGTGTGACCTCTACAGTGTTCACAAGCTAAAAATGTGATTTTTCATACAATCAAGGGCCATAATCCATGAAGTTACAGTCCGATACATGCCAATATCGAAAGGAACTGAGATCTTAGAACGATAAACCTACATTTAGTTTTGTTGAAATCGGATAAAAATTGTGACCTCTAGAGTGTTCACAAACAATTGTGGACGGACGGACAGGGGCAACGACAATATACGTCCACATGAAAATGTGGGTGTATAAAAATAATTAGACAAAACAAGACAATTACACTGAAGTACACGCCCAATATAGTAAAAGAATGGAAAGATGAAATCTAATTAATATCCATTGCCTTTCAGCTACAATTCAGTAATATAGCCCGTTCAGACGCTTATGTTTAACTGGTTTAAAAACCCTGGGGATCGTTAAACCAGTTTAACTTTGTCGTCTGAACGCAAATGTGGGGCAAATATACCAGTTTAAAGACCCCAGCTCGTGGCCTGTCTTCAAGAAGGCTTTTTATTTTAAACTGGTTCATCTCGGTCGTCTGAATGGGTTGGCTTAAAAACCCCGGCTCCAGCTTGTTTTGAGCATGCGCAGTACGCAGTAAGTTACATTCCTGGGAAAATGTCGGGGTTAGGCAGTGCCAGTGTTATCGAAAGCGTGCAAGAACCGAATAAAGAATGTAAAGCTACCCATGCGTAGTTAACCCTAACCTCCGACCGAAGAGGTCAGAATAGTTAAACTAGTTTGGTTTATAGTACGTGTGAACGCAACACGATCCTGTCTTAAAATCCCAGGCGATTTTGAATTGGTTTAAAAATAAGCGTAGGAATGGTATATTAGTTACTGAACCTTATCTTACAATTCTGGAGTTATATCCCCTTAAATAACACTGATCATCACCATAGAATTGTGGAGTTATGACTTCAAAGTTTTCATGAATATTGATCACTTTATTCCTTGAGCAAAAGGAATGCACTATGATACAAAACACTTATCCAAAAATTGGTTTTCATAGTGTGGAGGCTGGGTCAAGCTGGAAAAAGGCACATTTAATAGATGTGTGCTTAGCAATTCAAATTTCATGAACTAGACCATAACAATCTCACTGTAAAGATCACTATACACTTTTGTAACAGAAAAGAGCACTTGAATTGTTTTTAAAACCACACATAGGGCTTACCAATTGGTTGCACCCTTACAAAATACTGCTTTTATAAGATAATGTAGTAAAGAGAGCCTTAATTTCTATTATATTAAGAAGAAAGTAAACTATTTCACTAGTAGTTGCTAATATAAGAAATCAAATGGAAAACCATATGCTAGATATATAATTCTAATAAAATGTGCATTATATAAATGAAGGAAATATAATAAAAATAATATGTACAAGCGTGGTTTAAGAAAAGACAACTCTAAATTACCTGATCTGAACATTCGGTTGGTTCCTGCGTGAAATAATGGTGTGAGTTAAAATAAACCGAAGCAAACAAAAAACAAACAGCCTGTACAATATTATCTAATAATTTCTACCATATTCTATCCTATAATATCTAAGTTAAATGCACATCCTTATTCAATTTCTTTTGAACTATATTTTTCAATAAAATCTCCCCAAACATGCATCTTACAGGATTCAAACATAATTTTTACATTTCGAGGGGTTTAAAGATAACTTCCCATGTACAAACTGTGTTATTGAATATATATTTGGCCTAAAACATATTCAAACTAATTTAGTTATCAAAATTTTGCTTTAAATCCCTTTCAAATCATCTTTTATGGCAAGGAACTACCCCAAGCTGAAAAATCTATTTTAAGCAACCTTGTTTGTTATCTGACTTGATTTGGGAGGATTCATTTTTAGCTTGTATTTGTCATTACTTGCCGTCAATTTATCCTATATATTGAAGCCTATGTAGCCTTTTGGATTATCCCCTGGCCACTTCTTTTTCTGCCATTTAATCGTCGAGTTTGTTGTAAGTTTAAGTCTCACATTGATCTCACAACCACTAGACATTCGATCAACACATAAACAAGGGGTCCTTGTGTCACTCGAACAGACATCACACAGACAGTCTCTCAGTTTGTGATACCTTTGTGATATCCTGTGCATTTCCTGGTGCTTGGGTGTTTTTCCCAGAATCCAGTATTTTTCTAATAAGACTGGGTGTGTTTTCTTTCCATATATATCAAATTTGCAATACTTATATTGGAAATAACTACAAATGTATCTTTAATCTAAATTTGGACAAATTATGTACACAGAAATATCAGAAACACCTCTGACCAATATGACTGTATGTGTCGAAACATCCATTAATTATTAAAACTAAAAAATCCCCCCCCCCCCCAAAGAAAAAAAAAAATAGAATATAGATGTACATTTTTTATAGATATAACTGATGATGCTTCTAGTGATATAACATGAGATCTTGTAAATACAATCAACAATGTTGCTAGTCTTATTTCTTGCACAGGCATTATTGCCTTGGAGATCTTCGCCAGTGAGTAAATATATTTTTGATATGCAGTTGCAATGTGTGTGTTTAAATCAGATTGTGTGAAAGTGATTTTGAAGGAGTTTAATTAGATTTAGTCAAAATAATCTATCCTGTTTAAAACAGATTGTGTGAAAGTGATTTTTAAGGAGTTTTATTAGATTCAGTCAAAATAATCTATTCTGTTTAGATCAGATTGTGTGAAAGTGATTTTGAAGGAGTTTAATTAGATTCAGCCAGGCTTGGATATTTGATACTTAGGTGAGGTTATTTTAGGTATGATAGGCATGATATGCCTACTTTTCAAACTCAAATACACATTTATTTTGATCTGGGATATAACGTCTGCTTCCACTCTGAGTGACATAGCAAACAAACTGATATTTGAATAAATATTTTATTTTAGGAAACCCGAGTACCCTGGTTTACTTTAGAAGGTGCTCCATTCCCAAATTACAATTGGTCACACCAGAGATCAAATCCACGACTGCAAGCCAGCCTTATGTATACATGGTTTATATCAGGGATGCTATTTCGCCCGTATATTCCAGACATGTTCTACGCTATTTTCAAAACGTCTGACCTTTCAATCTCCTTGATGTCAGCCGACAACATGTAGAAACTAGTCATATATGTTACATATCCTAATAGTATATAACACCCCAAATCAATATAATCAATATTACTTCGGTGGAAGCGGACGTTAAATAAAGCTATTTCACCCGCACAAATATCCAATAAATACGAGACAATGCAGACTGTTTCTAATCACACATGGTTATAATACAATAACCGAAAACTAAAGTAGAAATCTTGTGAGACGCGTGAAATAATGAGCAATGTAAAGTGACAATTTTCACAAGTAATGCCGGAGAAAAGATTCTATTTTGATGGCATATTCTTGGGTTTATGATAATATTTTGAATGGGATAGATGTTTTTAAATAAAAAAATAAACAGGCTAAGAAATGAGTACGCGTGCGGGTGCTCTTATTTTGCAGATGATGTCACTCACTCGGCATCGTGGAGCGATGGTCACTGCCCCCCAAAAATTTGGGGTGTCATTTATTCTTTTTCCTTCATCCGTATATAAGTCGAAACAGAGTATAAGACGGTAATTTTGGAGGAATATTACTGGTGCGAATTTGAAACACTTACGGGTCGGCAGTAGTCGGCACGCTTTGATTCTATTGTATTACGAAAACACATAATTTTGTAGGAATATTACTGACATAAATTTGAATACCGTACAGGAATTAAATATGAAAAATAATGAGTTGCACCTATTTTTTATTACGTACGAATTTTAATATTTTGTTGACAAGTGATTTTTAATTGTGGTCTGAATCCGACTGCTTAAATAATGAAAAGTTATGCCCCTTTATTTTCGGAAAAAATGTCTGACAAGAAATATTTTGAAATAGCAACACTGGTTTATACCCAAACAAAATCTGTATTCAGAATATGTGTAACCCTCCAAGAACTGCATCTACCTTTGCCCTAGAATTATATTTACTGTTTCACATGACCCTCCCTAATTCCAAATTGCTTTTCAAACAGAGATATCTAAGCAACTAATTAATTTTGACAAAACAAATTTTCACCATATTTCTTTTGGAAAGTAGGGACTGAACAGAATACAACAGATTAGAGTGAAATAAAATTGACTTTCTGCTATGGGCTCGCAACCATTTAATCTTAATCAAAGCTTCTTACATCTAAAACCTAATTTTAAGGTGTCTACATCTTAGGATTCAAATATTGACAAGATCTCATCTTTCTTAAAGGCAGTTTTTTAAAATTATGTCTAATACATTTCCAACATTTTTTCAGTTTATTATCTATTTCTACTTGTAACTACACAGGAGCTTGACACTAATGATAGACAAATATCTAAAGACAAATACAGCCATTTAACTGTAAAAACACTGTTTTTGCATATAAGTTAGCATCAACTTGGGTGTTTGTGGAGATGTTTGAGAGGCAATATTAATTCCCCATGTCTGTCCTCTTGTATGAGCCAATAAACCATCAATTATTTCTATTCAGTCAAGCCCCTGTGACTAACAAATTGTTTGTGAGTGTTATCATCCAATCTGTTTCAGTGTCTAACAAAAAAATATATTATCTGATTTATATATATTTCAGCTCTTTCTGACAAATATCAACTTCACTTTACTGACAGTAAATTCAAAACAACAAAATCAGTAACACGCAATCTATTAATTCACTTGAGTTGCTTTATGTGTGAAAATTCATAAACTGTCACTAAGAAGTGTCAGCTGACTTTTATAATTATATAATATATTTCTATTTTATCCCAAAAAATGGAAATTGATATTCGTACTACTTGAATCATGTTAAATTCTGCAAGAAATTACAATCTTTTTAAACTATGACCTATTTTTTTGCAACAAAGAAGCATCAAGTAACAAATTAGACTGGTGTTTACTGAACATAAAGCAGAATAGAAACCTTTGGTGCTACTTTACTTACTCGAATCATGGTTTCAACGGAGGCGAAATATTTGCTCCACCAATCCATACTCTGTAGATCTGGTGCATCATCATCTGCATCCTTCTTCTTCTTCTTTTTGGACTTCTCTGCAACTTTTCCTTCTTTCTTATCAATCTGATAATGTAAAGCGAAGCCGCCCTGGAAATGGTCGTCAGGGTTATATGTGAAATTAACAATGAAAGCAGTGCAACAGACAGCATCAAATCCAATCGTACAACTTCTACATCACATTTATATGTAGAGACAAATTCACAGAAGATAGAGAAAAAGGACTTCTGTGGTGACCATATTTCAGAGATATTTGACTTAAAATCTCCTAATAACCAAGTCATATGTAAATAAATGTTTTTTTTTTAAAAAAAAAGACTTTCATTACAAAAAATCTAATTCAATAAACTTCTGTTATTGTAGGATTATCTGTGAAAATGTCTCTTTATTTACCCTGCAACCTTGAGCACTGTCTAATATACTTTTACCAACATTTAGTGGCATAATATTTGTTTCATAGTAACTTAATTACTGCCTTAGCATCATGGTATGGATCTACACTACAGTAGGTAGTAAACCTATGGGCAGACGAGCGTACTTTGTCGCCTGATCGCTGCAATTGAAATTCGCCAGTGATTTTTTATGGCTGATCATGAACGGGAACGCGTAGCGACCGTCTCGAGAGCATACGCCACTCTATGAGTAAATTACGTCGATCACGTGACTTGCACAAAAATGGCGATTTGCTGAAAACTTAAGATTGCTGTGGTAGCTGCTATTCATTTGCTTCTAAAACTCTGGAATCGCGACATCATTTTGAGATCATGTGATATCAATGATGTTTCCCATTGGCTTATGAAAATGGTTCGCTCGACAATATACGCAGGACACGGGCAGATCAGCGGATATGCTAGTGAATTGATCACCAGCGTAAAATATTCAGCTGAAAATATCTAACATGCTAGATACGGGCGATCGGTCGGCCAAAAATATCTAACATACTAGATACGGGTGATCGGTCAGGTGAATGGTTCGCTGAGTAGAATCGTCGTCGCTGAGAACGGGTACATGGGCGATTCTGTCAAGCTATTTTAAAAATCGACGCGATTGGGCGATAAAATACACTCTTCTGCCATAGTTATAAACACAGGAGAACCACAATCACAAATATCTAACATGCTAGATACGGGCGATTAGTCGGCCGAAAATATCTAAAATACTACATATGGGCGATCGGTCAGGTGAATTGTTTTCCGAGCAGAAAAAATCTAGAGAGTCCTGGACTAATTCCTCACAAGCATGCCAGTGCAATCACAATGTCTCCCCTCAAACTATTTTTGGGGTTTAGGATGATGAAATGGGTGTGTTCAGAAACATTTTGTGGTGTCCTAACAAAACAGTGCACAATAAGATATCGGTTCATTAATTAGTCATATTTATTTCTATCAGACAGCGCTCAAGACAAATTTCTGTAATCTAATTTAAGTTTGTGGACAAGCAACAAAAACTATTCTTTAACAGCATATTAACACAGCCGGGAAAATTGATATTCAGATAAAAGCCATCACACATTGTACATGTTCACTGCAGTACATACTAATAATAGCAGTACAAAAATACAATTCATATCAGAATGTTTAACAGTTCGCAACATAAACACAATTTTACTTACTTAAGTTAATTTTCCCACACCACTGTAACTACTAAGCACAAAACAAAATGCCCATGCACCAAAATACTGTTCAAATACTATTGCACCTTCAATTTGTTTACCGGTATTATCAGATGTTTTTCAATTTGTTTTTCAATCTGTTTCTTGTTTTCTTTTGATTTATATTTTGTATTTTATATTCTTTATTTTGTCCTATTCAGTTTTACATAAAATCCTACAAATTTCATTGCTGTGCCATGTTCTTAATTGTATATTTTAAACAGCCAATGAAAATGCTGCATTCTAATCATGCCAAGACATTGTCCACTGATCTATTTATACATAATGCTGCTGATATCAGCTGTCAAATACCAGCAGCTCTGAATAAATGTAAGATCCTATGCAATGTTGAAAGTCAGAATATCAAAGACCAAATGAAATAAACATTTAATTTTGATTAGATGGCTGGATTTCAATTTGACAATTACTGAAATGATCTTTAGGTTAGGACTTAGTGTACAGGATGGCATGTGTAGTCCAATACCCAACACTGCGGCCTAAACATTTGAATATACTTCCCCAAAAAATTAACGTTACACCATAATTTGACATCAACTATTCTTTGAAATACTTACTGTGTCAACAGTTATATACTGTTCTTTGTTTATTAACGGAAGGTTTTCATTCATTGTTATTGCTACATCTTCTGATTTTTTGGACAATTGAGCCTGGTCGGCTACCTGCATAAGTTTATTGGCTGCATTACCTACAATTAATGAGTAAAACATTTCTTAAATTTCAATATCGAGTTATATAATGTATTAATAAAATGAAAGCATGACAAAACTCAAAACATTGATGTGTTGCTCATTTTTTTTGGTATAATATAGCCATACAACTTATTGCCAAACAGTTTGCCAAATTGCCATAAGTGATATCGTGTTTTACAAAGCCCCAACTACCCTAGTTGTGGTGATCAATTTACTGTATTTTCATGATGAAAATAAATTAGGTGTTGTGTAAAAGTTTACCTGGAAAAAGTCGTGTTAATGCAGCTTTAGCTTTTTTAGTTGTTGGTATAAACATGAACTTGTGAATGTTGCTAATGACATGTGTTCCTACTAGAACATATCGGCCAAAACTACGACAATCCACACATCGTATTGTTATTGGTGGACAATAATGTTCATTCTCTGGCAATTCCTACAAAATCAAACAGGAATGAAATACAAATGATCTCTTCTTTTTGTGTCATGTTTAAACCTCACTTCATCAGGCATTCAGAAGATAAATAAATAGAGAATCTCATAAATATCTGTTCTATAGCAAATATATATACATGTGGTTATCCTTTTTATTTTTTATCTCTCGAAAATATGCACACTTACCACATCAAAGAATTTAACAGGAATACTGAAGTTGGGATTTTTTTTACAGTTTAATATGACAGCAGATTGTAGAACATGACCGGCACATTCTATATCTATACGGGGATGATCAACACTCTGTAGCTGTACTCTTTTTAAATCTCGCACTCCCCAAAATAAAACCTACAGATAGAAACAAAATCGAGCCCTTGTACAATCACATTAGTCCATCAGATTGTTTAATAAAATAACAGTGCAGCGATATGGGTTACTGAGGTATCAAGTACCACCCACTTTTCCCACTACTCCCTTAAAATGTGAAATTAAAGAAGTGATTAAGTTTGAGGAACATCAGACCCACATTTTCCACTCCGTGACAAGTGGATCCAATAAACTGATCCAAGTATTTATAAGATTAAGCATGCTTCATTTCCTTTCTTACTAGATGCTTTTATTTTGTAACCACCTTGATTACTTGAGCATATAAACAATATTATCACATACATTTTTTCAAGATATAAGGATGTTTAAAAATTGAAAAGAAAATATTGTTTTAACCTTCTAGTTGGACATATACAGTTACAAATAATACCTCTACTCTGTGTGTACTAAGTATGGGTCGAATTCCTTTAGGTACTGGCATGATTGGTCCACGATCTTTTTCTAAATCTGGTAATTCCATTGGCGGAAGCTCCGCTCCACTTCGATCTCCAAATGGAGCCAGCTGCGAAAATTTAAAAATCAATAATATAATCAAACCTTTCCTAATTATGTTCAAAGTTTAAGTACATATACAATAAAATTCAAGACTCATTCTCAAATATTAATTTTTTTGCATGTCAATTAATTTTCTTATTGGTTTTAATTTATTTTAGGATTTTATATTTTAAACAGAAACATTTGCTTTACTTCGGCATTTACATAAAATATATGTTCAACTTATTGTTTATCTGTAATGATCACAGAAAGTCTTATTGCCAAATAAGCCCAAAATAAATTAAACAGGTTACAAGAGTCAACAACTAAGTGTATAATGAAATGGGGTTAAACGTCCTACTGTACTGCTCCAACTGGGCTAGGGGGATTGGATCGCCGAATGGTTAGCATGTGCTCACTGTATCATAAGGTCTGTCATTGAGTCAACTGGCGTGGTTTCGATTCCCCACCTGGTTGTACGTGACAAAGAGTAGGGTCACCTGTCCAACCTTGTGGGCTTTCTCCGGGTCCTCCCACTGCTAAAGACCCCTATGCGCAAGCGAATTATTGAAATAAAATTGAACCATATATAAGTTCCGAAATGACCTGTGAAAATGTGTTGAGTGGACGTTAAACCCCATTTCTCTCTCTCTCTCCAACTGGGCTAATGAAGACAAGCATATGCCATACAGTGTACTATGAGGGGTATTTTGCCCGGACAGCAGCGCTATGGCCTACTCTTATATTGAATTCCAACTGTCAAGGGATCTTTTATGTGCATGCCAATGTGTAGACGGGCCCTCTATCCTGCACCACTGACATACTCGTCCATTAAATGCCTTCCAAGACAAACACATAATGGCGACTACATTAAAACTTATAGGTTGTTAAATAAAGAGTTTCCCCATGAAATATCCTGAAAGGTATGTATGTTTCGTAAAAAAATTATTTTTGCTGGTAGACTCTTTCGAATTGATGGTAACGGACAAAGGAGGAAATTTATCTTTTATACAGCAAAACACTGTTCGGGAATCATAATTTAAGCAGGAAGACAACAGTTTTTTAAATTCTGACAACACTTATTAAAAAGGTAGCTTGTGAGAATATCAAAGAAAATTCTAAAATACGGCAAAAAATGTGATTTAAACTTAATCATAAGAAAGGGATAATCAGTGATTTTTTAACAAATAACTGTAATGTGAAAAAAAACCAAACTAAGAACAGTTGTTAATCAGCACTGCCTTAAAAACGCAAGAAATATTTTTAAAAATCATCAAATCTGAGGGAAAAAAAAGCTGTTCAAATTTATTTAAATAAAAGAAACACAAAGGAAAGCAACAATATTTTTCTATCATAATGGTTTTTAATGTAGGCATACATCACAATGATAAAAATATATGTTGAACATTCTCTGTGATCATAAAAATTAAAACAAATGTGCTTGTTGCAATAAACTATTCAATACTGAAAAAGAATTATTGGTATACCGAATAAAATTCTTTCAGGACATGAATGAGAATCTTTCAATTTGAGACATGGAGGATGTGTGTTTGCCAGGCAATTAAACAATTAATGCCCATATAAGCTATAATATAAGTCGTCCAAGCAGTCCTCAAGGGTTTTAGGTAATGGGTGCAATAACAACAGATCAGTAGTGCTTGGGTACCTGATCCTGATTCAAAATAATATGTGTATTTCATGCCATGACTTACTAGTATTACCTACAACTAGTGCTCCTACGACTAGTCGGATAGCCGTAAACGGTTAGAACTGGACGGTTAAACGGTTCGAATTCAACAGTACGGTTATTCAGAGATGTCCCCCATTACACAGACTTGTGTCTGATTATATTCCTCTTTATAACAAAACTTGCCCGTTGTCATTTTGTATTTGATGTTTGAAAATCTTAGAATGTAACAGTCGTCCTATGATGTCGACTGCTAAAAAATAATACTATTAATAGCACTCATCGTAGTCATACAGCAAAGTCAACGGACCTTGTTCTGACTTTAGCTATTGTTAATCCAATCTAAATACTTCTCGGCATTTCTAACTATATTCTACCTTGTTTATTATTTACTTCAAAACGTAACCACCATTCAAAATATAATCATAAAGGCTAGAAAATGACATTATACTAGATTCGTTACAACATTCAACACGTTTCATATCTCGTAATTTCTCGCAAGAATTCTATTTTGGTTTTTAGTTAAATTAACAAATCATAAAAATTCTACTTGCAAGCGAGGAATTATTTCTTTATTGTCCAATCAATAGATGCCTTCCAATTTACTTTATTCTATTCTTAGTAACATTGTGTAATCGTAATATTATCGCCATCTGTCACGTACGAAGGGAAACAGAGTATTGTTTTGCATATTATCGTTATATAGAATTAATAAATGTTTCAAATGAACCAAGTTAACCAGGTAAATAAATAACTACGGCCTAAGGTAGTTTAAATTCTCATTAAAGAATTGTACATGTCTGAAAAAATTCCTGAATTTTTGCGCGTGTAATGCCTTTTAGCTAGGCGAGTATAGCGTGCGCACGAGTAATGACTCGCACCTCCTGACAAGCTCTGTTTTATGTTTAAAATTGATACCATACGTTTAACGGTTACTAACCTGTTAATAGCTACGGCTATTCGAATAACAAAAAGTCCTAACCGTAGGAGCACTACCTACAACTGAATTTTCTGTATTGTAATGTAAAGAAAAGAAAATTGTAGTTCGGCAAATTGATCAACACAGTCTTAATAATTCAGACAATTCATTCTAAGCTGTAGGCCTATCGGTCTGTCTTTGATGGTGAAGGAAAGGAATTTAAACTGTCATTACAAAGCTAGAGTATAGAACTACAGCACATTAGGGGGCTGTTCAATAATATTCAAGATTTGAAATAATAGCAAAAGGACAGGCACAATCAATTCAACTATTTTCTTACATACAAGGTCACAATGATATAGAACTTTTCACTTTTCACAGTACTACAAAGCAAAATCAAAATACACAGTTGCTCGAAACACGTAATATTTTCATTAAAAAAGAAAAAAATCCTAACAAAATTCATGTGCCAACTTCAAAAAGAAAGGAAAGAAAATATTTGCTTGACCCCTAAATCCCTTTACTACTTCCATACATTCAAAATAACACCTTGCTTTTACTTTAAATATCTGAATGTTATAGGGTTGAAAGGTCAAAAGAAAAAAGAAGAAAAGAAAAGATTAAAAGAAAGTGAGGCTTTTTACCAGTGAGATTTTGTAAGTTTTTCGAGCGTAAGGTGGTGTCATATATGCGCTCCGTAAATCACGCTCTTCAAATGGATACTATTGGTAAGGGAGGTAATAAAATAATTAAATTTCTAAAAATACCTTTATAATAAAAGGACCAAAAATTATTAAATTAACAAAGTAATACAGAAAACATCAATTGATAAAATTACTATTGTTTTGACTTTATCAAAAACACAATTAATATATCTAATAGTAATATATAAATAGGTTTCATAGTTGACTACTACAAGTATCTACAGCAGAATAATTACAAATCATTCCACCTTTTAATGTTTAAAAAGAAAAGCTACTAATGATTGGGAGAGGAATATGGTGGCCAACATTAAGAGAATATTTGGTTTTATTTTTATCATTTCAAAATGTTCATTTGTTGGTCATATATGAAAATCAGAGTTTTAAATATCAGTAGAACATTATTTATGGATTGAAAGGATTCCATTTCATTTAACAATAACATGTTAATTCATAATTCTTGTCATCAACCCAATATTCTATTAACTGTAACCTAGGAGCCTATCACAAAGTTCCACAAGTTACATATGACAATAATAGCATGCAAAGCAAGCCTTTATGATAAAGTTTTACAAACTTAAACATGTATTTTACTGATCAAATATCTTAGATATTTGAACATCTCAAACCCATAAATTAACTGAGGTACTCATTTGATTTAAAACTGTTTTGATTAAAATTAGGGACCACACAACAACACCTTTAATTCTATTTCAAACAAATAGTCCCAGTATACATATTTTAGACATTTCAATGTACTCATACAAACCAGTAACTCACTGTCATATAAGAAAGATTATAATAATACGTGTACCTGTAAAAGTTCAAATGCTGCCAGTAATTCGCCTGCTCTATCTGATCCCCGTGCTATATCCCACCATTCCAAACGTGGTGGAAATTTTGGAGGTTCATACTTTTCAATGCATTGCTTGACTACAGGTTTGCATAAACAGCGACCAATAAACTCTGACTTTCCCTGGTAAAATACTTGTATTTATTAAGGGGAAAAAAATAAACGAAAGTATCTGAAATCTTGTCAATACTTTACTTACATAATTTAAAGAGGCATTATCACTTTCATCAAGAGAATGCGACTTAAAAATAACCAGAACCACTCCACTTTTTTATCGAAAATCCTCCAAGTACTGACCTATTTGAAAATAGCTTCCTTTAAATTACTTGCAAAAATAATAAAAATGTGAATGACTCACAAACTAAAAGGAGCACAGTCTTGAATTTAGCCTACAATCTTGATTAAGCACCTCCAATTTCGCTGTGTAGACAAATTTTTAGGTTGAGATATATTGGGTGAGATAAGCTCCTTAATAAGTTATATGACTTTAGCATTAATATTGACTGAGATATGACCATTTGAATCAGGGTACACTTTTGCAACACTTACAACATTATCTTGATCGAAGATTTCTACTATTATAGTTGGTGGATTATTTACGATATCTTCTATTAAACCATATACATCTACTTCATTTAATATCAAAAACTCATCCCAAGTCGGACTTAATGTCTCTTCTATAACCTGAGTGCTGATACTCTGAGCACCAAAAGCGATCCGTGCAAAAGGATCTGAAAGTCCAGAAGCATCGGAGCCTATTAATTGTCTACCTTGATACATGTGAGCTCTTAACTGAAAAGTCTGCTTTTCTGAAAAAGATGTAAATAATTTATGTAAAAAATTTGGTTCTGCTTGACATCTCCACCCCATCCAAACTTGTACACAAAATTGACATAAAAAAAAATACAAGACTAACACAGCAAAATCACTTTTGAATAAACTACCAAAATCAGTTTGTGTTAAACATAGGCTTACCAGAGTAATATATAAATGGTGGTGGTACAGCTTGTGTTTTAGTTGAATGTTTTAATGCCTTTGTCTCTTCATAACCTGCTGGTAAGCCCTTTAAATAGTCTTTTTTATGCTTTAACAAACCTAACCAAATATAAAGTTGAAGTTTAGCCTGTATTGTCCAGCCAGATTCACCATCAGCTTTCTTTCCCGGTAACTAGAAGAACAAAACAAATGCATGATATGCCTTAACTGTGTATGATTATTAGTATTACCACTGGGCCATATGATGTTATGGTTTTCTTAAAGGCCTGATGCTAGTCCACATTAAAGATTGGTTATTTAACATTTGATTAAGAAAACAAGATCAAAATACCAATGCTATATACACTGCTGGATGCATTGTGTGTAGAACTGATCTCTGAACTTTTACTAACTGGCTTCTGTGTTAGAATATCCTCAAATCACGCAAAATATTCATGGAAACTCTTGAGAAATATATGTGTTATCAGTAGTCGCTTAAACCCATCAGTACTTGCACCGTACGTCAGTATTCCTATAAATTGTCAGTAATAATCATAAGGTGAGTATTTAAGTTAATAAGTAAGTATTCCTTACGTGTGTCAGTATGTAAAAATAATGTGAGTAATTGTCTAAAGTTATTGGATATTTTCAAAAAAAAATTCTGTATTGTGTACCAAAGAGATGCCTCTAGAAGCAGCATATTTCATTTCTAACATTCTGAATCAATAAATATTTTTTATTGCACTCAGAAGTGGGAACTTTTTTTTTTTTTTTTTTTTTTTTCCTGATTTCAAGTTGTCAATTCTACCTCTACCTTCGCCTACATTCATGTAAAAAATATTACAGATTCAGAAAGCCCTTTTTAATACTCTTTCTAAATATATATACTTTGTAGAGTTTGTCATTGTCAGAAAATACTTTTTTCCTCATTTTTGTATTTAGCACCAATTTCCGTCGCAATGCCAGGAATTAGGCTTATGCAGGAAAGGGGTTTGGGAACAAAAAATGCTTTGTCTCATCTCAATAACTACAGAGTGCTCAAATATTTGAAATGACTGATAGTCTGATACTGACCTTGAGTAGAAGGGTGACTACTTTACCACAGTCTTTTCCTTTTTCTTCTTCCACAACAGAATATATAATATCTTTAGCTGACAATCGTTGATACGCGATTCTCTTCTTTGCTACGATCATCCAAATATATACATCTGGTAATGATGGCTGGGGCTGTCAATAATTTTACAACATTTATATGTTTGGAAACATAAAGGTGGGTTTATATTTTTGTCACATATGTCAGATCAGATCAAACATGGGTGACAAACTAATAAAGCATTCTGAGAGTACACTTTCCCTATTGGGCTCAAATATATTTACAGTGCATGCATTAATACAAGGCTGACACTGTGAATACATATATTTCACTATATAAATCTAGGACTGCCAAGATGAGTATGATCATACTCCTTGGGCGCTGACTGAATTGCCTTGAAAACGGTGATACTCTAAGCTGGCTTGCAAATAAGGATGGTATTTCACTGCCATGTAGCTTTCATTATCATTAAATTTCCAAATAATAATGCAAGTGAATGCTTACCTCATTTTGTAGTTTACGTAGCTTGCTTAAGCAGTTATTGCCTGATCGGAGTTTTTCTTTTAGGTTATTTTTAGTTATGGTGGCTTTTACTGTTCGAGCTAAAGTTGATAACTGATCCTGAAAAACAAAAGGGCATTCATTGGTTTTAATTGAATAAGACAAGATAATCACTCAAATACTTAAAGGCGCTAAATCGCTAATATTTGGGACCTAGAAACTGACACAAATGGTTTGCAATGCATATAATAATGTAATGTGAATGTATATAAACTGGCTTAATTATCTATGTTCTGCGAAATATGCCAGAAGTCTCAATTGAATGGCAATCTCTAGCATCTGGTGATTCCCGTCTAGACCGATAGTATTTATTGCGCATGCTTTCCAGATAAGAATATGATGTCACCGTTTGACACAACTTGGGGAATATGTCTAGTCTCGTTCTTAGTGTCCGTTGTTACAAATGGTGCTGAAACGCATTATGGTACACGATTCGTGTACCAATGGTAAAATGTTTATTTTATCTTAAATATTAGATATCAGAAGCCCATCCTTTCCCAGTGAGATGACAACATCAATGTTGATTTAAATTGACAAATAATTCATGTTTTCAATGTCGAAGACTTTGGATGATATTGTGTTAGAGAATTAATTGGGGCAAATTTTCATATGTAATCAGTGATTTAAACAAAAACTTGTCTCACCATCTGTCTGACAAGTATTTTATGTCTTTCTTTATCAAGTTTAGTTTTTCCAGCTGCAGCACCTCCACCACTTCCTTTAACAAGAGACACAAACCGAGAACATCCATGTCCCAGTTCTTCAAATACTCCCCGTAATCGTCTCTCTGGGAAGGGGATTTCCTGCCGTAACATATCTTGTACCTCACTGATTCCATCATCCTGTAATAATCAAAACATTTTTCTACCTATGATTTGTGACATGTCGACGGAAGAGAATCAAAAACAAATATTAGGATGTTGTTGAATGTTTACTGCTGAACTCCTTTTTAAGATGTATTAATTATTTTATTCTCTGTAACACATGTTAAAAGGTGAGTACCAGAAGGAAATTGTGCTTTCTTTTCATTGCAGAGAAAAATCTCCCATTTGAGATAAGGGGTCTACGAGAAATATTCATTTTGTCTTTTCTATTGCAGTGTTTGTAAACACATGTGCAGTACTTGTACCGCATGTGACATTACGGTGTGTTTAACAGCCCTGAATATAAGTCTGGACTCCTAATATTTACTTTCAGGATGTGCTGGTATATGATACAGAATAATGGATTGTCATGACTGTCAAATTATTTGGGAATGTGCTAAAATTTTAGAACATAAACAAGGAAGATTGGTCAATCACTGTAGATCTCTATTAATTAATTAGTTGGTAAATATAATTGACTGATTTTGTTAATCGAATATATTTTTTATTATTTGAACAGAAGATAAACAGAACAAGACTGTTCTAGTACTTTCTCTTTAAGATTGTGTATTTCCATTTAGTTATCTAAGCCATTATTCTGTGTCTTCACCATAAATTTTCCTTTCTATATCTAATATTTTATTGGGAAATCCTACATTTCCAAATATAAAAATCCACAAATTTATAGTTTCCAAACTAACCAGTTTTTCAATTATTTTTTCAATAATATTTGAATTATATAATCTTCTTCTGTGGTCTTCAAACAGCTCTTTGACATAGACACAAGGTTTGTCAGCATAATAGGGCATGTGATAATAAATCTTGTCCATCGTCACAGGTTTTGCTGCTGCTGTTGTACTCATCCATTTTGGAATATTGGCACTGAAAGTCATTCCTGGCTCTGCCATTTCTTCTGTTTCTGATTGAGACCCAGCCTCATCATCGCTGCTTGAATCTTTTGAATCTTTTGTTGGTGAATTATAACCGTCCAATACATTTCCAGCATTTCCTACATTTGGAAAATCAATTAAAGACATTTCTGAATAAACGAAACACAAACAAATACTGATTACAGTAATCTTACTTAAAAATTTTATGAGATCCAATATATTGCTCTGTAGTTATACTTGTGATGTGCTCTTGCATGAGGCATCGCATGATTATTTCCTCTAGAATACAGCTAATGCATTTTCATTGCATTTCTGTATTATACATCTTATCTTATTGATCAATGTTTAGCTAATTCGTGAGTGGCATTTAGCATAAAAACAAGAACTTCACAACATTTATATGGAAAGAGAGACAAATGGGGTTTAACCTCCACTCAACACAAACCCGGTCATTTTGGGACTAACATATGATTCAATTCTATTTCAATAATTCGCTTGTGTGCAGGGTTCTTTAGCAGTGGGAGGAAACCAAAGTACCCAGAGAAAACATATGATTCAATTTTATTTCAATAATTTGCTTGCGCGCAGAGTTCTTTACCAGTGGGAGGAAACCAAAGTACTCTGAGAAAACCCACGAGGTTAGCAATTATATGGAACAAAATCACAGGTCTGTTATATATATATATATAACACAACATATCAACAAGTTTTCTCTTATAATTTGTGTTTGAAAATGGTAAACTGGATATCATTTAAACATACATTATGCAAGAGCTAAATCTGCCTATTTCTTTAGGCCTGAAATGTTATCTAAATTATTAATTAGACATTTATTAACTTATCCAGACCATAATCAACTCTCGATGGCATCGGATCGCTAGCCTGTCATGTTTATTGAATTGGGTTCCAATTTCCTGTTCGACTTCTATTCATAATTTAATCATTAAATAGATAATCGAGACTATGTTTTTTATTGTACTGGTTTTAGTAATGATGATCGAGGCTAGCCCCAATATTCAATCCCTAAAATCTTGGTTCAGAGTGAATCAATTTGACTCAAATTTTCAGCAAATTCCCTTTACATTATCTAGTTTTTAACTATTATATATAGTGAGAAATGCCAGCTCTTTATCTAATCTCCCATAATGTATCTTTAATCTTGTGGATTTACCACTAATTTCTTTCACATTCATTCAATATCAAATCTTTGTTTAAAAATTTATAAAAATCATTTAAAATCACCAAAAATCATCTGACCATTCAATTTTTACCATTTAAGTGTCCATTTTACAAGTGTTTAATTTTTCGATCACTGTTAAAAACAAGCCAAAAGTGAGGCTGATGTCCCCTGCCGAAATCCCAAAATAAATAGATGACCCATATTAATTAATTGCACATTTATTTTTTTCAAATGTTAATCATTGAACTCAGTCAAGACATTCACCTAATGAACATCAACATCAAGTTTAAACATTCTACCTCAATTAAAAGCAGAGTTGTTATGTTCCAAAGTCTTGACCAATCAAATTGCTTATCGCTCCTTAACCTATGCAGAAAATTCTCATCAACGAACTTAGTCAAGGTAATGATATAATGAATCTATACTAAAAGTTTCATCACTCTCACTTAATTAAAACCAAAGTCATTGTGTCCCAAAGCATCAACCAATCAGATTGTTTACCGTAAGCAGACAATGTTTATCATCAAACTCCATCAAGCCATTCACCTAATGGAACGCCTACACCAAGTTTGAACTTTCTACCTCAATTAGAAGTAGAGTTATTGTGTTCCAAAGTATCGACCAATCAAATTGCTTATCGCTCTGCTTACCCTCAGCAGAAAATGCTCACTATCGATCTTAGTCAAGGTATTGATGTGATGAAACTATACACCAAGTGTCCTCACTCTCACTTAATTAGAACTAATGTTATCGTGTCCCATAGCATCAACCAATCAAATTGCTTATCTCTGCTTACCCTAAGCAGAAAATTATCATCTTCGAACTCCATCAAGCCATTCATCTAATAAACACCTACGCTAAGTGTGAACATTCTAGCTCAATTAGAATGAGAGTTATTGTGTTCCATAGTCTTGACCAATCAAATTGTTTTTCGCTCCGCTTACCCTGAGCAGAAAATGCTCATTATTGAACTTAGTCAAGGTATTGATGTAATAAAACAATACACTAAATTTCATCACTCTCACTTAATTAGAACTAGTTATCGTGTCCCAAAGCATCAACCAATCAAATTGTTTATCTCTGCTTACCCTAAGCAGAAAATGCTCATCTTTGAACGCCATCAAGGCATTGACCTAATAATCACCTACACCAAGTTTGAACATTCTAGCTCAATTAGAAGGAGAGTTATTGTGTTCCAAAGTCTCAGCCAATCAAATTGCTTATCGCTCGGCTTACCCTAAGCAGAAAATGCTGATTATCGAACTTAGTCACGGTATTTTTGTAATGAAACTATACACCAAGCCCCCTGCTTTATTCGAAAGGCGGGGGATAAAAATATACAACCCAACTGATTAATGATATATAATGATTAATTTTTGAACAGTTGTCAGGAAATCAAATACCTACTTGTAAATTGGACACTCATTATCAAAATTAATCAGTCAGCTTTAAACTTGACACAAGTACAAATTAGATGATTTTGGGTGATTTTAAATGATTTTTACGAATTTTTAAACAGAGATTTGATATTAAATGAATATGAAAGAAATTAGTGTTAGATACACAAGATTAAATGACACACGGGTTACAGAGGACAACATGTGTCTAAACAACTGATATATGGTCATTATATTTTAGCATGTTACAATCAATATTCTAGAGTTGGAGCAATTAATCTCACCTATACTTATTTCAAAATGCACTGACTTATCTGCCATTTTCTTGTCAATCATTGTTGCTTCCATCAAACATCCAAATAAGAAGTATTCTTCAGGTCGACCTGCAGCATTCTGTGATAATGTCAAGTAACAGATTGAATTTTGAAAACAATGAACAATTGTAATAAATAAATACAACAATGAATATAAGCTACTATAATACAAGCATTTTGAAGTGTGGTAAGAATGTTTCATAGAGTCAAACTTGGAATAAAATTGAAATGCAACAGTGAATTTTGATAGTCTTCGCTTTGACTACTAACAATTTGCAACATCAAATGGCAACATGCCTCATGTTTTGTAGGTGTTGGGTTAATGTTAATGTTAATGTTAGAAGCAGAGAGATAGTTACTCCCTGCTAGAATCCACTGTTTGGTACAATATTTCTTCACTTACATCGCCAACAGGTAATGTTGATTCAACATCCACAGTAACTGGCCCGGTGTCGGAACTATCCAATATCTCTGTCTTAATGGCTATTTGCATCCTGCCTCTATACGACACGCCCTCTCCTAGACCATCATTAAGGTGAGTATGTTCATCAAGAAACTGATAATACCTTGTTGAACCATACAAATTAATCCAACAAGGACCAAATGTTGGTAAAAAACCTGAAAGACATTTGGATTGACCATTTGAACAATCAAAATGGGCTACTTAAAGATATGTGAGGAATTGTGATATGTAAAATGGAAAATTTAACCCAAACACTGCAAACAATTGATATTAAACTTTATAATCATTTCAACTATGAATAATCACATCAATTTTGAAAAAAAATAATCTAAAACCGATCTTGACTTACAGGGCCATAACAAGGTTTTGATGAGGTGAATCTGGATTTTCAGTAAGTTCATCCTTATTGAATATGGGGTTCATCCTTATTGAATATGTGGTTCATCCTTATTGAATGTGTGAATGTGTTTTAATGATGTACTTTATTACATGAAATCCGAAGTAAAATCCAATTATGGAAAAATAACAGCACTTTTAAACTTTCTTCCAAAAAAAATCTTGGAGACGACAGATGAGAATGTGTGTAGTTTATATCAAACAGATATATAACACCTGGTTGACTGACTACAGATGTGAATATTATTATAAATCTAAAAATCTGAATAATGTAGAAATGTCTGAATAAGTTATAGTTGATAGAATTTTTATGGACAAACAACTTATTGCCAACAATATTCGTACAGATATATCATGATTAACATACCCTTTTCTCCTTCATTTGAAATTTGAGACAGATCTATAAAATGGGTACCGATGATGTGATCATTAACACTATCTTTGTCTCTGATTTGAATTCTAAACCGTCTACATAATGGTGGAAACATTTCTGTGAAAACTATTTGTTCATTCCACACTGGTTCATACGATCCACGTTTTACCGATGTTCGGCCCTGAAGTTAAGATGAAACAGTTTAAATATAACATCCAATGATAATCAAGAGAATAATGTAAAAATGGGATTTAGCCTTCACAAACTAGATCACTTTGGGACCAACATCTGATGTCTATATTTCAATAATTATCTTGCTTGCAGGGCTCATTAACCGTGGGTAGATACTAAAGAACTCCACGAAAACTGACAAGGTAAAGGCAAGGCAGCCAATTCTATTCCTTGTCATGTTCAACCTGTGATTGAAGCCAAGGCAGCTGACATAATGACAGACCCTATGATCTAAAGAACAGGCATTACACCACTTGACCACCCCCAAATGACAACCAACCATACATAAATAATGATATATGGTTAAGATAGGGGTTAAGAAAATTAAAATGTTTAAATTTTCAATGTCAATGAAACTTTTAATTCAAATATTTTGTAGGTTCAGATGCAAGAATAAAACATTTGCAAGTTTAATTTTGGTTAAAAGCTAAATGTCATCTACAAGGTTTTTTGGAATAGCGAGAGCAATTTGTCAATCATGAATGAGAATCTTAAATGAGTTAAATCATATATATATATAAAAGCAGTCCATTACCAATTTAAAATCTATCTGAGATACAGAAACCAACCTTTTGTCCAGCAAAAGCAACTTCAACATATGGATCCACTAAATCATTGCTTTCACCAGTAAATGCCTTTTTAACATTTGCTACTAATCCAGCATTCATTTTAGGTAGACCTTCAGCTTTATATATTTTAACTGAGAATCTGGCTCTCTGACGATCTGCTGGTACACCTTCCGGTAATAACAAATTCCTGGAAAAATTAATAACCAAACACAAACACATCAACAAAGTGGATCCGAATGAACACTGGCAAGACTGAACTAGGATTTATATCATTAAGACAGCTTGTAATAATTTAATGGTATTACACTTGTCTTCTCATTGTGCAAAAACCTCAAGGTACAGAAATTTCATGGAGTAATCAGTTAATGAAACAATAATTTCATGTTCTACAGCTTACCCTTCAATATCATCTTCATCTTTATCTGTTTTTGGAGGAACCTAAAATATATTGAAGAAAAACTCTTAGAAAAATTATTCCCAATTAAGTATTTATATATTACTTAATTGAACAGTATCATAATATAAATTATATTTTTTTGAACTTCTAATGTTATCCATAAATGGTATCATGTGGAAACCTAACTATACTTTAAGACAAGATTAAAAGTTAAAGATTTAAAGTTTGAAATATGCCTCATTCCAACACACTTTGAAAAGAATGATATATTACATCTTTGGTAATTTAGTAATAACTTGATGAATACAATTAATGACTTACCTTCACAGAATCACCCTTTCCAATGACTGAAATATCACATTTTAGATACCCCTTAACTCCTCCACCTATATCATCCGGATCTGTCAACATTGCCCATTTATGATAAAATTGGTGATCTGAAATAAAAAATGTGACAAGTTAAAATAAGGCGCTAAAAAATAATTGAAATGTTGTAATTGCAGTCTTTCTAAAATAAAATTATTGCCCATAATTCGTATTAAAATAATTGAACCTAAAATCAAGAAATGAAGGTCTTTAATTTATTTGGATGATGATAACATAATATTACTTTATGCTAAAAAGATTTATGCAATTAAATAATAGCGGAATATATGAATATTACAATGATCTACTATTTTGTTATCATATTAACAAACAAAAATTTCATAAAAATGTTGACACTTTTACATACATAAATGTGCAAGGTACCGGTATCCAATTTTATCATGTGAAACCTTCATTGAGTACATCCTAATCTTTGTATTAACCATTATTAACAATAATCTATCAAAAGCTATAATATGTAAAAACTTTATAGAAGGGAAAATGCAAATATTTTTACATCTTCTTTTTCTGAAATACATGAATTCTGTTTTCTAGAATAGTACAGATGTTTCCCTCATTGACTACAATTACTTCTATCTTCTTTCACAGTGAAAATATTTCAGGTCAACATTGTATTAAAGACAGCAAGTGGAAATTGAATCAATAGAGGTAATGGACAAGTTAATTATGTAAGGTGATGAAATCATTAAGGAATAATCCCAGGCTTTGACAGAGCGCTTCAATATTAATGATTTAATATACCGTTTACTCGTTATGCACTGAAATACGAAAAATACGAAAAATATATTCGCACATCTATTCATTGGTCCAACTTAAGAAGAGGCCATAATAACCTAGAGAGTCAAAAAAATAAAAGACCTACTCAATAGCACAGAATGTCAGGATCCTAAATTCTTACATATTTGTCTCTCCTGACCAACAGGTAATCGGATGACAAATGTGTTGGTCAGTTTATAAATCTAAAAATCAGGTTTGTAAATTATATATCAATGTAAACTGTAGATAACCCACCCAAAATGTTTTAGTCTTTTAAACTGTTAAAGCAGAGAGCAATGTCAGAATGCTGTATACAACTATGCTTAGACAATGCAAAATATATTACCGTAGGTAGTTTCGCTTTTTGTGACACTTACTACATATAGTATTTACATATTGCAGATTTTAGGTTACATTAAACATCACCCATTAACTTGATATTTATTAAAGATTCAATATTAATGAAATTTTCCTATTTTGGTTGTGCAGTTTGAATAGAAAATGACATCTATTATTGTCAATAAGAGCTATAAATAACTCTTTCAACACAATATACTCCCATTTTACAGAGTTATAATGGAAAATCAAGATGATATTCACAAATTGCAAATCTTTTTACTGAAATCAAAATGAACAAGACAATTTAGACAATGCTAAGAACATACAGACAAAAATACTAAAACAGAAAAATAAAGAAGTATGGAATGCAGATGACAGGAAATTGTAAGGTTAATAATGGTTTGGAAACCAGTATCTAGGATGAGTTAAATATAAATGGATATAAATTTTTGTTCTTAGTATAAAGATGCAGCACACAAAAAAACACAATACCACCACAACATAATTACACTATTATGAATATTGACAAACTGAATTATGTTTTTTTTTGTATATAACTATACCAATATCCATATCATTACAAAGCCAAGGTATTCTTATAGTTGGGAAAATGATTGTCTTAAAAATAATTAACGTGCGAGAAACAAGATATTGAAGAATGGAATAGAGGGAGAGATACAATTTCTGTTTGTCAAGTACCGAGAATAAATTGCAAAGGAATTTCTTTCACTGGAATCTAGTAAAGGGATGTCTTAAGGACTCCCAACTCAAAATTGTCCGCTGAAACCCTGTAGCATTTTTCATAATTAGCAAAAATCCAAGATGGCCGTCATTTGGACTTTCTGTCCTCCATATCTTGGAAACGACTCGTTTTAGAGCATATGAATGTATATATCATTAGATACAAAAGTGATACCAACGAATCGGAAAACCAGCGGCTGCCAGGCAGGATACGCCCACATTTTCGAGAGATGGATAGAAAACAAGCTAAAACGAAAGTGATTTTTCCTACAATCAAGGGCCATAATTCAGGAAATTACAATTCGATATGCGCAAATATCGAAAGGAACCAAGATCTTTGGGTTATAAACTTACATTTCAAGTTTCAACAAAATCGGATAAAAATTGTGACCTCTATAGGGTCCACAACCTTGATATACCATATTTTTACTCTATTTGAGAACGAACGGCGGCCATTGTGTCTGTCAGATTTGGCCCGATTTTCACGAAATTTGAACTCAGTCGTCCTTAGGGTGCAACGGTGATATAATAATACGTTTTTTTAAATCGGATAAAAATAATGACCTCTATAGGGTCCACAAGCTAAAAACACAATTCTTCGTACAATCAGGGGGCATAATTCAGGAAGTTACGGTCCGATATGCGCGAATATCGAAAGGAACCGAGATCTTTGGGTTATAAGCATACATTTCAAGTTTAAACCAAATCGGATAAAAATTGTGACCTCTACAGTGTTCACAAGCTAAAAACGTGATTTTTCGTACAATCAGGGGCCATAATTCATGAAGTTACGGACTGATATGAGCGAATAATGAAAGGAACCAATATCTTTGTGTTATAAACTTACATTTCAAGTTTTAACAAAATCGGATAAAAATTGTGACCTCTATAGGGTCCAAAACCTTGATATACCATATTTTTACGCTATATGAGAACGAACAGCGGCCATTTTGTCTGTCAGTTTTGGCCCGATTTTCACAAAATTTGAACTCAGTCGTCCTTAGGGTGTAACGGTGATATAATAATACGGTTTTATAAATCGGATAAAAATTATGACCTCTATAGGGTCCACAAGCTAAAAACACAATTTTTCGTACAATCAGGGGCCATAATTCAGGAAGTTACTGTCCGATATGTGCGAATATTGAAAGGAACCAAGATCTTTGGGTTATAAGCATACATTTCAAGTTTAAACCAAATCGGATAAAAATTGTAACCTCTACAGTGTTCACAAGCTAAAATCGTGATTTTTCGTACAATCAGGGGCCATAATTCATGAAGTTACAGTCCGATACATGCCAATATCGAAAGGAACTGAGATCTTACGGTGATAAACCTATATTTCAAGTTTCGTTGAAATCGGATAAAAATTGTGACCTGTAGACTGTTCACAAACAATTGTGGACGTCCGGACGGACAGGGGCGACGACAATATACATCCACATGAAAATGTGGGCGTATAAACAGGTTATCACGACGCCAGAAGTATGGAATGGAGATGACAGGAAATTGTAAGGTTAATAATGGTTTGGAAACCAGTATCTAGGATGAGATAAATGGATATAAATTTTTGTTCTTAGTATAAAGATGCAGCACACAAAAAAACACAATACCACCACAACATAATTACACTATTATGAATATTGACAAACTGAATTATGTTTTTTTTTTGTATATAACTATACCAATATCCATATCATTACAAAGCCAAAGTATTCTTATAGTTGGGAAAATGATTGTCTTTTAACACAGTGTGACGTCATTACGTCACAATGCCGTCATGACATGACGTATCACCATGACCTGCTGGCGTCGTGATAACCTTTTTTTCCGATTCGTTGGTATCACTTTTGTATCTAATGATTATGCTCTAAAACGAGCCGTTTCCAAGATATGGAGGACAGAAAGTCCAAATGACGGCCATCTTGGATTTATGCTAATTATGAAAAATGCTACAGGGTCTCCCTCTATTCCATTCTTCAATATCTTGTTTCTCGCACGTTAATTATTTTTAAGACAATCATTTTCCCAACTATAAGAATTATATTTAACCCCTCCTAGATACTGGTTTCCAAACCATTATTAACCTTACAATTTCCTGTCATCTCCATTCCATACTTCTTTATTTTTCTGTTTTAGTATTTTTGTCTGTATGTTCTTAGCAAAGTCCAAATGGCGGCCATCTTGGATTTATGCTAATTATGAAAAATGCTACAGGGTTTCAGCGGACAATTTTGAGCTGGGAGTCCTTAAGACATCCCTTTACTAGATTCCAGTGAAAGAAATTCTTTTGCAATTTGTTCTCGGTACTTGACAAACAGAAATTGTATCTCTCCCTCTATTCCATTCTTCAATATCTTGTTTCTCGCACGCTAATTATTTTTTTAAAAAATAATTTTGACATCAAAACACTTAGTCCGGCAGAACTATGGCTGAACTTGAAAGTTGTACACAAAGATTTTTTTATGATTGATTTTAGTAGCCTATGCTGTCCTCTTTAAGAATCTGCTGGTTGAACCTGGGTCACCCTTGAGCGTTTTGAGAAATCCAAGAAGGCGTCTAAGACAGCCGTCATTTCAAATAATCACCTATAACCCCCATACTATTTTGTCTAGGATGATAATTTTGGTGTCTAACCGTATGTTTTTGGGGCCAAGGAATACACCGAAATCATCCATTATGTTGTGGGGTGATTAGATGATAGTAAAATGCAAAATGCCAGACAATATGGACAATAATTATTTCACCGAACCAAACTATATATTTATGGACATAGGAGCATATGATTGATACGATATCACTACATACATGCCTAACAGGGGGCCCAGGGAACAATCTGTGTTTTGATCATTTAAAAAAACAAATTCTACCCACAAAATAAGAAAATATTCAGTTTAATCCTTTAGTCGTGTGTCTGGTTGCAACCTGCGACAGCACAGGTGCAAAATACTATACATTCTAAGCCACCCCTAGTGCAGCTACACAAGCAAGCGTACTATTTGGGGCGGCACTCGTGCATCCGCATTTCATGAGCCACAGGAGCAATTTGACCGATTGTAATGTTCTCAATTTAGTCACCTTAACCCAGCAATACAGTTCTGGATCAAGTTCCGGTGGATTGCGATCTTCCAGTGAACGCCACACAATAGCATGGTGGTGACATCGTTTTACTTTCCATACGAATGCATCATTCGTTGGAGCAAGACTACATGGTTTAAGTGTGGATGATGACGATATATTTCCAGTTTCTGATGCCTATACCCTCCAGCATGTTTCAGTCGTCGATTTGCAAGAGCTCTGTCCATAACAAGCTGACAAGAATCATGTCACAATGGAATCACCAATCAAAGAAGAAATAACCATTGACACTGGAATCACCAATCAAAGACGAAACAACCGTTGACATGTCAATTATCATTGGAATCTTGTCAGCCCATACTCTTACTCGATATGACACGGTTACATGCTGCTACAGCTTTGGAAGTGGTGAGAGCTTGATTGTATTCTCTCTCTCAGTCGTCGGAGGAGTAGAATCGGTGCTTACACAGGCCACTGTATTTATGTCAGCTTGTTATGGACAGAGTTCTAGCAAATCGATGCCTGAAACATGCTGGTGGGTGTGGACATGTAAAAGTCATCATCCCCACTCAAACATGGTAGTCTTGCTCAATAAATGATGCATTTACAGGGAACGTAAAAAGAGCTGATCAACAAGTCATTGCTGGGTGAAGGATACTAAATTGATAACACTACGACCGGCCAGATGCGGATACAAGAATGACACCTCATGCAGTGCGCTTGCTTGTAGATGCACTACGGATGGCTTAGAATGTACAGTATTTTGTGCTTGTACTGTCTTAGGTTGCAGCCAGAAAAATGACCAAAGGATTAAACTGAATATTGCCTAGTTTTGTGGGGGTTATTTTCGTGTTTTGTGGGTAGAATTTGTTTGTTTAAGTGTTCACAAAACAGCAGGTGCCCCCCTTTTCAGGACCAGCCCATGTGGTCCTGGGGCCTCTGATAGGCATGTATGTTTTTTTATCACATCACTCATATGATCCTTTATCCAGAAATATGTAGTTTGTCTCTAGATATAGTTTGGTTTGGTGAAATAATGGCCCTCAGCCGCCGCTAATGAGTTAAAGGGCCATATTGTCTGGCATTTTAGATTTTACTATCATCTAATCACCACACAACATAATGAATGATTTCAGTGTATTCCTTGACCCGAGTAACATACATTTAGACACCAAAATTATCGTCCTAGAATAAATACTATGGGAGTTATGGGGGATTATTTGAAATGGCGGCCGTCTTGGACGCCATCTTGAATTTCGCAAAACGCTCAAAGGTGACCGGAGTTCACCCGGCAGATTCTGAAAGAGGACACCATAGGCTACTAAAATCAATCCTAAAAAAAGTTTTATAGACAATTTCCAGATTCACTCGAAATATTGAGGTTTGACGGTCGGACTTACTGCTTTGATATCGAATAAGCGGGTTTGACGTGAGTTCTGGTGTCTTAGAGAACTACGAATAAGCGGGCTGAGAACTAGTTTGTTTTTGTAACACTGATTGACTGGACTGGAATCCAATCTGGTGAGTGAAATTCTATCTGTACTGTACATGCACATGAGCAATAGGGGTGACCGAAATGGCCAACTGGTGAAGCTGAGCAGCCTGATTGATTACATTAGATCCCTTGGTGGTGAGCTTGACAACATCCCCACCATTATTTAGGTTATTGTCGCAAATTATGCACGTGTCCATGGCGAAATACGGCTCTTTTTTACAAAATTGGCAAAAAAAGTTTCAAATATCTGGGGAAAACCCAGACTGGATTGCAAGCCAATCACCAGAGCTTAACAACATCCCCACTATTATTTAGGTTATTGCCGCCAATTATGCATGTATCCATGGAGAAATACAACTCTTTTCATTCACAAAATTAGCAAAAAAAAGTTTCAAATATCTGGGGAAAACCCAGACTGGATTCTAAGCCAATCAAAAGAGCCTGACAACATTCCCACCATTATTTAGGGTATTGTCGCAAATTATGCACATATCCATGGCGAAATAGGACTCTTTTCACAAAATTAGCAAAAGAAAGTTTCAAATATCTGGGGAAAACCCAGACTGGATTCCAAGCCAATCACCAGATTGGATTCCAGTCCAGTCAGTCAGTGTCACAAAAACATACTAGGTCACACCCCGCTTATTCTGAGTTCTCTATCAGAACTCACGTCAAACCCGCTTATTCAGTATCAAAGCAGTGTTTTGACGTCAACATAATGGCAGTGTGACGTCATGACGTCAGGGCGTCACACCATGACCTGCTGGCGTTGTGATAATTTTATTTTCCGATTCGTTGATATCACTTTTGTATCTAATGATAATACATTTATTGCTCTAAAACGAGCCGTTTCCAAGATATGGAGGCCAGAAAGTCCAATTGGCGGCCATCTTGGATTTATGCTAATTATGAAAAACGCTACAGGGTTTCAGCGGACAATTTTGAGTTGGGAGTCCTTTAGACATCCCTTTACTAGATTCCAGTGAAAGAAATTCTTTTGCAATTTGTTCTTGGTAGTTTTTTTTTTCGCTCTGTCTAGAATTGCAATACACAGAAATACTTATTGGTAGAGTAAGCTACCCACGAATGTGTATTAAGTGTAGACCGGAATTCAAGTGAGTACAAGTTGAGAGACTTTCAATTATACAACTTGTACTGCTCTCAGACAGGATATCCTCACAGCATTAACTATCTGTGCACAACATAGATGAAAAGAGTCCAGCTAACAGAATATCCTTTGCTAAAAAAATGTTTACCTCAATTGATTTTGGACGGGGGTTCCCGAATGTAGGGCTGCTCAAAATAAGTTTTGGAAATGCCACCATGTACACAGAACATCAGTGTTTTTTCCATCCGCAACTAGACACTGTCCTTGCCAGACCCTCTGTCATTTCTCACTGACAAGGGGGGAACCTGGCAGAAGATCCAGTTTTTGTTTTCAGCAAAGCCATTGAACCCAAGACCTCCAGGTTACCGAGCCAGCGCCTTTCTGTCTCCCAAACGCATAAAGAAGATCTTGGATAACATGTGGACCTAACTTTAATATCTACAAATCATTTACCTAATAGTTAATGCAAATGTATGTACATATAAAAAGCAGAAGAAACAGGATTAAGAACAAGTGGTTGCCATGCAAGATACGCCCACATTTTGCAAGAGATGGACAGAGAACAAGCTCAAAAAAAGAAGTGATTTTTCGTACAATCAAGGTCCATAATTCAGGAAGTTATGGTCCGATATGCACGAATATCGAAAGGAACTGAAATCGTTGGGTTATAAACATATATTCCAAGTTTAAATCGGATAAAACTTGTGACCTCTACAGTGTTCACAAGCTAAAAACATGATTTTTCGTACAATCAAGGGCCATAATCCATGAAGTTACTGTCCGATACATGCCAATATCGAAAGGAACCAAGATCGTAGGGTGATGAACCTATATTTTAAGTTTCGTTGAAATCGGATAAAAATTGTGACCTCTAGAGTGTTCACAAACAATTGTGGATGGACGGACGGACAGGGGTGACAACAATATACGTCCACATGAAAATGTGGGCGTATAAAAAGTAAAGAGAAAGAATTAATACCTGTTTGAGCATACACCGTAGATACATCGAGTTTGTAGCTCCCTAATGCTTTATTCGATCGAAGGAGGCGACCAGATTGACAAGCCTGCAGAAATTCACCATGCATATTTATAGGGAAAATTAGATAAATAGAAAAAAAAAAACATAATGGAGAGCCCATAGCCATTAAACATTTTTCTGACAGCCAAATATTCTGAAAAATTCAACCCCTTTGTTTTCATTCTGTGTGTACTGTAAATATATTGGCCCCCTGAAGTGCTTGCTTGTGTTATTTTAATTAATTATAAATGTGTGAATAATAGAAATAAGAATAATGCTTTGTAAATTAAAAAATATTAATATTAAAAAAGCTATTTTGAAAATAAATAAAGTCGACCAATTTAAGGTTGTTAATAAAGAATAATGGCAAAATAAATAAAGTATTCTTAATGTGTTAAAATTCTACAAAAAGCTAATAATAAACATAATTGAATTATGTTATTAATAACCCCCATAAGAAATTCATGCACCAAGAAACATTAGGTAACATGGAATAAATGCTGAGGAAAGCAAAATGTCCAGGCTTCATAGCAAACACCATAACTGTTAATAGACTATTTATAAGCAAGAGAAAAAAGTTCCAAAAACCATTGAAAAGAAATTAATATGTAATGTTTAGTATACCGGGCGCTAGATAAATCGTTGCAATATCAATTTTAAAGCTCCCCACATCTACACCAGACCGCAAAAAATTGCGTGAATGAAGCACCTATGAAAACGTTCATTAAAACATAAAAATATGCAATTTCATTCAAGTGCAGACATTTTCGATATTGATGTCAGATTGAAATATCACTTCAATAACTGAAAAATGTGCAGTTGTTCAAAATTTGTGTTAATATGCCAGTTACTTTAAGTTCCTTTCTTACTCTAAAACAAAGAAATAATTAACTAAATACAGATTTATCCAAATTTACTATTAAATGTGTAGCACTTTTGTTCCCATAGTTGATATTTACTTTTTTCTCTTCATTGTGTGATATTTAGGTTTTGTATCTTAAAGATATATTATGTAAGAGTTGAATCTGCCTATTGCAAAGCCTTCTTTTTTCTGACTTCAAATCTTATAAAAATTATTATTTAAACATTTATTCACATGACAAGCCTATAATCAACTCTCTAGACTATAGGATGGCCGAGATTTAAAAATTTAATTATTGAATGGATACTCAAGACTAAATCTTGGTTATCAAATACCTTTACTATAATAAATGATCCACACCCCACCTTCAAACAGCCATAACATTGCTCAGAATTAAGCAATTTGAATGAAATTTACAATATATCAATTTTTCATTGTCTATTTTTGAACTATTATAGCAAGAACGGCCAGCTCTTTATCTAAATCTTACATATTATAATGCATCTTTAAGGTCGTGATTTTTAAAATATATTTATTTTATTGACTAAAATTAGAATATATTAATTTTAATGACTTTTATTAGAATAATCGATAAAGAAAAGACAAAGTTTATGAAGTTCAATGATAATTCAAATGAAAAATATGTTATTCCCTACGGTTATAAGATATATAAATGATAAAAGTGAGATGAAATATTTCGAGGTTTTTATCTATACATATGTTATTCCCAGGATATCAATGAATGATGCAGACATTCTTTTTTTAAAATTACCAATTCCACATCATCTATTACTAGTGATGGAAATATGTGCTATAAAGAGTAAAGTGATACCCATAATTTTTCCTAGAGGACATTTAATAATGAGAGTTCAGCAATAAATGACTTTATAGGAAGACATTCTGTAGGAAGAAACTTACGCAACCGGCAGATTAAAACAAAATTATTAAAAAAAAAAGGGGATTTGAAACCAGTCTAAACCGGCATTCTTGTAAACCAATCATTAACAAATTCAGAATAAACTGCTCTTCAATCTAAGAAAGCATCAACAGTCATGATCCAGCAGACTGACAAAGAGTCAGTTTAGACAGGTTTCAATGCATATTAAATATAATGGCAATGGTATTAATTAACAAGCTGGCTTTGCTTGTGTTCTGTGTGTTCATTCAAAACAAATTTGATGCAATTAATCTTAGAAAATCAAAACAGTACTTCAAGGAGCTAATCCTGCTTGATCTGGGTCAAAATCAAGTATTGAACTGGGTTCATCTAAATTTGATTTGTTTTGTTTTTTTTGATTAGCAATGAGAATAGCTCTATTATTTTCATTTCAAAAATTAAACAGTTAAGTCACTGTATTTCCTAATTTTAATATCCTTATTGGCATACTGTTTCAGTGTTGATAGTGGTACACAAATGTTTATATAGAAACAATAGATTGTCACCCCACTAAAAAGATCTACAGATTAAATCTAATAAAATTGACAATTTAATGTTTGAACCAAATCAAAGAGAGTCTAGTCATTTCAACTTTCTTTATTAAATCAAATTTAAATTTGTAAATATATAAATGTTGTAAATGGGGATTTCTCGAAAAATATAATTTACAATTAGAGATACCAGTAAATTTGAATCAATTTACCATAGTCTCTATTCTAACTATATTTCGTTTTTGATTATGCACATCAATAACCTGGGGATAAAATAAATCTTTTAATCGACACATCAAACTTATACTTTATTATATGAAGAAACTTACCGTTAATGTAATTATTTTATCAAATAACATAACAGCAGGAAGATGAAAATCAAATACAAAATACTGAAATAAAAAATAATAATGACTATTATGAGGAAGACATTTTTTTATTGGAAAAGGTAGTTGTTTTTTTACTGTGGGGAGTGTACATTGTACATATAGGGACACTATGAAAGTCACCAATCCAAATCAGGCAAAATATCTGAATTTCTATAGACAAGTGGGAGTTTATAAATTTTGTAATTCGGCTTAAGGATAGATGTTTGTATATAAAAAATAAAAAAAAAAATATTCACCTCGTTGTAATAAGGACAATTTGTAGATTCTTTAACGCTTGTGTATTTTTTTGTGTCTCCAACTTGAACACAAACAACAGGGTCCATGTTTAGACCTGCCAATTGTCGAGCTTCTATAATTGTTACACACACCTGGGGGAACATAAGACTTTTCCATTAGTTTTTATGAATTTTAAAATATTCTTGATGTAAAAAAAAAACCTGTGAAAAATGTCAAGTTTAACTGTTGCATTGAAATAATAGGAGAATAATGCACAAAGCATAGACTTTTGTAGATGTATTAACCTTTAAGAGTATGGTATGTCAGTTAAAATAGCAATTAACATAAAATTTTGTTGAAAATTCTTAATTAGACTAGGGTATACTTACCTGAAGGATAATTGGAATTATCCGAATCCTCTTCGTAGACGAACAGTTAAATATGCAGTATCTAGCACATGCGCAGATAGGACCACTTATTTAAAAACCAAAGTGTAGCCCCCTAATCCCCTCATAGTTATAACATTGCAAGCTAAGTAGGCATAAAACATGGGAAGGGAAAATAAGGGGGGGATTTAACTGTTCGTCTACGACGAGGATTCGGATAATTCCAATTATCCTTCAGGTAAGTATACCCTAGTCTAATTAAGAACTATCCTTCATCCTCTTCTGTAGACGACCAGTTAAATATGCAGCTTTCAAAGAAAATTGCTGTATATTATTAATAAAATCTTCAGAATTTATTTAATTGGAATAATAATAACATAATAAAAACATGAAGTATAATTTGAACAATAAAACATTAATTGTTTGTGAAATTCAAAACTGTCTTTCCAAAATTAACATTAACAGTTTGTCGGTTATAGAATTTATTAAAAGTTGATTCTCTAGACCAGTCTGCCGATTTTAAAATATCTGTAATGGATAGTCCACATTCAAGGGCTGCTGAGGTTGAAGCCGAGCGAGTGGAATGTGCATCAAAGCCCTGTATTCCTGATTTAATTAACACACTTTTAATCCAACGTGCAATGGTAGTAGATGTAACCTTTTTGTGTGGTTTTACAAAGGAAATAAACAAAGTACTACACTTTCGTAAATTCAGTGTTTGTTCAATGTAATGTAGTAAAGTGGATCTAACACACAAGTTAACACAATCTGGGAATGATGGTAGTACAACCTTCTTTAACGGTTTGCCCGGTCTAGAAGTTTTGGTTACACCCATAATAACAAAGACAGCTTTGTCCGGAAGGACTCATAAATATTCTAAGTCTAGTAATGTTATGGATTGACCTCTATCAGCAGAAACAAGAGCAATAAGGATAGCTAATTTATGGGATAATTCTCTTAAAGTTAGCTTAGAATCACATGGTAAGGTTTTGATATAGTTTAACACAATAGACACATCCCATGTCACACAATATTTAGGTACAGAAGGCCTGATATTGAAAACACCTTTCATAAACTGGATAACAGTTGGATGTTTTCCAACTGGATAACAGTTGGATGTTTTCCAACTGGAAAACCATCAATTGGTTGAAGCACTGATGATAAAGCCGAGCGGTATGAATTAAGAGCACTATAGGATTTGTTCTCTTCATGAAACTGATAGATTAGGAATTCAGTGACTTGAACTATAGATGAAGGAAAGGGATCCAACAGTTTTCTACTATTCCAGCATAACCAAGCTTTCCAAGCTGATTTGTACTGTTAACTTGTCTTTGTTCGCCAGGCGTTGCACAGTAAGTGTGTAGCTTGTTCCGAAAATCCTTTATTATCGTACTGTCTCCGCAAACTGGGTTGAAATGTCATTCTTGTTATCTGAATAAAGACATTCTGGTTTAACTGCCACTCTGTTTGATCCAAAAAATGTCTGCTCAGAAAATCTGCATGGATGTTGTCCAATCCTGGTATGTGAACAGCTGACAGACGAATTTTCCTGTATAAAGCCCAAGTCCATATTTCTCTGGCCATTAAATCTAGTTCTACAGAGAGCGTCCCGCCCATGTGATTGATGTAGGCAACCGCCGACTTGTTGTCGATCTGTACTTGTATGTGAAGATTGAACATCGAAGGCGCAAGGGTTAGTAAGGCAAAGTGGACTGCTTTCAGTTCTAGTAGGTTTATATGAGACTTGGCCTCTTCTATTGTCCATCAACCTGATACTCGTGTTTGGTTCATCACTCCTCCCCACCCCTTCTTTGAAGCATCTGTTGTCAAGATGATTGTTGGCTCTGGAAAACGTATTGGTTTGCCATTCACTAGAGAGAGATTCTGAGTCCACCAACTTAATTCCAAAACTGCTTGGACTGATAGCGACATAATGGCCTGATAAGAGACTTTCTAAATGACGGTAATGAAGGGGGCCTTGGTAGATTGCTGGAAAAATTGACACCAATAATCCTATTACTCTTGCAACTTGTTTTATTGTTGGACTTGTACAGCTCAGTAGGTTGTGAATCTCCCTTAGAATCATTGTTTCTTTGTCGCGAGGTAGGGATATAATCATAGATATTGTGTTGATGTGAAAACCTATGAACATGATTTCCTGTTTTGGGTACAGGGAAGATTTCTCTACGTTTATAACGAAGCCTGCTTTCTGAAAAATGGTGGTTGCCTCCGGAATTAGACTGTTGGAAGATTGACAAGTCCTTGCCATCCACAGGGAATCGTCCAGATAAATTACACCCCTGTGTCCTCGTGTTCGTAGATACGCTACTAGAGGCTTGGTGACCTTGGTGAAAATTCTGGGAGCTGATTTTAGTCCGAATGGAAGGCACTGGAATTCGTATCGCTGATCTTTCCACAGGAAACGCAGGAATTTTCGATCTTCCACAGATATTGGAATACTGAAGTAAGCATCTTTTAGATCTATGCTTGTCAGGTAATCTCCCTGTTTAATTAAACTCAAAACAGTCTGAAAAGTCTCCATTTTGAAGTGTGCTGAAATTACATATTGATTCAGTGGCTTTAGGTTTATAATTGGACGTACTCCGCCAGTTTTCTTGGGAACAAGGAGCAAAGTTGACAAATATTCCCCTGTTATTCGCTGAACAGGTATGATTGCTCTTTTCTTCAAAAGGGCTTCTACTTCTAATTGGAAAATATTTGCTTTTATCAAGTTCTTCGGTACAGGGGTGACCCTTGCTTGTGACTGCCATGGAATTGTGTTGAATTCTATATGGTAAACCTGAATTAAATTGAGAACTTGTTTGTTGGATGTCAGCTTTCTCCAAAAGTTTAAATTGTTCCGTAGGGACCAAGCAATTATTATTTCTTGTTCCTGTTATTTTTGTTCCACTGGAAGTTTTTTGATCTTGATAATGGTTTAGTTGATTTCCATCTGGTTTGGAATTTGTTCTCTGGCAAAGCTGGTGTAGAGTATGTTGATCTCTGATAACCTGTTGATTTGTTGCGAAAGGAATTAGTGGAGGAAAAAGACGGAAAACTTTTCATGATCCTGTGAGTGGCACTTAAGATTTCTCTGATATCTTTACATGTTTTAGTAAGATCACTGCCAAATAGTTCATCAGTGATATCTTGCGATTTCTTACACAGATCTTTGTAATCTCCAGAAAACAAATGTTTGAGATTCTCTCTTCTGGCTAATGATAATAAAAAAGATGAATGTCCAATTAGAAAACTTGCATCTTCTGCCATGTTACTCAGGATGGCCAACTCCTCAATAGCAGGGTTTTCTAACTTCAGTGAATTTAAACAATCTGCCAAACCCGCTACTGCATAAATTCCACTACATAAGGAGCCCTGTGAACGTTGAAAATTGTGGTCTCTTTCTTTCTGACCTCAAGACATTTTCTTATAAACTCCACTGTTAATGGTAGGGACAGTGACAAACGGAGTATTATTCGGTTGGAGGTACTTATCTTTGACAGATTTAAGGAAATCAGGGTCAGCCTGGGACGTGCTGGACCTAGTAAGCATAGAGGCCAGTGTGTCATAAACTGGTTTACTGGTTTTGGTCTTTTGAAAAGCCTCAGAGAATCTGTCATTTTCCTGATCTGGAGATTTGATATCCTCCTTGACACGGGTATCAACACCATTGTCATTTTGTTCATCATCATAATCACAAGAACCACCGTTGATGTTGTGGCTGTCATCGTAAACCTCATCGACTTCGTTATCGGAGTTGAATTTTCTTGACTTCCCCTTCGGGCCCGAATCATCAATAAAACTATCGTTTCCAGTCCGTTTACCAAGAGCTGATTTGATTTCTTGAATGGAATTAATAATTTGTCCTATCCCCAATGCTGAATGAAGGGAAAAAATGGTTTCATCCGACCAAACACTGGAGGCTGCCATCTTGGGCCTCGTTTCCATGGAAGCGGAAGTGACGGTACTAGCTGGTTTGCTATAACGAAGCCATCGAATAGGCGAACCTTGAGCTAAAGGATGCTCTGGATGTCCAAGACCACCCGCCTCTGTATTACGATAGGCCTTGAAATGCTGGTCTTCAGTCAAAGTAAAGGACATATTTTGTTGTTCAGCATCACACTTGTCATCCAAAACATAACAAAAAACTTCATTATCCGGAATCGGGACAGCTTTACTGTTGACAACTGGTAGCTTGTCTGAAGTCGGCAATGCCGTCGTAGGTGACAATGTCACAGGCTGATAAAGATGACCTTTAACGTCTGCACTCATACGAGTTTCAGCCACTGCAGTATTACTAATACTATTAGTTGCAGTACGAGAGTTATTGACTGGAATCATAGAGCTACTCTTTATAATAAAACTACAGCACGGGAAAAGACTGATAATTCAGACAGGTGCTGAGCTACTTGATTAAACTAAAAACGGTCCTTCTTAGCGCAGCACTAAGATAACTATGAGGGGATTAGGAGGCTACACTTAGGTTTTTAAATAAGTAGTCCTATCTGCGCATGTGCTAGATACTGCATATTTAACTGGTCGTCTACAGAAGAGGATGAAGGATAATTATAATTTGTTGTTAAATTTTCTATATAAAAGCTGATAATTCGCTAATTCACAATAATTCACAAAATCATTAAATATAATTAATCAATTAACTTATACTTATGAATTTTTATCTTTTATGATGATGACAGTAGAAGATCACATTTTAAAAATATTATTTTTTATCACTTTGTTGAATTGGATAGAATCTATTAATGTACTAAATCACTCACCTGAAAATCTTGTGATTTGTTTAAAGAAAGTGAATCCATGGCAACCTTTTGCTTTTTTCTATTAAAAAAATAAAAAATATCCATATATGTAACATAAAGTAAATAATCAATCTGGCACTATTAAGTTCTATATTAAGGACTAAATCAATCTGATTATAAGTGCTACTGCTTCTTTCAAGTATAAGTTTTATAATCCCGGTGTAGCACTTTAGATTGTACCTTATAATTTTTAGTTATCCCCAGAAAACTGCCATTAGCCATAACATTTTTGCAAACAAAACAGTTCCTGATAGACCTTATAATAAAAAGTAACTAGAGGCCCAAGGGATTTAATCATCCATCAGTTAAAAATATGTGTGCATTGAAAATTTCACTTAGTGTGACAATATTAATGCCCATAACATAAGACCATACTAAATCAAAGAGACCATTAAATATTGTCAAAAAGTCCATAAGAAGTCAAATTTTGTTGATATGTTTTCAAAATATATTCCCTAATATGCCTCCCCTAAATGGTCAAAGCAAATTCATTAGAACACAGACAATCCTGACAATATATCATAAATTTGGCTTCAACCTACAAGAAGTTTTAGGTCAAGCCATCGAAAAGGAATAAATTTACCTAATAAAGATGTAACATCTTTATCGGGTCAAGCAACATTATTGAAAAAAATCTTAATAGGCACCAACTTTGCAATATAAATGTATCTATCAATTCGGCTTGTAATCTGTTGACTGGGAAAATATCTAAATCTGTCCCTGCTACACAGTTTTGCTTCTTTGCCAAGTCAACATACCTACCATCATATTTGGTTGAAATCCATCAAGGACCCCACACCACACCATTCCGACTGGGTCAAGCATTTTTGTTCAAGCAGTTCTGAATAAACACCACCCAGACAACATATCTAACAATTTTGGTTGTAATCTGATGCATGGGAATGGGTTAAGGAATGTAGTCAAAAGCTTCTTAATTTGTACTTTCATAACTTTCCCATCCCTCTGCCTTACCAAATTTCATTGAAATCGATCAAGCAAGTAGGAGAAGAAGTTTATGCCAGACAGACAGACAACAGCCGGTGACGACATTAGCCCTTCTGACTGATGTTCTGATAGTCTAAAAAAGAAAATATGAAAATAGACAAGCAATACACAATGAAATCAAAGATTATTCTAATAATAATCAGATGGTTGATAAAAAGAGCACTAACAGAATGTTTCATAAAGATTTTGGTAAAAGGTACAGCAAAATGTTAAATCAAGTCTCTGCTGTTCTAAAATGGGTTCCATATGAAAACAGGGAAACAAATAGATACGCAACTGATGCCTTTTCCTGGAGTACCATACATGAGGCCAGAACAAAGCCAAACCTGTTACCACATCAAACCATGACACAGTTTAGTCTCTAGAGCTTATAGATACTAACAATGAAATATATGTTTTTGATCTGTGCCCAAGATTAGGAAATTACTAGAACTAAACTCAACTTTATATTGCGCTCCTATGTTTTCACAATACTTGCAACATGTAATTAGATCTATTTTTAGTTGGGCCAATGTTAGTAAACTTTCATGATTTTTCATGAATCAATCATATATTGTAAAGGATTCTTAATGGATTTCTTGTGCAAGATAGCATTGATAATCCATTGTGGTGGATCAGATGTAATGGTTAATCTTACGTTACTGGTGTAACCTCCTATTAATCTTAAATCGGCCATATATTCAGGACCTCTATATTAATGGTGAAGCTGACATTAAATAGTGCTACAGATAATATTGGTAAATCAGATGTTGTATAATGGTTAAAGTTATTATGTAGACCCTACCTTCTATTGGACATTAATGGTGAACTTGTCATCTGACTATCACTAGCCTGGTCTTCTTCAATTGTTTTTGCTGCTGTAGCTGCCAACATAGATGCTACTTCTGCAGCTCTTGCATCAAGTAGGTTGGAATCTATAATATAACGCAATGGAAATTTTTTCTTCCTTGGTGAAGACAATCCATACATATGCCCACACTTAGACATTTCAATATGGGACCATCGTCATAAGCCCAGTTAGAGCATTTCATTACTTTATGGGAACGTAAAATCAGCTAGAATTACAGAAATCCCAATGTCAACATGAAACTAATTATAAAGGAGTTTTTCAGTTTCTCACATTCAATGTTTTAAGAAGATCATAATCGGTGCACACTTCTGGTGATGGACAATATATAAGGATGGCCTAAATGGGAATGAATGAAATGAAATTCTATGACCCGTCTACCCAACCGGGCTACAGGGGATTAAACCATATCTGATCCCTGATACTCAGCTTAGCTTACCTGTGTCTTCCTGGTCCAGTAACTCTTCAACAATTTCTTTCTGCATAACCTTCTTGACAACAGATGTCAGTTTCTTTGCCCTAAATTTTATTTAGCAAAATAAATCATAATGGAACATATATATTCTGTAATTGTCGAACTGTGATCAGATCAACTTAATAATGTATGAATTACCTTCTAGTTTGTTCAGAAGCACGACAGTTCGGTTTTGTTACGTGGGCTGCAGATAAAAAAATAGAAACACAACCTTGTCTTTCTCCTCTATCCTATAGGTTGGTAAATTATGTACACATTATTATTCTTAAATATGTTTTTTAAAACTTACCCAAGAGGTGATTTACTACTGGAGATAGGAGAACGACCACCAGATGATCGAGAATTTATACTTAATCTCGACTGAGATTTGGATGTTTCTGATAAAACCGATTCAGAATCTCCAAGGGCACTGGATCTATCAAGACTGAGTTGGTTTCTTTCATCTTCAGATAGAGGGCGTCGTAAATCATCGCTTGTGAGTTTTTCAAAGCCTCCTTTCTGCCAGTGTCCCACACTGCCATCTGGAGCATTGTATGTTAGTTCAAAAGTTACTGTTGTCTGAAAACAATATGTAGCAAAATCAAAAGCTAGTTTGCTGAAACTTCTATTAGGAAAGGAAACTAAAATAATATGGTGATGAATTCAAAATGTTAAACAGAATTATTAAAGCAAAGACCTTTTTATTTATTTCATTGATTGTATATAACAAGAGGTTGCCATGCAAAATACACCCACATTTTACAAGTTTCATCAAAATCGGATAAAAATAGTGACCTGCAGAGTGTTCACAGGCTAAAAACGTGACTTTTCGAACAATCAGGGACCATAATCCATGAAGTTACCATCCGATATATGCCAATATCGAAAGGATCTGAGATCTTTGGGAGATAAAGCTATATATATTTCAGGTTTTGTCAAAATCAGATAAAAATTATGACCTGTAGAATGTGGACGGACAGACAGGAGTGATTACAATATACGTCTACGTGAAAATATGGGATTATAAAAAGGCAAAATTTCAAAAAGACGAATTGTAAGCCAATTAATTGGAGTAAGATTCAGCTTACAAGAAATCCAGTAGAACTACTGGTAAGTAATGGTGCTGTATATTTCACTAAAATTAAGATACATGCAAGAACAAACAGTTGCTTCTTACTTTCATTACAACATTATTTCCATCGAGAAGAGAATCTGATATTTTAACGCTGCCAACTTCGATCAATTCCTGCAGGATCATACGAAATGTTCCAATTAACCTGTTAACAGAGAAAACAGAATACCATAAGATTGGAACAAAGGGCAAGCTTATTATTCCTCAATTTCATTAGACATGCAATATTTTGACCTCTAGAGGTCCAACAGTTAACCCCCGACTAATAACATTTCATGATGATACTGATCTATACAAAAACAACATGATGGATTCAAAAATTGTTTACATCAATATTTCTATAATAAAGTAATTAATAATAATAATAATTTATTCATATATAGCTAAACATTTAAAAATTGATGGTAATACTCTTAAAATAAATTTGTTTTTTAACGATGATTTAAAGGACTCAAAATGGATGCTGTTAAAACACCAAAAATTCTGTCTTTTAGAGCATTGAATTTGTGACCTTCTCTTTGTCATAGATAATGGGCTGGGGGCGTGTGGTCTAACAAATGCACTTTGGATCATAAGGTCTGTGATTGTGTCCAGTGGTGTGGTTTTGATGAGAAACTTGTACCTGACAAGGAGTAGGGTCACCTGCTTAACCTTTTGGGTTTTCTCTGGATCCTCCAGTTTCCTCCCACTGCTAATGACCCCTACAGCACCAACATGCAACCAAATAATTGACATAAATTGTAGCATAATTTAGTCCGGAAAAGACCTGGTATGTGTCGAGTGAATGTAAAAACTCATTTCTCTCTATACTTTTGTCATAAATAAGAACATACTGAAATTTTAAATTGTTCTTGGAAAATTAAAATTATTTAGGGAAACCAAGTCCCTTGTATGAAATTACATATAGGTAATACATAAAGTCCACACCACCCAGTCGGAATAGCAATTACTGCTTCAATGTCCAATTTAGTCTATTGATAAAGGATTATTTGATTCTGTAGAAAGAAGTGATTCTGTTGATTGATATGAAATTGGGTAAAACATCATTAACATTTCTACAATGCACAAGCTAGTGACTTTAAGACCCTTTGCTTAAATCAACTTTCCCAAGAATTACCTAAATAAACATCCTACAGTGATTGGGTGTTGATCAGCCACGTTTTTCAATCAATGCGTGCCAATTAGCCTTTTATAAAGCTTGTCATTAGCTAATGTCACGTCTGCAATCTTGTTTTGTTACATCAATGGAATAACTTGTCACTATTGTTTGTACCTCTTATTGTTACTACCGTCACATATCAATACAGACTTATTCATTTATCTACATGTTTGTAGGTGTAATAATGTACATACAGTCATTGACTAAAGCTAGACAAAATATAATAAATCTATATCATACTATGATTATACAATTATTTATGCTTTTAACCTGGTGGAAAGGGTAACTCATAAAAATCACCAGGTCAAAGAAACTCTTATTTGGGGGTCAGTACATCAGTCAGATAATGCTTTTCTAAAATACCAACAATTTTCGAGTGTCTGTAGCAAATAATGCAATACAAATTTTATTCTCAGACAAAATCGTTGATCATATAACACAGTTACTTGTCTGTAATAGTTTATATTTGATTTTTTAGCTGTTCAACACTATAATAATGTATATCTGGAGAATTGTGTTAAAACCCTATAGACCACATTGCTTGGCCATGAGCTAGCTTATGAATCACTCTTTTCAATGTAGCAACTGCAGAATAGCACAATTTTTGCCATCAAAATACTGCATAAACAAAATACATCTTTCTGAGATTTCAAATTAGCTACCAGTATGTATCAGTGACGATCATCATCTGAATACTACTGAATATTCTAACACTAATAATGAATTTAGAGAAGAAAGGGAGTAGTTTTTGCATGAAATTATATGCATGGGGAAAACTCCCACGAAATTACCGAAAAGAAAAAACAAATGACCAATTTAATCTTGAGAGTTGAGGGTATAGTGGAAAAGTTTATGAGTAGCTATTGATATTAAATTTGGACTAGCTGGAAAACATTTATACATGACCATTGATGATTTAATAATATCATGGGTGTTGATTGGTTCCAAAACATCCCCCATTTCAAATTAGCATTCAATGCCCTTGAAATGAAATGAAATGGGGTTTAACGTCCTACTGTTCTGCTCCTATATTGGGCTAATGAAGACGGGCATACGCCATACAGTGTGCTATGAGGGAAATTTTGCCCGGGCAGCGGCACTATCTCCTACTCTTATATCGAATTCCAACTGCCAAGGGATCTTTTACATGCATTCTTATGTATACACGGGACCTCGGTTTTTCATCTCATCCGAAGGAATAGACAGCTGTCCTTGTCAGGTCCTCCATTCTGCACCACTGACAAGGGGAAACCACGTTGGAAAATCTGGATGAACTTTCTCGGCCAATGCAGGGATCAAACACCCGACCTCCAGGCTAGCGAGCCAGCGTCTTAACCACCTAGCCACCGTGGCTCCCCTCAATGCCCTTGAATGATATAGCAAACATGTTCTAGTTCTATTGTATCAACCTTACCTGTTTGCAAGGTATCTGTTATAATTATAAACTTGTATATCAATAATCTCTTCTGGCTCCACAGGTCTTGCCACTGGCCACTCAAATACCTGAAATTACATGCACACATATATCACCATTATTATAAACTGACCGAACTAAAGAATCCTATCATTGTGCTGTACCGTAATTGTGGTGTATACATGTGAAATATATCACTGTATCTTGGTTGATAGGTGTAAAATCAATGCCTGTATCTTGGTAGATGGGTGTAAAATGTATCACTGTATCTTGGTGGATAGGTGGTAAAATGTATCAGTGTAAATCTTGGTTGATAGGTGTAAAATCTATCATCATGTTCCTACTGCAGCTTGGTGGTAGGTGTAAAATCTATCACTGTATCTTGGTGAATAGGTGTAAAATCTATTACTGTATCTTGGTGGATAGGTGTAAATCTTTGTTAATTGGTGTAAAATCTATCATCATGTCCCTGCTGTAGCTTGGTGGTAGGTGGAAAATATATCACTGTATCTCGGTTGATAGGTGTAAAATGTATCACTGTATCTTGGTGGATAGGTGTAAATCTTGGTTGATAGGTGTAAAATCTATCACCATGCCCCTGCTGTATCTTGGTTGATAGGTGTAAAATCTATCACTGTATCTTGGTGAATAGATGGAAATCTTGGTTGATAGGTGTAAAATCTATCACCATGCCTATGCTGTATCTTGGTTGATAGGTGTAAAATGTATCACGCTATCTTGGTGTAAAATCTATCACTGTATCTTTGGTTGATAAGTGTAAAATATATCATTATCTTGGTTGATAAGTGTAAAATATATCACTGTATCTTAGTGGATAAGTGTATAATGTATCACTGTATATTGATGAATAGGTGTAAAATAATATATAACTGTATCTAGGTGGATAGGTGTAAAATGTATTTGTGTAGAGAGATGAAAAATGTGCCATTGTATGCTCGTGAGATTTGTCATTACAATTTCCTGTGAAACCGTACTTTTGTCAATGCTTGCTTGTCTAGGTGTGGAATGGATCAATAAAGGATTATTGGAAATGAAATGGGGTTTAATGTCCTACTGTTCTGCTCCTAAACTGTGCTAATGAAGACAGGCATACGTCATACAGTGCGCTATGGGGGAAATTTTGCCCGGGCAGCGGCACTACGGCCTACTCTTATATCGAATTCCAACTGCCAAGGGATCTTTTACGTGCACACCAATATGTACAAGGGACCTCGGTTTTTCGTCCCATCCGAACGACTAGACAGCTGTCCTTGTCAGGCCCTCTGTCCTGCATCACTGACAAGGGGAAACCACGCTGGAAAATCTGGATGAACTTTCTCGGCCAATGCAGGGATCGAACACCCGACCTCCAGGCTAGCGAGCCAGCGTCTTACCCACTTAGCCAGGTGATCCCCTAGGATTATTGGACCAACTTAATATATTTTGTTCAACGAATGCAGTGCCAGAATTCCAACTATCTTTGATTTTTATATAGGCACTCATATTCGAAGCATTGGATACATATTGTTGACACCATTATTATTTACGATGAAAAAAGAAAGTTTCATTTGGCCTACCTCATCAAATAAAGCGGTTTCATCACTATTCTCAACAATCTTTGTGTAATGTGCAACACCTGTAAAAAAAAATATAAACACACAATAAATCATCCAGTGGTAAATCTTTTGTAACTACCGTACATCTATAGAATATTATATCTGGTTTATACTTTGAAAAAGTTCTGTGGTTTTCAACTTAACTGGTTAATGTCATGGTAAAATGACATAAAAACACCCTTATTCAATATAACAAGGCTCTGGCCATTTATTTCTGGCTAGTTTCATTTCAAAAAAACAATAAGCATATTTTTGGACAGTTTGAAAGCAACGCAAGGAATATAAGAAACAATTCTGGCTTGAAGTTTATTAATTGAACAGCAGTCCATAAATACAAATGAAAAAGTAGTGTAATAGTAAGTAGGTGGTACGTTTCAAAGTCCTTTCTTTATCCACTGCAAAATTACATCAGATATTTAACAAATATTTAATATTTTGGACTTAGAACATACTTCTTGACAAAGAATATCGATTTCAATAATTTAATAGTTCCACTTAACAGATTTTATAAATTGACTCTTGTACTGGATTCAAATCAATCTAGGTTGATGAACATGTTAGTATTGATCTTGAAAAATCTATCAAATTTTCCGATAAACAAGTACTTTTACTTGCCATAATCTTAAGAATATGAAAGATTTCATTAATTTCCTCATGGATATAACTTCAGATGTTATGACTGTGATTTATATCAGAAAAGATCTCTCTAGTGACAGTAGTTAAAACATTATGATAAATCAGATATTATTTTCCCATATCTTCCTTGTCTAAATATTTGTATTTTACCGGAATAAAATTTTTTAAAGAACATTTTGTAAGACTTTATCTAAACCTCACCCCAACCTATAACATATAATCAAATTGTTTCTATTAATTGTTGTGCAATGATCATTTTCTTCTTAAACAGAACTTGCAATTTCCTTCAACTTCAATTAACTGCTTAATATTACATAACCAAAAATCAGAATGTGCATTTAAATTTACTGTTCTGAAACTTCTCGTTTATGGTAAAAATTTCATCTCTGATCGAGATTAGATTATTACTAGTTCAATTTCCTAAGAACTTTTAACAACTGATTTTGAAATTTGTTTACTTGGTATCAAAATCCCAAAATATTATCACTCAATTATAAATGGTACTGCTGAAAAACACTCAATAGAGCCCTCAAAACAGCACGCACAGGGAAACTAGGTGAAGTACACTACTTTAGGTATGTGTGTTTATAACAATGCAGAAACATTCATCTATAATATGGGTTCCCAACCTTTGGGTCATGACCAGAGCTGGGGCCGTGCAGCATTTTTGTGGAGTCGCGATGGATTACTCTGAAACTTTTGAATAAATGCTATGTTTCATGAAAAGCATATATGAGGGCTGGCTGAAAAGTTGTAAGCCTGAAAAGGCTAGATCGATTTGACACAAACAAGTACAAGCACTGAATGAAGTATAGAAATAATAACTGCAACTGTAATGTTACTATTGTCTTCGCAGTTCGCACTAAACCATCTTCTGAACCTACCCATTGAAATCACTAGAAATGGGCAAACTGGCTAACAGGGCAGCCATCAAATACCTGCAACTGAAAGGCATCAAGTACCTGCAACTGAAAGGACTAACCCTACACAAATACATGCCAACATGGTCTCCACTTTAGGGGATGATTCCCCTTCCTTTTCCACAATAAGGAAGTCGGTTACGGAATTTCAGCGTGGCAGAGAGAGCCTTGACGATGACTGCGTCCTCGCAGGCCATCAACAGCAACCATTCAAGAAAACATTATCCGAGTACATGACATGGTGATGGCTGATCGACAATTGACCACTCGACATATTGCCAGTGCTGTGGGCATCTCTCATGAGAGGGCTGAGCACATTATCGCCCATGAGTTAAGAATGACAAACGTTTCTGCAAGATGGGTGCCAAAGCTCTTGACTGTGGATCAGAAACATGTCAGATTCCCGACGTCCTGTGACAATCTTGCCATTTTGAAGTAGATCCTGTTAATTTTTTGGTCAGATTTGTAACCATGGATGAGACCGGTTTCCAAAAATGAAAGCCTTGACGATGACCCGCATCCTGGAAGGCCATCAGTGGCAACCATTCAAGAAAACATTAACTGGGTACATGACATATTGATGGCTGATCAATGATTGACCACTCGGCATATTGCCTGTGTTGTAGGCATTTGTCGACTTTTTTAGGGTGGCTGAAGAAATTTTATTCCTGACTGGCAGCCAAGCCTTGCAACATAGTTGGCAATGTGTGTACACATCAAAGTGGACTATGTAGAAAATTAATGAAAATGATCGACTTTGTACAGGTCTTTCACTGATAGGCTTATAACTTGTCAGCCAGTCCTCATAAATCTCTGATCTATACACATCTTGCCACATTACCAACCGTCTTTGCTCTCTCACACTCATGATTTGTTTCCTCAGTCTCTCATTACAACATTTTGATCTGTAAATAATATCATGTTTCATAGAGAAAGGTGACTTTCTTCTAAGAGGGGTTGTGATCAGATGATGGTTCCTGGAATGGGGTTGCAATCAACAAAAGGTTGGAAACCACCAATCTACAATAGTCCAGAAGCATGCACAAATAATGCATTTGTATACATAGGCGTACAAGCTGGGGGGGGCTGGGGGGGGGGGGGCGGCTGCCCCCCCATTTTGGGCACGAAATGCTCGAAAAATTTGGGCACACAATTGTACTTTGTAAAAGTTGTATAAAAAAATATTGTGTTCTTGAATGTGTCCAATTTAACAGCGAATTTATTATTATTATGTAACATACTAAGAACCTAACTACATTTTTTGGGCACCAACCACCACCGCCGCCCCCCCCCCCAGTCAAAAATTTCCCCGTACGCCTATGTTTGTATATATAAGATCAGGAACTAAGGCTTGTTTTTAGAAATATTTCAAATCCATGGAACAATTCATTTATTCATGTATTCATTCATTTATTTGAAACAGTGAAATGAACAAAAAATTTATAACCATTGTTATACAAAATGTACTGCATACAGCTCAAGAATAAATTTGAATCATTTATTGGATGTTTGAAATATTTTACTAGCCATGGAGAAATGTTTATCGTTTAACAATAGTATAATATCTAATTTTGTTATTCAATGTTGATCAATGTGTTCCAGTATATACAAGAAGCCAGATTTGGTTTAACCTTATTCATATTTGGTTTAATCTTATTCATAGCTATTACCAAGAATTGAGACAAAGCTCACATACAAAAAAAATACCCCTCCTCCCCCCACCCCACCCTCGAAAAAAAAATAAGACAAGAGGCAAAGAAGGCTAGGCGATGTTTTTTTTTTGCCAAATTTACAGACAAAATGTTAACAAAAAAGTGGGTGTGACACTGCCCCAGGGGGTCATGTCATGCACCAAATTAAATAGTTGCAGTCTTTACGGTATAAGGAAAAAATATGCAAAATTCCAAGAAGATCCATTCAGAATTGCAGCCTGTAGACGATAAATACAAAAATTGGGCGTGGATCTGCCCTTTGGGGGTTGGATATGGAACCATATAAATAGGTACCACCCTGTTATTGCAATGTTTGATATGCTGAATTTGAACAAAATCTGTTAATTATTGCAACCTGTTGAGTATTTACTGGTAAAAATTAACAACAAAGTGGGTGTATTTGCAACCTGTATATTATTTACAGACACAATATCAACAAAAAGTGGGTGTGGCACCGCCAAAAGGGCAGGGGATGGGATGTTGGGGTGGAAGAGGGGGGGACGTGCACCAACATCACTAGTTGCTGTCCTTAGGTTATAAGGAATAAGTATACCAAGTTCCAAGATAAGCCATTCAGAATTGCGGCCTTCAAGCGCTAAAGGCAAAAATTGGGTGTGGCTGACCCAGAGGGTTGGGGCATTCACCAAAATTAATAGTTGATGCCCTTAGGCTATAAGGAATACATATGCCAAGTACCATATTGATCCATTCAGAATTGCGGCCTGTAAACAATAAACACAAAAATTTGGCGTGGTTCTGCCCCTGGGGGTGGGGTATGCAGTTGTCGTCCTTAGGCTATAAGAAATACATATCCCAAGTTCAAAGATGATCCATTAAGAATCGTGGCCTGTAGGCAACACACAGACACAAAGAAAAACTCGGTGTGGCTCTGCCTCTGGGGGTTGGGCAATCACCAAAAAACAATAGGGGTCATCCTTAGGGTATACACACAGACACACACACAAACACGGGCGACAGCAATATACGTCCACATTATGAATGGAGGATGGGCAGGCTTTGATCAGGGTACTCTGACACTTACTGTCACCATGGTCAACATCAATGTCACCAATGGTAACTTATGGAATACCGGTAAAACAAAATTTGAAATGCCCATACACAGTTGAAAAAATTATGTAAGTTTTAGTCCATTTTGCATTAAGAAAAATCCAATCAGTCAATTCTGTCTTTAATACAACGCATTTGTTGATTTCAAATAAAAAATTCTCTCTCTGGGATCTATAAAAGATTTATTTATATCAAAATTTGCCTTTTGGTTGAAAGCAAGTGCAGTTGTGTGAGTGTTTGGCAGAACAGGAATGCTCGTATTTTTGTCTTAATGGCGTCTACAGTTTTATTTCCATTTATCATGGTATGTTTATATCAAATCAATTATTACACAATAATAACATGTAGGATGTTTGATTGTATGGTCTACAAACAGAAGACATTGATCTGAGTTGCCATCAAGATCATTATATATATTACCAGATTATACTGTCTGGAGGTAGAGATAACATCAATAATACAAAAACTGTGAAAAAAGAGAAGATTAAGATGTCGAAAGTTTTAAATTTGTCTTCACAATGAATACAACTTTAACATAATATTAGAGAAAGAGAAATGGTCTGTGATTAAAATATATTTGGGGTATCTTGTAGACATTCCTATGTACAAATTTTTGTATTTTTCAAATCGGTCCCTAGATGTCAATATCCATATTGATTTCAGTTGCCTTTCTTTACCTTGAAG